TTAGGTGCAATCTTACTATCAGCAATATCCTTGGCTGTGAAGCAAAGCAATGATGACTGCACGTGTTTCAAAGGTAGCAGACTTTGTGAAAATGAATATTTGTGCCATTCTCAAAACTTTTGGCCACGGCTGTACAGTAGAATGAGGACGTCACTGAGGCCACACTCAAACCTTTCTGAATACATTTTGAGGAATCTCAAATTAGCATTTTAGTACTTGAGTGTCACACATAAGAAACTCTCACTGCTGCGTTTCATAAGTTAAGACTTTATCCTGTAGATCCAAAGCATCCTTTTGTCCAAACACTACATACAATTACCACAGACACCTCAGCTCTTTTCCGAAGTCAAACTTCTCTCCAAAAAAATGTCTAACTGTGCATTATGTGTCATTTATGTGTATTAGCAATCTGATGAAGAAAAAACATGACAACTTAAGTTTAATGACTTCGCATTTAGCGGCACACAACATGTAAAGTGTGTCAGGAGGGTGTCGACACAGGACGGATGTTGTTATAAGTGTTTATCGTCTGTACGGTCGCCACTGCAGCACAAATGAGGGAGTCTCAGACTCCGTTCAGCTGGTTCTCTTCTACAATGACGGTTGTCAGCCTCAGGCACAGTCATTGTCATTGTTTGGTCACCAGGAAGTCTCAAGTCTTTACAAGTTAAGACTAAAGAGTTCCAAATCCGTCAAATGTAATCCATGTTATGAATGTTTTCTTTTTAACTTGCAAGTCAAAACAATTCTACACTCAAGAGACCGTCAACATGTTTCTCATGGTTACCAATCTTCCTGTTTCCCTTTAGGGCTCACAACCCAGATGAGGAGATTCTGTCCCAGCTGATGGTTCAGGACAAGAGACCGAAACACGACCCTCCCTCAATAGAAGAGGAACTTCTTCTCAACCACAGACTTCTCGTGAGTGATACATCTTTTTTTTTTTTTAAGTGCTTTTAGTGAATGAAAGAGGGAAGCCCAATAGCTGTGTCGTGTATTTATTCAATATGCAACATTTACTTAGAACAAGTGAAACGTTACAAAAGGAAAGATCATTAATTTGAGATGCACGTAGCTTATGTGTCTGAAGTTATTGCAGAGGAAAGAGAAAAACATTTGAATCGGTTTTCACCATTAACCTTTAAATGATCTTTTCAAAAGAAATTGCCCTTAAATTAATGAATCCCTATTCAAAGCAAATATGTTCAAGACATGAAAGTTTTATTCGGCTAACTCCCCCCTTTCTGTATATTGCTTCTTCAGAGCTGTCTGGAGGAAACCGACCAATCAGATTTGTTCCTGAGCCCCGTTGCTGAAGGGAGAAGTCAGCTGCTCACAGACAGGGACCCTATTTTAGGAGGCATACAGAGACCTGTTTCTCCAGGTAAGATTAACACCTCAGATTCAACATATTGCAGCTCCAGATTTAATTGGTTGGAGTTAAAATGAGAAGTCAAGGGCCAAACAAAATGTTTTGCACAATTTCTTTTGTGCCATACAGACTCTTTAATGACCTTCGGACATACTACATTGTGGCTTTCATTATGTTTTCTGTTTCGTCTGCTTATGGTGAACGTGATATCTCAGCAATGCCTGCTGTTTCTGGATGAACTTAGTTAGTTTTCAGGTCAGACCACAGAAGGTCACTGTGACCTCACATCCTTAGTCCCCAGCAATGCAATTGTTTTTTTGCGTAAGGTTTGGCACAAAAGCCCTCAGCTCCAGGATGAACTACCTCATTAGAATTGCTGGTCAAATTGCGGCGTCCCTCCCTAACGGGCCCTCAGCCTTCAAGGAAAGTTGCGGGTAGATTGCCCTGGCTAGTCTCACGTCGCCTCCGTGGGAACCATTTCCCTTAGTCTCCATCGGACCCTCGGGTCTCTGGTCTTTGGCTTTTGGGAGAAAAGTTTGTGTTTGTGTGTGTGTGTGAAGCAGTTTAAGAAGAGGCCTCCATCACTCCTCTAACGTGCTGGTGTCGCTCTCTCCTACAGCTCTGATGAGGGACATATTCCCATCTCGTTGACCTGACCTGTCCCCGCCTCCCTCACCCACGACTTGACAGAGGCGATCAAGAGTCGCCCAGACTTCTGCGCTGAAACCGCCGGACACAAACATAGACTGACGCAGGCAGTGTAACCACGCTCTGAGGTCCGCCGTCACCTCCATGCTTTTGTAGCCAGTTAAGGTCCAAGTGGGAACTGATGACAGGTTGTAACGCAGGTGGTGCTGCAGTTTGCTTTCTTGAACCCAGTCTCTTGTTTTCCCATTACATTTTAAACGTAATCTCTGATTCAATGTGAGAATCCAGCAGGTGATGCTAAAAAGATGTTTTGCAAAAATCCTGTGAGACAAATCTGGAAATATTTCTCCAGCATGTGATTCTTCACAGCTATCAATTTAATCGCATTTCACCATTTCAGTATGTTTCATTATTTAGACTCCCATAATGCTCTGGTTTAATTTCATGCCAACTTCCATTGAGTATGACAAGTTGTATTATTTGTTTCTTGTATCTCACTTCAATCCTTGTTTCTTTGTTTTTTCAAATTACACCGACAGAGAAAGAAATGACTCTTTATATCAGTGGCAGCGTTTATTTCAGTGGCATATTTTTTGTGTTATTCTTATACTCTCCCAATTGTTACATGCAAGTTATTTTAATCCAACTCCGAATTCCTTAAGGCGTTTGTTTTACTCGTCCTGTGGTGCCAGCTGGGTGAGGTTTGTGTTGCCAGGCCGAACATATTTACTACGGAGGAAAAACAAAGTGAGCTAAACGAATAAAAAAGCAGTTTGGTTTGTCCCTTTTTATTATAATTACAATTAGGAAAAATAAAGTGATAAATGAAAGTAATAAAAGCAGTAGATGTTTGTTTGTTTTTTCATGCTTTCTATAGAGATGCATTTAAAATGCTAGTGGTGTGTCAATGAGTTTCATTTTTTGACGTGTAACAAACTGTGCCTCAACATACTTTGTATAATGAGAGTAGACTTGTATTTTAGTTGTAGCCTTTGATGAACATATAACGTATATTGTGATTGGTTTTTGGCCTTGGATATTTTCCACAAATAAACCCTCAAACTGCCTTCTGTCCTTATTCAATGTAAAAGACATTCATTTCAAACCGGTTCTTGGTGCTTTTTGACACTTTTCTCCTGTTTGCATTCTTAAACTAGAAGCTGCTGAAGCAGAAGCTAGTTCAGGGTGTGAATAAGTCAGAGAATGAAACAACTCCTAGGCCCTGTTCCTCGTACACAGCTAACTAGATCGGTGGCCAGATCATTTTCAGGATTTTCAAGATTGCAAGTCAAGCTTTTCAGTTCCAAGGAGCAAGTTTGGTAAAATCCACATAGCAACTCATCCATAAACTTGAACCTGCTCAAAAGCAGCCTAACTTAAGTTAGCTGGATAAGCTTGCCACTCCCCCCGAAAAAAACTAGCAGCTCCCTTCTTAAGAGAACCCAATGATGAAGTAGTTAGATTATTTTTATAGGGAGGGCGTTCGAGATCACCCAGATCACTGCTTCAACTGACTTTCTGATGATGAATAATGATAGTATGTATAATATTAATACATACTGATCCACAGATTTACACACACATATTCAAACTCCTAGTTCTACACATACGTGTGTATATCCTCATAACTATTAACTTGTTTCAGTGAGATACTCTTTGGTCTTGCTGTTAACTTTCACTCACTACATAGTTATGTGTGTGGAATAATGTTGTATAGCCCGAAAATGGCAAACTACAGATTGTCCTCAGAGGCCTGTGCAGTCTGTACACATGCGACATCCTCTGTCCCGAAACTCTCATCGGCTCCGTGAACCTTTTCATAGTTTCTTTTTCCGTTTGAACAATAACACAAAAAGCCTGTTATCCTGTTACAATAAAATTCAAATGGATAAAGTAAAAATAAGTGAAAAGACAAAATGTTAAAAGTTCAAAACTTTAATCAGACCTTCAAAAAGTATGTCGACATGAGCCTGAAACGTTCGCAGGACCAATAACAGCTTACGAAAGAAGGTTGCGTTCTGTTAAATGATCATTTCAGGCTCTGCTTAGTGGGAATGAGTATTGGGCGCAATACGTGGTGGTGGTGGTGTCCAGGAACAAAAGGACGCGTGTGACTCATGAAGCTGAGGACTCCGATCACACAAGACAAAGGTGATCCAGAGATCTATTAGTTAATGACACAGTGTGGAATATTGGAAAAATGTACTTAAAAGTATAGTGTTTAAAGGTCCTAGCAATGTTTGTCATTGAAAAAACATTGTACACATCAAAAAAATGTCACGGTACATCATTTAAATAAATAAATAAAAGTTTGAACAACAAACCTGGTGTGTTATACAGTCTCCCTTAATGTTTCTGTGTACATGTAAAGACTGAACCCTTGTTTCATTCAATGTACTTCGGTCCAGTAGATGACAGTACGCATCCCATTTAGAATATATGAAATAGATGAAGAATTACTCAGTTATTTTAATAAGAGCGATTCATGTGTTTGTGATGGGACGTTGACTTGCCCAAAACAAAAGAGTCTGCGAAGCTACAGAGAACTTGATCAACTTTAGTCTGTGGGAAAACATATAAGAATGACTTCTTACACAGTTCAAATTCTATATGCGTATACATTGATAGCTAAAACTGGTTTTAACTGAATTTGAACTGTGTATAAGTATTAATGATGCACCAACAAAGAACAACTACGCAATTTATTTATGCCTTAGTGTTGTTCTCTTTCCTTACGACATTTCTTGGCGTTTTTCTATTGTTATTTTGTCTACTTTTATGTCTGTCTTTTTTTTGTTCTTAGCCTCTGCGGGGGCCCCAGGCATGTGAGGCTGAATGTAACAGTTATATATTTTTATTTTGCTGTTCCTTATTGACTAGTTGTGAAATTGTGCAATTTTCAATAAAAATAAAGAAACGCCTGTGGACACAGAATTTGTAATTCCACTATTGGCCACTACATTTAACTTTGTTTAAAGTCTGGCGCTCTGACTGTGGACATGCCGAGGACACACTAACTAAATGTCTTTACGACTGTTATATATGATGGTTATTGTAATCCACGGTGGGACACACACGTAGTTTGCGTGTATTCTGTGGCGGTAGCCGGTTTATTCGAATCGGCGCAGGCCTGCTCTTCTCGCACCAGCCTGTAACCGGCGCTCTATGTAATCAGGCTAACCGCTTAGCATTAGCTAGCGCCTGTGTAGCTGCATGCTAACGCTAGCTGACAGCTACATGCTAACGCTAGCTGACAGCTACATGCTAACGCTAGCTGACAGCTCCCTGAGCTACAGGGACACACGGGAGGAGCAGTAGAAGCTAATTAATGACACAGGTCTGCTTGTAGCTGAATCACTGAAGAGGTTCAACGTTCAAAGGGCGATGTTGTCCGTGTTCGTCAGGTCAGCTCTCACCAAATGTAAGTCCCAATGTTTGACTGGTTCGCTGCTTTATTGTGACATTAATGACAAATGTGTTGGAATGTCCTAAAACCTTACATTGTACCTGATGTCGGGTACGCAGGTAACTGCAGACGGACGAAAGTATTGGCGTTATTTAACAGCGTTAAACAGCCTTTTAGGGCAATGTAGGTGAAAGGTCATCACTAGTCTTGTTTCGTGCAACATGTAAGGTTGTGTTGAGCTTCTCTGGGCTTTAACCAGTGGTTGAGGTGGTATTCTGAAACTAGAGGTACTGATACCTTTTTAAAATATTAGTGAAAGTTACAAATAAAAGTCCTGCATTGGACGTAAACTTAAAGTTCTTCCAACTGGTTGAGAAAAGTCTAATTTTAGTCGTGATGCCTCCTACTTGACCTCCATAAGTCCATCATTGGCTTTTTCTACAGTGGTTCTTAATTCAGGCCCGTTGGAGGGAGGAGAGACATGAGAGGACCAGGACTAAATAAAGGATAAATAAATAAGGATAAAATAAAGAGGTTTTCTAAATGGCGTAGTGCTACAGAAATACTGATGTCCAGAGGGACTGCTAAAAGCTCCACGCCATCAAAGATCTTTGTGGTAACTAAGTAAAAGTATATAACGTTAAGTATAACACGCACAGTGTACTTGTAGCCTATTAAATCATAGTCCTCTAGCAAACAAAAGGATTTGCAAAATGGTTGGAGTAATACAGTCTTAAAAAAGATGTCTTTCATTTCATTTCCAGAAGTTACAGGAATAAAACTTGTGCATTATTGTTGACCAGAACAGTTTATCTACAGTAGCATCTAGCCTAATATACATTTCTTGTGTGAAAAAAGTGTGTGAAATGTAGGAAGATTGTGAAACCAAAATTCAATTTTTTTTAAAGCATGAATATATTAATCACACAACACTAAAAAAGGCACAACATTTTTATAATTCTGAACCTAGGAGTCTGGAATAGTTGCTTTTAAAATAACCTACACACGTTATACTTTACTTAAGCCCATTCAACAAATTAAAAAATGATATTCTTGGACTGCGTTCCTGAATGGTCTGTTCTTTGTTGCATTCAAAAGAAAAATACCCTGGATTAGGTCTACAATTATTCAATCATTTTTAATGATTGAATAATCTATTAATAATTTCTTTCTTTAAGGGAATTTGTGCCTGTGAAAACCCAGCATAAAGCATGAACTCCTTCAGTCCAACTAACAGTACATACACCTTATGATGTTTAGTCAATAATAAAATCAGAAGCAGAATATTTGGTACATTTGTTAACGAGAACAAGTGTGAGAGGATTAATCCATTACGGTAACAGCAGATGATTCGTTGTGTGATGGCTTTCTGACTGGCTTCCATTGCTCTGTCTATAGGTGTGCAAATGTAAGTTGCTGCTTGGGTCTTTTTGGATGAACTGGTCCTGTTGTTCGTGTCATTCTGTCTCTGTGCTCTCAGACAGGAGATCCTGGCTGCCCGGTCAGGCTGTGGTCAGGGCCATGTCGTCCTCCGGTGGTGCCGTCTCTCCTTACACCACCCTGGCCATCAGTCACCCAGCAGAGTCCGTCACACACGTAGAGCTGCACCGGCCTGAGAAACGCAACGCCATGAACAAAGCTTTCTGGAGGCAGGAATACGTTTGTATTCATATGTGATCATTTGAGACTAGAAATGATGACGACGTGCTTCAAGAAATACTCACCCCATGTTAATAAAAAATAGACACAATGTTTGAGCAATTAAAGTGTTTTTAATTGATATACAAAATGATCATTTTGGGGCTGAAGTATCCCATTAATGTTTTACTAATTAAAGCACCAGTACATAGGTATATAACCAACTATCCAACAATATTGGTAATTTCCCCCCAGTGAAATGGTGGACTGCTTCAATGAGATCGCTGTGGACCCGGGCTGCAGAGTGGTGGTGGTTTCTGGAGCTGGGAAGGTCTTCACCGCTGGTAAGTATCACACTACAGTATCACACTTTACAACACGATTTACAATTTACAATTTTATTTGTCCTCTGTTCTGTGCTGCTGTCCAGGTATCGACCTGATGGACATGGCCAGCGACGTACTGATGCCAGAGGGGGACGACACGGCCAGAATCGCCTGGAACATGAAGAGAGTAATCGCCAAGTATCAGGAGACCTTCTCCGTCATAGAGAAGGTCAGACCTGAAGAATGGTGCTCTTCGTCACACTGAGGAGTTGTGAGATCACAGACATGATGATGTCTTTGGATGGACGGCATTTCTAACAGTTTATTGTCCATGTACATTCTCCTTTAGTGTCCAAAGCCTGTTGTAGTGGCCGTCCACGGAGCCTGTGTTGGGGGAGGTATGACATCATCATCATCATCATCATTACACCGTCATACTGTTTCCATGAATTACGATGTTAAAGAACAGGTATCATAAAGTTAGATTAGCGGGTTTAGCTGTTTAGATTTGCGCTGGTTTTTTGGTAGAATGTAGCTGATGCACTTTTAATAAATATTATATTAAACTATATAATAGGACATTGTACTTTATTATACCCGTACAGTTTTAGTATTTGATATTCTGTTAGATATGCTGTGTATTATCTTAAAGCATATTACTATATTTCACCTTATAAAATATCTTGAATTGCATACTATATCATAACTGACTATATTATGCCAGTAAGCTTTTTTTTTTATTAATGTGAAACTCAATTCATATTACCTCATCAATACAGACAAAAACAAAATACCAATCGTATGTTTGTTTTTTTTCTCCCTGTAACATAGGCTTGTTATTGATCACGTTATTGTCACTTTATATTGTAATTACATTTTTGTATATGCCTCTTATTATATATTTAATTTGCGTCCTAAATTAATCCGTAACATTTCTGTCCATGTGCTGCTCATCTGTTATGTATTGAGGCGTTTAGTATTTCCCACTGAACATGAAATGCCAGCTGTATTTAAAAAGCCTGATACAAACATTCCCACAAATTCATAGTACATACTCTTAATATTTGGATATTATTCTGCAGCTTCTGCTATGATTGTTTGTATTTCGCCTTGGTATTCATACCTGGGGATTTCACATGTAATTAGCATTTAAATGATACCAGTTATCTACTGAGATTGTATCAGAGGATGGTGTGCGATTTAAACTGACAGAAGTGAGAAGGCTCAGGGCGTTTTCCCACCATTGTGTTCACTGTGGTTGTTCTGCTGTGCGGCAGGTGTTGATCTGATCACGGCCTGTGACATCCGCCTGTGTACGCAGGACGCCTGGTTCCAGATCAAGGTCTGTACATGCCATCGAAATATCAGGACCAGACATGATAATGAGGAGAAATGGAAAAATGTCTCTCGAAACAGGGAACAAACAATTGATTTAAAATTAAGAGCTGAAAAATAAAATGTGTAATTTTGAGATGGTAAAACAAATTGTCCGCTTTAATATTATCAACTAAGTGGACATTAAATGTTTGTATACTTTTTATTATTTGACAACATATTTTTGCCTTTTTCCGTTTTATGATAAAAACAATTGAGGACTATTGGATTGCATTCATCTTTCATAATGGTGTTTAGGTATAAAAAGGCAAACGATTTGTGTAAACGTGTGCATAGCAATTTCATGCTTGGAAATACCCACGTAGATGTCTCCACACACCATCGATATTCTAATTTAGGATACTTGTAAATGACGTTACCGATCTCTGTTTTGTGGTCGGCTTTACAGGAAGTTGATATTGGACTCGCTGCAGATGTCGGAACTCTCCAAAGACTTCCAAAAGTCATCGGCAGCCGCAGGTTAACGGCCCATTTTATCTTTGGCTTACTTCTAAATGTGCTAGATGTATGTGAAAATACATGTGATGTAGTGTTCAGGGTAACAGCAAAATGACACATTACAAATGGCAAAACCAATCATCAGTGATTTAAAAAAGGAAATTACATGCCAGGATGAGTTATTCAATTAGTTGTGAAGGCCAGTGTTCATTGTGGATTTTTGAGACTTTGGTAAGTGAACCCTTTTTAAAACTGTCACAACAGCCTAATCCATAGACTGCAGCCAAAAAACAAACTCTCAGAACCTTAAAGACTTTAAATGTGTCAAATACACGTTTTAAAGAGAGAACTACAAAATGTCTGCTGACAAGACAACATACATAATTAACACTAAGTTAGATACAATTGCCACATTGTTCTCATGTGGCACCTTCTGCAGCCTCGTGAACGAGTTGGCTCTGACGGCCAGGAAGATGTTTGCCGACGAAGCCAAGAGCAGCGGACTGGTCAGGTAAGTGAATCCTCTACACCAGGGGTCTCAAACTCAAATCAGCTGCGGGCCAGATGCAGCCCACTTCAACCGAACGCGGGCCAGACTAGCGTCCGAACGGCATGGTCGACAATAACACAACTTAACACTCACTTTCAAAAGAAAGTTCAAAAGAACTTTCATTGAACCCCACCCTGGGGGATCGGTTCGAATGAGACTACAACACTAGTCCTCCTTTAACTCAGCGGGGGAGACCTAAGGTCATGTGACCGTGGAATTCCTTTATAGCCAAACGTGAAGTTACGTGAATCGAAGCTGCGTAGTAATGGACGGAGACGCTCGTCGGTGACGTCAGATGCTTCATGTGTTGTTAGTGTGAGTCGTAAAGGAAAACTTTATTAAACGAGCGATGCTAACGGTTAGTCACATGATCACCTGCGCGAAAGAGGGCAGGAAACTGAATTTCACCCTCCTGCTCTCTGCACCTCGGCCGACACACACGACCCGCCCCCCATGTCAGTCACATGCATGCCACGTTCACTGGACAAGCACACAGTAGGAAACCAGAACATCATAACATGTCCCACACAGCAGCTGACAGTGGGGTTACAGTATAAAACTTGCGGGCCGCACTAACATTACACTTTCATATTAAGGATGGGGCCACAAAATATCGTCCCGAGGGCCGCAATTGGCCCGCGGGCCGCGAGTTTGAGACCCCTGCTCTACAGAATCACACACGTGGATACAGGAGGTGTTTTCCGTTAGCATCATTTTGATACCAGATATTCAAAAGGAGAAAATCCAATATCCAATTGAATATCCAAAACACATTGTGAAGACTGACATTTTGACATCTGCAATTACTTTATATTCTGGTGGCCAAATGGATAATGTGCCAAAATGTTCATTCAAGATATTAAAATGCAACTGTGGATATCTTCAATATATTTCAAGTATCTTAGTTTGTTTGGAATAGTAGTCGAAGCTCTAGATAGCCTTAAATAGTTTCTGCTAGTAGCAATGAAATTCTGACTACTGCGGGTATCATTTGTTGACTAAAAGTAATGTTATTATGGATATTTATGTAAACGCAATATCAACCATAACCTATCTTAGGCACTGAATTGCAGCCCATTTTCCCCACACGTTTCCTCTCCAGCCGAGTGTTTGCAGATAAGGAGGCCATGATAGCCGCCGCTCTGGAGATGGCCGATGAGATTGCTGTTCGCAGCCCCGTCGCCGTGCAGGGCACCAAAGTCAACCTGATCTACTCCAGGGACCACAGTGTGGCGGAGGGCCTGGACTACATGGTGAGAACACTGCAATTATTTTGCCTTAAATTTACACAATGTTCGAGTTACGCCGAAGTTGAAAAGTGGTAGGTTCCTTTTTCCAAAAAGGCATAAACCGATCTCAGAACGGCATTTAGCCGCATGGACCTGCCTCCTCTTCCAAATCATTTCCTTTTTTGGCTTAATTTAAAAATAAAGCTAAAACTTTGCCAAGGCAGTTAGTGTGACTAACCAATAGGAACGACGCATCTTTTAAATTGTTTTTGAGTTTATATCCTTATGGTGGAAATGCACTTTACATGTCATTTAGCCGACGCTTTTATCCAAAACGACTTGCTCCGACTTGGCTCATTAAGCCATCACATTAGGGCGATCCGTTCGCCCAACAACCCCCCCCGCCCACACCCAGTAATCAGCATGCATCAGTCTGATTCAATAAGTCACCACATTTCACTACCATAAGTGATTCGTTGTGTATTTTCCCTCTTGATCTCTTGAAAACGTGTGTTTGAATATGACGAATACATTTTCCAACATGGCTCTTCAGTGGAGTCACAAGTCATAATACATACTCATTTACATGGGATTCGCATATAGAGGAGATGGTGGGTTTATGCCTTTCTAAAAAAGGAACTTGGCACTAATGCAATGTTAAGTGCCTCCTTTGTCCCTTTTCAGGCTACGTGGAACATGAGCATGCTTCAGACTCAGGATGTGATGAAATCCGCTCAGGCCTCCATGGAGAAGAAGAGTCCAAGGAGCATAACCTTCTCCAAACTCTAAAACCTCCACACAATAAAATCTTTCCTTGCGGTTGCCTCTGTTGGGAAAAAGGGGAGGAAACACATGGAATTTGGTCTTTCTAAAACTGATTTAGTGATCTGTGGCCATATGAAGATGATTTAATGTTGCGACTTTAGGGTAGAATTCATCAGATTTCATGTGACTGTCCAATAGTAAATGATGAAACAAATACACCTGATTGATTGTCCTGTTGAGGAGTTACGTTAGCTGTGCAGTGTACTGTGTACCAGGATGTATGCGAGCAGGGATTTGCTATGTCTTAAACCAAACTAATACAGGCTTAATGGCTTGTTAACTCATCCTAGAACACTGACAATATGAATACAGATGTTATGTCTTTCTGTTGGCAATGCACACAGCTAATGAAGTTATGCATTAATGAGTTCTTCAGTGGGAAGAGCAACATTTTGTCTATGCGTCCATACAGGATCAGGAACACCGGTAGCCATTTTGCCCACTAAACCAAACTGGGACACTCGGACTGTGAATTTTCCTTTTAAGAAATGGACGCTTGAATCCACTGGAAATATGACGATTCCAAAGATCTGTCATTGACCGTGTAAAAAGTTTGAAACAGGATAATCTGCTTTTTTCAATCTAAACTAACGGATTGAGTCAATGTGTGAGAATCTCAGATCCTTTGCTGAAAAATAAAAGACAACGTTTTGTAATTCAGTAATCTACTTCATGAATGTTTATTCTTAAACTAATCTGAAAGTTTAAAAATGTGCAAGAAAGGGAACTTAAATAAGTTAAAATACTTTATAAAAACTTTACAAACATAAAGACATGTTCAGAATCGCTACGGAGTCTGCTTGGCACGAAGCTTCTGTAAGGTTTTCTGTGAAGAGATAAGCAAAGGATCTCCAGGTGAATAAAACTACAGGTTTATGCTCGCAATTCTGTAAGAAGCATAGTATTTATAAAACCCATTTTCTCAAACACTCATAATTTAAGAGCATTACCTTGTGGAACTCTTTGGCCTTCAGTCGGTTAGCTTCATAAGCCTGCAGTCTGTTCCTGACGGCTTTCTGATGCTTCACCTCCTCCAGCTGCTCATACAGTCTGCAGCAACACACAATACATACAGATATCAAACGCCCTCGTATGGTTTTTGATCAAATGCAATAAATCCCATTTTACGTTTGAAAAGGTATAACATGTCGTCAGTTGGTGTTTGGAAACGACTCCAAATTAACTCCTTTGTGTCAATGAGCTTTTTGTGGGCATGTAGTTGAGGTAATTATCAATTATACCTTCAGCTCTTAAAAATATAAAATTAGACGTAAAAGTAGTATAAGCAACATTTCCTCCTCCGTAGACTAAAGGTTAAAACCGGCTGATAATACCTTTGAGTTCTCTGGTGCATCTCAGAAACATCCCGTTTCCTTTGCTCCGATGTGCTGCTCTTCACCTCGTTAGGCCTGCTATCGCTCGCTGAGGGAACAGAAAGAAACTATAGCAAGTCTTGTTTTTGTTTGTCTTCAGATGAAACTGAACGGGTCATTACTTTTTCAATCAAAAGCCAAAACCAAAATGATTTAACCAATTTAAATCGCCAAACCTTGGCATATACTTCAGGTAAGAGATTGGCCATTCCTTTACAGTGCAGCAAACAATGGTTATGAAATATTAATTCCACTACAACCACCATCTATCAGATAACCATTTCATAAGTCTTATTATTTTCCAGTTCGCTACTTGCAAAGAGCCGCTATCTATAATCTATATACATATAAATTAAAGTACTAGGTCATACAGCATGTGAGAACAGTATCACTTAAAAGGTTTCAGCGGACTTCAGGATGTACATCAAGTCACCTTCATAAAACCTAGTGTTACTTTTTTGGAGGTAATAAAAATATCTATATCTATCAATCAATCTCAAAAAAGGTTGAAGTGATGTGAAGTGTGGGATACCTGGAGGGGGAAGCGGGGACCTTTTCTGCTGGATCTTAGTGGTCCGATGCGGCTCTGCAGGTCCCCCCTTTGACTTGGCGTTTATCGGACGATGCGTTTCGGATTTCGTCTTTGCCTTACTGGGGGCTGGTTTAGATTCCTTAGCGTTGACTTTGACCTTGATCTCCTCCACCCTGCGGGACGATCTCTGGAGCAGCGCTCTGCGCTTCTGCTGGTGGACCTCCTGCAGGTCTTTGCCGGGACCCCACTGAAATTCCAGGAGCTTCACTGGATCTAGGGAGATGACGTTTTTCACAAAAAGAGCATAGTAACCAGCTAGCTCCAGACCGACTTGTACCTCTACCCGCTGAAAGAACTCCCTGAGCATCGTCAGTCAGTTGATAAACAATAAAACACAAAAACTACCATAATCTCCATCCTAAACATTGACTCAAACTAACACATTTGGAGGCAAAGAAAAGAAGGGACGCAAGAACTAAAACTTAAGTATATATTGTCTTGAGTCTCTACAGCCAACGAGTTTTTAAGGTGAATTCACAATTTTTTAGAGCTGGTAAGTAACATCCCACCTTGGCTATTTCACAGCATGAATGGAAAGAATACAAAACGTACCGGAAAAAAAACAATAACAGAAGACGTATGCTTTTGATCTTGCCACCATTGTCTTGCTAGAACAGCTGTAAGCACGTCATGAACTGAAAACCCAATTGTTTCTCTGTATTTGGTCAAAGTTTGAGGGACAATAGGAAGAGATTAATTGCTGCACCTTATTCGTTTGGTAAATGTGGCCATGCATTACGGCTTTTAATTAAATCTGTTCGAGTATGTTGATCGTTGTTCCTGATATGAAATATACAGATAAATTCAGTTGACCTGTTTTTACCTGGATATGGGTTCTTCTCGTCTTCTGGAGTCCCAGCCCGTAACAACGTGGATGTAGACCCCTAGAAGAGCAGAGGTTTCTGAGTATAGAAAGACGCCTGTTCCTAACAAATGCTATTATTAAGCCACTCCAAAAAAAATACCCCCACCCACCCCCGCATAAGTAAAACAATTTAAAAAGTTTTTCTACAGCATAACAACTTCTGGCTGTAAATAACGGTTTTGGTGTCTTCCAGTCAGGCTTTGGACAGCACCACAGTAATGAAACTGCTCTTCTTAAGGTTCTAAGCGGACAGAGCGCTTTTCTCAACAGGATTGGGAAAAACTTAAGAGTGGACTAGACTGGACTATTGCATTGGTTTGTTCACAGGTGTAAAAGGTCAGTCAGAACACTACAGCTGCACCACTGGCGTCCTTTTCCAACGAAGAATTGGCTTTCAAATCCTCCTTTTGGTTAAAGCACTAAATAGTGTAGGTTAAAAATACATTTCTGACAGACCTTATGAACCCTCCCAACCTCAGGACACGCGGCTTCTGTTCCCAGAACCAAACATGGAGAAGCAGCATTCAGTTTGTTTTACTGGTACTGCTTATTTCATCAACTGCACTGAAAATGTTATTCTTGTTTATCATTTTAATGGGTTTTTACTTAAATGTCCTGGAGAAGGAGGACGTGAAGTGATCAAAGAAGATATTACTGAAAAAAATGGGATATTGTATCACAAGCAAGGGTCAGTCAAACAGCTAATGCTACCTAAATCTGCAAGAGAACTGATGCTTATATACCCTGGGTAGGAAACACAAAAGCTTTAACAAATATTTCTACCAGCCGAGTCTACGAGCTGATGTGGACCAGTATTGCAAAAGCTGTCACAGCCAGTTATCCTGCTGAGGTTCCCCTAACTTATGCCACTACATTTGGGCAGTTGAGTATGAAGATTGTGGGCCCTGTAGAAAGGAGCAAGTCAAGAAATCGCTTCATGTTGGTAATAACAGACTATGTTACCAGATAACCAAAAGTCCTTCCCCTGAAAACTGTCAAGGCAAAATTAATTGCTTTGTGTTTGGTGCAATTCTTTGCAAGGTTGGGGCTTCCCACGGTTAAGGTACTTGCCTTTAGCTTGAAGAGATGCCCCTCAGGCATCAACAGGTTTCTCTCTGTTCGAACTCTTGCACGGAAATGAAAGAAAGAGGTTCCCTTGCTCTGCTTTAAACTCACTCACTTTTCACCTTTTAAAAGAAACTCCTCGTTGTACTAAACTGACGAAACCCAAAATTGTGGTTAAAGGATGTCCGATGTCCTTAAAAAAAAGTAGAAGTGATGCTGTTTTTAGGCATAATTGAGGTATCGAGGAGCGGTGTAACACCATGGTCTTAGTTCCAAAGAAAGATGGCACGACAAGATTTTGCATTTTTACTTTTCCCACTTTACCCACTCTCCCAGCTTCATACCTACCCTGGTCCCGCATGCAGCACTTTAAACATTGCCTTGTTCTAATGTGATTTACAAATACATTTGCCTTGCCTGCTGAAGTCAAAAACAAATAAAGTCAGTCACCTCGGTCTCTTGAGCTTGCTGTCCCTTTTCCTCTACTTCCTCACGGTGTTTGTCTTCATTCTTTTCCTCTTCCTCAGGGACAATTGTCTCTTGGTCCTGCAGCGTGGTGTCGGTCAGGCTCACTAGTGTTATCTCTGACTGCTCTAGGATCCCCTTCTCACCAGCAGCTTCCTGAGGAACAACAGACATGTTAAAAATATGACATTGCAAACAAGTTCTAAAGAAAGCGTAAAAACTTAACATGTTCCAATAAACTTTGACCTATGCATCTTCAATTAACATCCTGCAGCTGAAGCGCAACAGGACAATTCTCAGGCGTTGCATCTTTGGGCGTTGCTTTTAGTTAGTGTCTGATTTAGTGAGCAAGAAAACATCGTACCAATAGTTTATCTAACAAAGGACAGACGTGGTTTCTGTCTGCATCCGCTCCCTCCATTATGTCCACGTTCGGTGGATCGTCACACACCGTTAAACGTGACGAGAGCAAAGCCGCTGGCTCTGCGTCTGTCCTGGTGTCTGGGAACAGCACGAGGACGGACTCGTGGGGACGGCACTGGGAGGCGATCAGCGGAGAGAAGGAATCCTGCAAAGCTTCCACGCAGCTCGACGGCTCCTCCGCTCTGAGGCGTTCGGGTGACGCCTCGGACTCATCGGCGTTGGTTTCAAACTCCTCAGAAGACGTGGAAACGGCATGTTCCCCGCTGGCCGGCTGGCCCTCAGGGGACGTAGGCACATTGTGTTCGGGCAGGTGGAAGATCATGGAGGGGTCTGCAGTTTCGTTGTGGGTGATCTCAGCCAGCATTGGGTGGAAGGAGTCAGAGTCTGGAAATGGTGAAGAGGGTGATAGATATGAATGTCAGTATAGCGAGTCACTGACCGGCTCCTGGGGAGCGCAGGGCCTTTCTAAAAAAAATTAAACAATGTTAACTAATAGAAAGTTAGAGGCCTCTGAAAAGGAGGTGCTTGGTGCCCTCCAACAAAGACGCAACAACATTTTTCAACAATTCACTGTAATTCCGTGAATATTTTTTGCCCTCACCTTCAGTCCTCTCTGGGCCCAGGTCCATTGACATCGATTGGTCCTGCGCTGTCTGGGGATGTGGATGCTCAGCAGGGGCCGAGACACCGTGTGACGAGGGTTCAGGAGGAAACACCGGGTAGGACGGCACACCGGCCTCCGTTGAGACACCAAGATCCACGTGTGTCCTTTCATCTACAAAAACAGCAGAGTGGTTGATGACAAACTCGCACCGCGAGCAGAGGAATTTGATTAGGACGGACATGCATTGCAGTTTAAAAGCTGGGATTCTTCTGCCATAAAGTTGGATTTTATCCAGACCAATGTCAGAGAGGTCTACCCTCTGCATCTCAATAGTTTTGTTTTAGCTTCTTAGCAACAACATAAAGGAGACAAAGATCCTTTTGTAAGTAGGATTAAAAAGAGAACAGCTTCCAAATGTTAATAAATATTAACAAGCACGTGGTAAGCAAAATTCACAGAAACATAATATCTCATGAATGGAGGTTTGAATCAGACTAAGCTTAAATATATCTACAAAATAGTAATCAGCCTAAGGAAGTAGATTTAACAGAGTTAATTCGATTTTATGAAACGGTGTGCATCGATGAGTCATCTGTTCATCATTAATGGTTTATCAATAAAACATTGTAAAGATGATAAATAGCCGTCATAAAATTACTATTTTGAAAAGGTGCAGTCTGGTCTTTCGTTTATTAGCAATTTGAGACCTCGCAACCCTCCGCCCTTCAATTGCCACACACACACACACACACACACACACACACACACCGGAGCTTTCACTGTGCTGGCCAGAAGACTCATCCTGCTCCACAACCAGCGGCCTCATCTGGCTCTCCTCCGGACCTCCATCCAGCCCCGTGGTCGCCTGCTCCGATGCCACCCGACCAGTCAGGTAGTCGGCGTAAAAGTCCTGCCCGCCGCTCGGCCAGTGGGAGCTGGGCTGATGGGAGAGTCGACTGATCATGCGGCTCAACGTGGAATCCCATCTGCCTTGATCAAAGCTCACCGAAGCCGACGGGCCTGGTAGCTGACAAATCATGGAGGAGTGAGCGGACGGTAGACCGACCAGCAGCTGCATGGCTGAGTCCCTCTGCTCGGCGGCGAGGCAGGACGACTGGTCCGCCAGCTGGCCAATCAGAGGTCTAAAAGAGTCCTGATCCTGGTACTCAGCGATTGACGGGTCCTCTCCCGAGAAGTGCTCCAGGATCGGATCTGTTGTGGGTTGTGAATCACTGACCAGGCCTCGCTTCTGAACTTCCTCTGTGTCTGATGGAAGAGACCAGCGGGAATAAGAGCTTTCATCCTCCCCTCTCCTCTCCGTGACTCCAGCCAAAGTCTGCTGTGACACCGAAGAGGCTGGTTGCTCCGTGTACGAGCCTTCGCTATCTGCAGACCAACGAGAGAGAGAGAGAAAACAAGACGCAGACTTTAGGTTAAAAGAAATCATGTGCTGCCAGTAAATTTGGCCTGTTCAAAATAAAACACATTGGTTGCCATGACAAATTTTGATACCTTTCACATATATATTGGGGAACAAAGGCCATTGCCGATACTGATCACTCACTGAGCTCAGTTCAAGTGTAGAAGCCCTCATGGAATGTATTTTATTCAAATACTTTATGTCGAGGTAGATCATAGCTCGGTGCACACATGCAAATGCTGGCTGGCCTGCGCGTTGTCATTTCCAAATGTTTCAAACCCCACCACAAGCAGACGTAGTAGGATGAAGCATTCATTCAAATATTCAGAAGGCAACGCAGCCAACACTAGCATGCTGATATCTGTCATGCTGAGAATGAGAGTGACAGAAGCCTTGAAACGCATCGTATTACCTGTGGTTCGGCCAGCAGCGCTGAGGGAGATGTTTAGCTCCCTGGTGTATTTGTCTATAATATGCTGGATGCTGCTGTCGTTAAACAGAGAGTCCACAGCCAGACCAGAACGGCTTGCGGCCGAGCTGTCGATGATACAGGAGCTGTGAGCGGACGGCGATGAGATATGGAGTGAATATCCTCCCCGTCCTGGCTCAGCACAATGTCTGAGCGATGGGGATTTATCTATGGAAGAGGTGTGGGAGAACAAGAGGAATATGTATTTAGGCTGGTTTGTACAGCGTATGGATCACGTGTAGAGCATCTCATTAGGCTTAAATTTGATTGAAAGATTTTTTTAAATGTAGAGTATGAGGTACTTGTCTAGAGTCAGTGTGCTACAGTAGATGGAGCACCAGCACAGGATCAAAGAAATGTACTGCTGTAGATTGGACACACGTCAAATTGCAATTTAGAAACGTAACAGTAACATCTAGAGCACTAGACTTTACGTTAGTACTTTAGGGCCTAAAGTACTAGTTAGTACTTATTAGGAATAAAGTACTAGTTAGTACTTTAGGGCCCAAAGTACTAACGCTTTTGCGTATTTGTACTTGCACGTTAAAGCATGCCAAGGTTTCTACAACCATGAGCTAACACACAGACTATTTACAAGTGCCTCATACAACCCCGTTTGAAAAACATCTGAACTATGCCCATAAAAAAGTGATACAAATCAGGGCAGCTTCATAAAAAAATTGAAGCAAATTACAACAGGTCACCAAATAATGCTTTCTATTTAGACTCATCGAACCAGATCAGTAAGCCAACAGTAAAGAGTTTCTTGATCAAACCACAAAACAAAAAGCGAGCCACGTCCCCGCAGTTCCTCACCAGCATCAACATTGAGCTCAGGATCCGTGGTGATGTAGCTGCCGGTGGAGATGGTGGTGGAGGAGTCAGAATCAAGAGGCCTATGTGCAGACTGACACATGCACACATAATAATTGTTAAAAAGGGACACGCGTACATGAACACAAACTCACTGAGCTCAGTTCAAGTGTAGAAGCCCTCATGCAATGTATTTTTATCAAATACACTTTGGGTCCAGGTAGATGCACATCATCGCCACACACACACACACACACACACACACGATGGAAGAGTAAAAGAAAGAAAACAAGTGAAAGAGAAAAAAGAGTGAGAGCTCAGTTCAAGTGTAGAAACCATCATGAAATGTATTTTTATAAAATACACTTTGGGTCTAGGTAGATTCACATCATCGCTCCACATACAAAAGAGAATGAACGAGTAAAAGACAGAGGAAAAGAGAGAGGGTAAAAGAGAAGACGAGTAAAAGAGAAAAGTAAAAGAGAAAGAGCTCAGTTCAAGTGTAGAAACCATCATGAAATGTATTTTTTATCAAATACACTTTAGGTTTGGTAAATTCACATCATCGCTCTGTGGACAGAAACAACAACAACATAATCATCATTCACTCCACGTCCCGGGTGCGTGACACGGACAGAAATGTTAGACGGATGCCTGTATTTTAGTCAGAACTGTTCCTTCTCTTGTAACTTTCGGATCAGTCTCCATTTGCCACGAGGTGTACGACTTGAAAGAAGAAGAAACCTCAAAGGCAGGAAGCGTTACCTCGGCAGAGGGTCTGCTGCTTGTGACCGCGGGACCAGAGTAGTCGGCTCCTCTCCCAGAGTCGGAGGAAAGCGGTGAGATCACCCTCAGGACTGAGTCTGGAATCAGCGTTCCAACAGAGAGGAAATGGCTTGTTTTTCTAATCAAATACTGAAACATTTTCCTTCCGTAGTCTTAATCTCTTCACCTGCCCTCTACGTACCAGACCCAGAGGACTCTGGAGACGCCCCCGTCAGCAGCCTCTCTCTCCAGGTTCCTCCTGAGCTCGTCCCAGAGACAGTGGATCGATCAGCCGTCCGCTGCCCACTGCTGGACCAAGAGGGTGCCTGCACGGTCCTCTCAGAGGAGGTGGACGATTTCAAATCCTCCTGCCAGTCCCGGCTCAGAGCCTGTGAGGGGACTATCCCACTATCCTCCGGGCCTGTAGGTCGGAAACACAGAGAATCCAATCGAATGACAATCAACTCTCAAAAGCTCGTCACGGGGTGTGGGCGTGTGATGCTGGATCTAAGCTCACCTGCGACTTGGCTAGAGTCGACCGGTGTCTCCACCTCTTGAATAGCACTGAGCTCGTGTTGCTCCATCATCATCTCCCCGGCGCACAGCCTGAAGCGGGTCACTGGGGGCTTCGCTGCTCTGGGTGGAGGGTGCAGTCCAGCAGGGAAGACTGACACTGGGGAAGGTCCCGCAGGAACATCACTCCGACAGATGAACTCTGAATGGAAAAATAAAAATGTCATTAAAAGAAAGATGTTTAAATGTATTGGAATTTAATAGAACACTGGCAAATTAATTGATAATTAGTACCTATGAAAAGGGACAATGTCACTTTTGGGAGGATTCCAATTATAAAACAAAATACGGTGGAAAGAGATTTCCATTCTCACCACTGTCAGATGGCTTTTGCTGAGGGGAGTGTTCTTTCTCCTCTGGGTCCTCTAAGTGAGATAAAGTTCCTCCATTGGACTCCTCTATAGCTCTCAGCAGGGACGCCAGTAGCTTAAGGCGGGTCTGGCCGATGTCCTCTGGAACCACAACTTCACCGGCGGCCTCTGGAACAAGCTGTGGGTGAAGGGAATGCATCAGGAGACTTATTCTAACAATTCTTAACTGAGCTCAATGAGTTGGAACAGCCACAAATAGGTAACCGATTGATCTACTCTAATGCAACCAGAACACCAGGGTGATAACTGTTACTTCACTCACCGGTTCTTCAGTATGAATCAGAGCCTGCAGCGTCTCCTTTTGCCTTCTCATCTGCTCCATCTCCGCTTCCTGTCCACGTTGCTGTTGTTCCCGTCTCTGCCTCTCCTCTTCTTGCCGTCTCTGCTGCAGCGCGACAGCCTCCTTCTGCTCCAGTGCCCGTCTCTTCACCTCCAGCAGCTGTCGTCTCTGCCTCTCCATGTTGCTGTCGGCCTCCTCCCCGGAGCACGGGGACCCGGGTGGCAGGGAGCCATGCGACACAGGGCCTCGCACCGTGATGCGCGGGCTGATGGCCCGGACGGGATCAGACGGGATCGGCGTCGGGATGTAGGCCGACCGACACATTGGGAACAAATGGTGAGGCGGTGACTCAGAGGAAGGTCTCACCCTCTCTGGAAGGTGCTCCGTCACTCTCTCCATTATGTTATCAGTCAGCCAGGCGGTGACATCTGGTCTCCGGCTCCTAGGGTCGTTCGAAAGACATCCAACCGCAGACGACGGGGGAAGCAGCCTGGAGCCGGGAAGTCCTGATGGCGGAACCAACATGTCGGACTCTCTCGTGGGAACTTCCGCGGGGCTTAGTGGTCTGGCGTGGAAGAATCCAGGTGCTGCAGGGGCCGTAGGGAGCTGTGGGGGAGCTGGGAGGTGAGCAAAGCCGGTGGCCGGTGGCAATGACCCGGCGTTCATGTTGTAACGAATGCGTAGAGCTCGCTGGTATTCCTCCAGGCGGTGGCGGGCCACCTCCACTGATCTCTGGTGAATCCTAGAAATGAAACAACGGTGGTTTTATCACAGCCTCTAGAATCTTTTACAACTTATACTTTGATCCTCTGAAGAATACATTGGCTTCATTACAGGTTTTAAAAAACACACTTGTTTTGTTCCAGCAGCCGCTGTTGGTACTCTTTGATCCTTCTGGAGTGGTCATCTTTACCTGCAGGAGGCACCAGCTGTAGAGTGCAGAAGCAGCTATTATTCCACACTGACCACAGGTATCCTGAAGGATACTGGCAATCACAAGGAATATTGAGAAGCCTACCTCAGTGGCTATTCCAGGAGTGACAGGAGTAACGTCCTGCTCATGGACAGGTACTTCCGGTGGGTTGACGGGTTCGTCCTGAGTGACAACAGCCTTTAGGTCTTCCCTCTCCTGCTGAGCCTCGAGCAGCATCTGCTCCAATTTGGCTTTCTGCTCCTCCAGCTCCTGGAGCAAAACCACCTGCTGCTGCTTCTCTCGGTCAAGTTCCTCTGCCTGAAAGAAAAAGAAAAAAAAAAAAGTCTTAAAACAGCAAATCTAACAGATATCTGATGGGGTGAAAAGGAATATCTGAGCAAGCAGGGGACAAATTCAGACCAGATAGTGAAACACAAGCCGTTTCTCAATACCTAAGACGGCGAGAACGGACTCGCGTTCCCGCGAGAATAGACTCGGGAGACAGACTCGGGAGTCCTGACTCACGGGTACGGGAGAACGGAGAACGGACATTTCCGCAATTGGAACAGCAGCTGACTTGATGACGTCACCACAGTAGGCGGTCTTTGTTTACGCACGCAAGTATCTCATCTGCCATCGCAGCTTGCTGAGGTGAAATGCATTCTGGGATATATGTCTCTCACAAGAACAGACGAGCCTGCTTCGATGCATGCCCGGTAAAATGGGCGGGGGGAGTCACATCCGGGTATTATGACCGTTCTCGGCCAGATGCGGACTTGAGAATTGGAACAGTACTCGGGCTGTGACTGATGACGTTTCACGAGTCCACGAGAACAAAAGTCCACACAAGAACGCATATTGAGAAACGGCCACATTCTTCAGAGAATCACCCTTCTCGACAGGAATTGACAGTCAGCAGATATCCTGCTCAACTTCATTTTTCTTTATTGAATAAAAACATTGTTAAAACCGGCTCCAAAACCGGGCATCAAACTAAAGTCCATACTAATGCATTTTGAGACTGCAGACCACTCAAGAGAAGAATATGTAGGTGTGTTTATGTAGGTCCAGGGCTAATTAGGTGATGTGGAACACCTGGATCAATGAACTCAAACAACCAATCGCAAGAGAACACAAGGAGCCACTCGGATAACCACCAAATCAGATTTTGGATTCTTTACAAAATGAATACAGACTGACTTCCATCAACCTGGATGTGATCTAAGAACCAACCTGTGTGGTCACCTGATGCTGCCCAAATGTACCATGTTTAAAAGTAGGTTCTGCCCTTCCATCACAGGAATCCACACGTACCCTTCTCTTTCGGCCGTCTTCAAACTCTCGGACTCTGCTTGCAAGTGAATCAGGAAGTGGAGGATCTGCTGCAGTTGACTGCTCCGTTGTTTCCGGCGCTGGTCCAATTATATACAGAAAAACACAAAATTATTTTTAACTCAAGACAACTAGATTAATAATAACTGTTTTGCTGCAATGGGATTTATATTAGAAAACAAAAAACAGAAGGGTATCTCAAATTTGATAAGAATAAATAAAAACCCCAAAACAAAAACAAGTGCTATTAACCAGTTCTCTAGTAGTAGACGGCATAGAACATAATATTACATTTTTCTTTCCCTTTTAAGCGAGCTTCCAACCATAAAGTCAGGATAACTGATCAAGCAAATTGCCTTATTTCAGAATAATGTAAATAAGCTTATTGGATCATAATTATTGATACATTAATGTTGCAGCTGGTTAAGTTGTGGTTAATTTTAATTACTTTATTCATTAGTTGATTATATTTTGTATTATTAATCAGATACAGCAATGTAAAATAAGATAAATATAGCGGAACCAAAACTACAATGTTTCCCACTGAGGTATCGCACAGAAAAAAGTATAAAGCAGAAATTAGAAATTGAGTAAATGTACATAATGCATTTCACCACTGTGAACATTGATACATTAAATCAACAATCTTTAGGTTTGAAATGTGAGAGCATTTAGGATAGCAATGATTTATCAATAAACTTTCCTTCTGGACCCCCGCTCCCTGACAAAACAACAGGCCGCATCAAAATAGGTTGTTATCTATTATTGTAATCAAATCGCACTGTTCTCAGCCCTAGATGCATCCTACTGCAGTTGGTGACAGTGACCGACTTACCCGGCGCCGCGTCGGCCGGCTCAGGGAGCTCTGTGGGCAGCAGCAGGCTCTTCTCCTCGCTGCTCAGAGAGCCTGTGTTGATGGTCGTGTCCTGCTCTGGGATCTGAATGGCGGTGGCGGTCAGGGACTCGGCTGCGGAGCCGCTACTGCCATTGTCAGTCCACTGGTTCTTCTGGCTCCTGATGCGATCCAGGAGCTTCTTCAAAGCCCGTCTGGGAGCAGGTTTGGTGGACTGCACTGCGAGGACAGAAGAAGGTAAATCTGTCTGTGTAACTCCCTGGTCTGGTTCTTCAATGGGTCATTTACATAAATTCATATTGCCGAAAACTATGCTATGTATTAATCATTCAAAGGGCCTTTTTAAACACATTTTATGACAATCTATAGAAAATGAATCAATACAGATGTTATGAGTATCTGGTGTTTCTAACCCACCTTCATCAGATAATTCCAGCTCTGTGCTGCCGGATTCCCGCTCAGCATCATGTTGTGTTGCTGCTCCTCCTCCTTGTGAGGCAATTTCATCCAGTGAGACGTCCAGCTCTTGGTCGTGGCTGCTTGTGGACAAAGCTGGCAACGGCTCTGGTACCAGCTGCACCACTACGTCACCTTTGACCCCTGGGATGAGACACAGTGGAGGTTTAACAAGGTTCCATTACAACTGTGGCTTTTTGTGCTTTGCCCCACTGAAGATCTGAGGCCAATCGGCTACGCAAATACGCAAACAAAGCTCAACGCAATGACGATTTGAGAAACTGTATTGTCCAGAGTGCCCCCCCTCTACTACATAGGAATCACGCTCTGAAGTGCTCTTACTCCTCTCTCCGGTGTACATGTCCTCAAAGGCAAACTCCATCTCCCTTTGGAAGTCCTCCCTCGTCTCCTGTCTCTTTAGGAGAGGCTGGAAGATCTGAGGAGGCATTTGGGACACCTGCTGCCTCCTCCTCAGAAGGTCTGTCTGCTGCATGTGCTCCAGTTCAACAAACAAGCGCTCACGATCCTGAAGGGAACCAAGAAAAAATAATACAGTAAAAACGAAAGACAAAAGGCCCCCACCTCGTATAGAAGTGTAATTACTCATTCTGATGAGGTTTAAATTTTTTAAATAAAAGTAAACAATCCCACACTTACTTTTTTTGGCATCAGCAGAAAATATTAACACTATTATCTACTTCTTATGGGGTTTATCCTAGTACCGAATTATTTTTTAGGATGACTTGACAGGGCGCGTGCCAGTATGTTGATCTTCTCTACATGTGTTCTATTGACCTGGAGAAGGTGTGTGACCGGATCCCCCCAAGAGATACCATGGGAAGTGCTGCGGGAGTACGGGGTATACCCAAAACGAGAGCTGTGTTCAGGTTTGCCAGGGATTGCCTCTCTCAGATACACATTTTTGTGTCTATCTGCTCATTCAGATAGCTGGTCAGTTGTACCTGGACAAGATGTTCCCTCTTCAGCGCCTCGTTCCCTCTCAGACGAGCCTTCTCAAGCTGCTCCTCTCGCTTTCGCCTTTCCTCCCTCTCCAAGTCCTGCAATCTCCTCACCTCCAGCTCAGCTCCCTCATGGGCATTCGGCTGTAGGCGCAAGCACAGATTAGACAACTGAAAGGAAGCAGGACAAGCACACCCCTGGTTTAAGTGCATGCAATGACGGGAGGGATCACCTGCTTTGTGTCAGCCTCTCTGTCTACTGTGTGCTCAGGCATGTGGTAGTGCGTCGTGGCAAAGGCGCTCACGTCAGACTTCTTCACTACACACAGCTTCTTGGAATCGATGCTCTGCGGGAACAACAGAAGCCAAAGTTACCTCCGCTCCACTCAGAACCTGAGGCGTGCAACTTGAAAAGTGTGTGTTTTACTTTGCAAGTGGGACAGGACAGATTGGGGGCAAAGCTTAATTGTGTGTTGGGAGGATGAACAGAGATATCAAGCCTAAGTAAAAACATGTATAATCAGAGAACAGATACGCGCCACATTTCTGTACTGAATCACTAGATTACAATATGCCACCCTAATTCTTACTCTTAAGTAAAAAGGTCAGCCGGCTAACTTGTCTGCAAACAGTGAATGGTGTCATTACTACCACTCATAGGGCACCTGAATGGGGTTTGGGGGAAGCAGTGGGAGGCTGGCCACTTTTGCTGATCTTTCCTTCTCTGCCTGCAGCGCCTTCTTCCTGGCATTGATGCATCTACAGGCAAGCAAATAAAAATACTTAATGTTCTGACTTATTTCCAGCAGCTTTATACATCTTTGAGGCAAATGTTTAAGGAAGCTGCTTACCGGTTTTGCCTCTCGTCCTCTTTAAGCCGCTGTGATTTGAGCTCCTTGAGGGCTTCCCGATAACGCTCCTCTGCTTTGACATGATTTTCTTCCTCCCTCTGAGCTATGGCTTCCAAGTCAGGCTCCTTGTGCAAATAAAAAGAAAGACAAAAGGAAATGTCACCGTATTGTTTAGTTTCAGCTGTTCCTTGTTTGTTCGTTAATTTCCCTTTTGGGGTCTCCAAATGAACCTTACATTTTCTTTTGCACTTCTGTGTCCCTGACCGACCAGCTGGAGGCTCTCCTGGTAGAGCCTCTGCAGTGCTTGGAGCTTCTCCCTCTGCTGTTGCTCCCAGTCGTCCCTCAGCTGCTTCTCCAGCTGCTCCAGCTCTCGCTGCCGTCTCTGCTCAACCTCTCGACGGATCTGCAGTGAGATGTACCTCTGCTGCTCCCGCACCTGGAAGTCAGTGCAAAAATGTACATACATATGTAGTCTTATAAACAAAAGCATATTATGATCTCCACACAGAGGTGTCTTTCATTAAAAGTCAACCAAAAACTGCAAATTTAGTAAAGAATGGTTTAGGCCAAAGACTACAGGCAAAAATGCCAAATGCCAACAGTGAAGAAAAGGGACATGTTAGGGAAATATTTGATGTTCACTGCCTTCATGTTGTAACATATCACAGCACTAACACAACAACAACAGGAGAACTGGCAAACCAAACTCAACTCAAATAGTAAACATTGGAATTTGTCTTTTGATCTTTTACTGCCAGATTTCTTAAATTCTGGTTATTTTAATGAGGGAAATTTAAAGAGAGAACAGATTATGATATATACACAAACATATGCACACGTTTATTAGATTCCTTGTTCGTGTACACATACTTTAGATAGTCATGGTTCTATGTGGGGGAACGCGGCCTGTATCCATTTACGAGTGAAAAGAACATTTTGTAGTCTGGCTCAAGTTTCAAACTGTTCCGTTCGGAACACTTGCTATTAACGTTAGCTTACCTGTTGTATTCGTAATTTCCTCCGCCGTTCATGTTCCTCTCGGATTAAACGAGCCTCTTCGTTGGGACTTAGTCTTAATTTGGCAACTTTTCTCTTCATTTTCCTCAAACATTGCCCGTGGCCATTTGCAAAAAAGCAGGTAATGCTAGTAATTATGTTAGCGCATGGCTAGTTAGAATTAGCTTCATAGCGCTGCAGACATCACAACTTATACATTATGGCTTTACACTTAAAAAAAATCGTGCTTACTATAGAAACGTTACCGAACAAAGATGAAATCAACCCGATGCGTTTTGTTTAAGACCAAAAATCCATGTCAACACAACGAAAAAAGAGAACGTTTTTATCCCACACGTCACATCCGGTGGGTTTAAACTGCCCGCCGGACCCGTTCCGTGATGACCAAAAATCCCCTTTTTCTACTACTGACCAAACATGGTTCCTACCCATTTTGTGTGGGGATAAAATGATATATCCTGCCTATATTATTGTAACCTAAATAAATATGATATCTTAAAATCAAACGACATGAAAGTAAATAACATTAAGCACTCAGAGCTGCAACGGTTACATTGTTAAAGCCGTTAGCTTCTCCCCAGGGGAGCGCAGTCGAGCTGGTGTGGAGAGAAGACTCACACTTCGTTCCTGGAAAGTAGTCCACGACTCCAGTGAATAACCGTTTGAGCAAGTGGGGACTATTGTACACCAACGGTGAGTTATATACTAAAATAAGTGTAATTTGAGCATTCATTTTGAGCTACGGTTCTGCGAGGTATCCTTTGAGACCAGCAAGGAGCTAATGCTAGCTAGTTTCGCTAGCTAGGAGCAGACATAAACAATTGAACGCAGCTAACGTTAACGTTGATATTAGTGCAGCCGATTTAAATAACAGTACGCGGCTATTATGAAGCAAAGATAGAAGACAGCAGCAGCGGGACCATTTTTTTTTACATCCTTTACTTAAGTAAAAGTGATCATACCACACTGTAAATACTTCACTTCAAGTAAAATACTGTATAAATACCTGTATTCCAAACATAATTATTACGGTCATGTTTTCCAAATTATTCGTTTTCTCTTTTTTATAGTCATCATTTTATGATGTGTATGTGTGTCGTCAACCCTGCAGAGATGCACTGAGCAGATGACTGTACTCCATTGTGTCTTCGTTTAAATGGCTGAATCTTGCGGCTTGTCCTCTCGTCAGCCTTGTCATCATGTCTGGTGGACCAGCGGTGAGGGTCAGCATTGAGTCTACCTGTGAGAAGCAGGTGCAGGAAGTGGCCCTGGATGGAACAGAAACATACGTCCCCCCTCTTTCCATGTCCCAGAACTTGGCAAAGTTGGCACAAAGAATTGATTTCAGTCAGGGATCTGACTCTGAGGAAGATGGAATTGACGGCAAACCAAGGGACCGTGAGTGGACCAAGCAGGAGCCGGAGGAAGAGGAAGGTAATGTGTGCTCAAGAGCGTGTCTACAGCCTGATCAGAGTTATGTCAAGCTGTCTGGACCCACTAGGATTTATCCACCACTGATGTTACTATTTAGATAAAGGTATTTCAGCTGCATGGCCCTCGTCGAAGTGGATGTGTCAATTTAATGAAAAGAGTTAAGGACTTTCACATCAATATCAAGTCAGACCTTCTTATGGTAGAATTAACATAATAAAACATATTTAAATAAAATATAATAATAAGTTAAATAACTATAGTTTCTAAAACACCATCCATGTTTTAATACTCTAGTCACCATGACGCCGACCCAGGTGTATGGATTCAAAATAAAATATATTTGTATAATACAAGTCATATGGATTTTGTCCTCCCTGCTCTGATTAGCGGTTCTCTCACACAGGCACAGTGAAGTTTCAGCCGTCTCTTTGGCCCTGGGATTCAGTGCGTAACAACCTGCGCAGTGCCCTGACCGAGATGTGTGTGCTCCACGACGTGCTAAGTGTGGTGAAGGAAAAGAAGTACATGGCCTTAGACCCAGTGTCTCAGGATCCAACAGCTGGAAAGGTAAAGTACCGAGTCACTACTATCACTTGCACAGTGCTGGAGATATCAGCTGGAGAGATGTCGGCCTTCTCCCCAATATTATTGGACCATATGGCAATTGGGTATATATATATTAAAAAAACAGCAATTCCAGATATCTTGATGAGGTTTGTCAAGAAAATCCACAGACCATGTTGTACGTAGTTTCATCTGGGAAATATTCTCCTTCCAACGAATTACTAACTACAGGAAACCGCTTACTGTAAGGGCTGTGGATCATGTTCAGTCATATTGATGGCCAAAATTCCCAAAACAATGAAACTTACACTAAAACAATCCAGATTATATTCATAACGCTTTCATTTCTTGCCCTCAATCAGACCCCCCAGGTGTTCCAGCTGATCAGTAAGAAGAAATCATTGGGCACAGCAGCACAGCTCCTGCTGAAGGGAGCGGAGAAGCTCAGCAAGTCCGTGGCAGAGAACATGGAGAACAGGAGGCAGAGAGACTTCAATTCCGAGCTGCTGCGACTCCGTTCCCAGTGGAAGCTCCGCAAAGTGGGAGACAAGATCCTGGGAGACCTCAGCTACCGAAGCGCAGGTAAGAAGGCCTCTAAAGCGTCCAGTCAATTGTGTAAACTGGTGTCTCCCAAGCTAAACATGTTTTGCCTGCTTACCTGTGCAGGATCCCTGTTTCCACACCATGGCACGTTTGAGGTGATCAAGAACACAGACCTTGATCTGGACAAAAAGCTCCCAGAGGACTACTGTCCCCTTGATGTCCAGATCCCCAGTGATTTGGAGGGATCTGCTTATATCAAAGTGAGAGGGAAACCACCAGACACATTCCACGACTATAAAGATATGTGTGTTTTGACTTGTTAAATTGTCCACTGCATGGCAATCAAGGGGTGTTTATGTCTTCAGGTATCCATCCAGAAGCAAGCTCCAGACATCGGTGATCTGGGAACCGTGACCTTGTTCCGCAGGCCGCCAAAAACCAAAGCTGGTACGTTTCCATGTTCACTTTTTATTTATGTATTTGACATTTATTTAACCAGGTAAAATCCATTGAGAACCAATTCTCACTGACGTGACATTGCTCGTCTTCGGATAGGCGGTAAACTTCTCTTTGCCTTTAGAAAAGTAATTGTACCTCATATCGAACATTCCCCTGATCTCTTCGCTGTCCTCTCTCCTTTGTTTCCGTCCAGGTACCCAACAGTGGCATGTGAAGCTAGAGGCGGCTCAGAACGTTCTGCTGTGTAAGGAGATCTTCGCCCAGCTGTCCAGGGAGGCTGTCCAGATTAAATCCCAGATCCCTCACATTGTTGTAAAAAACCAGATCATCTCCCAGCCATTCCCAGGTCAGAAGGCTCCTGCCATGCTTTAGTGAGCATGACGTGTATGTAGCATATTTAAGAAAAAAAGTTCACTATAATCCTTTGCTACTTTTTAATAATTCTGAGTTGCCATACCATATTTTAAAAGTGGACGAATGACATGTGTTTGATATGGAATAAAAGATTATTCCAGGACCGCAAGACTGCGTGATCAGGTAACCTGATAAAGGTCAATGAACTGTTTATTTTCAACCTACAGCTGCTTAAAAGCCCTTGCTCTATTGTGAAAAAAATATTGCAAAAGACGATAAATAAATGACCGGAATCAGAAATCAGGAAACCTTTATTGCCATAATATGGCAGATATACAAGGAATTTGACTTGGTGGTTGGTGCGTAACAGCAGACAGTACGACAATGGATGACAAGACAACAGTGCATAAGGAATAAAATTAAAATAATGCTATGGGAAGAGCTGTTTTTACAGTAGTGGTTCATCCAGAGTAACAATATTGTCCCGATATTTACATTTGAATTACTTTGGAACAAATTTCATCTTCTGGTCTCTGGATTTGGCTGTGATTTATTTAATAAGGAGGCATAAAAAACAAACATACTGAGGCTGTTTTTGTTGTCTTCCAGGTCTGCAGCTATCCATCTCACTGTGCCACTCCACGGGAGAGAAGAAGAACCACCGGGCGACTCCAGATAAACCCAAACCGGATGACCACCTTTACGTACTGGAACACAATCTGCATCAAATGATGAGAGAGGTGAAACACTGTGTGAACTCACTCCCTTTACTTCGTAAAGTGTTTTTGCAGATATAGAAGAAGAATCGAGGAGCCAAAATAGATTTGAAGCACGGTGGCTATTCTTTTCTTTCTTTTTTTTTGTAAAAAAAGGAAAGTCATAATCTTTATTTTTGTCATGGATTGTGTGAAGACAAATAACAGCTATTATATCCTACTGGGATTTTTTGAAACTGAAATATCAAATACCGTATGTATCTGCTTCTAATATCCTTTACTGGTGTCCTTTACTCCTCAGGGATGAATGTGTTTCTGGGCTCGACGGAAATTTTTTACACACAGGATAAAATGATCATATAATATACACAGAATACTTGCTTTGTTTTGACATTTCTGTGCTATTGTTCTATGAATAACGTCACCAGTGAGGTTTTGGAGCACAGTATAATTTTGCAGTAGAAGTCTGTACTAATTCATCTCCGGTTTCGGTTACAGTTTCACAAGCAGCAGCTGAGCTCAGTGGTGATGCCGCATCCCGCCAGCGCGCCCTTTGGGCACAAACGCATGCGCCTCGCGGGGCCGATGGCCTACGACAAGGCCGAAATCACCAGCTTGCAGCACAATGAGGGGCTTCTCGAGAAGATCATCAAACAAGCCAAACACATCTTCCTACGCAGCAGGTAACTTAAACTGTGCCGGCTATGGTTTGAATTTGAGGACAGATATGATCAGCTATGTCATTGTGTCACAAAACTACAATAATGTTAGGAGCTTACAAACTTCCTACTATGCAAGTACCGGTGGAAGTACTGTATGTAAATCCGGGCAGGGCCGTTGGGGTTATAATGCCACGGTTTGCATTGAGATGACTCGATGTAGTACCAATGAGTCATATTTGCCTCGTTGCAGTAACCAAACATTGCTACATCTACATGATCCGAAATTTCCAAACAGGCCTCTGAATTGTTGCAATTCCACGTTCGACCAGAAGGTGCTGCCCCTTCTGTTCGCTCATCATAGTTTTATCTAAAGAAAGCAGAATAATTCACAATATTTCGACTATGCAGAGTGAAGCCTCGTATTAGTTGTTATTTGTATCACTTACCTCGTGTTTGCGATCCCCAGGACGGCGCGGACCATCGACAGCCTGGCCAGCCGCATTGAGGACCCACAGATTCAAGCTCACTGGTCCAATATCAACGACGTGTTCGAGTCCAGCGTCAAGGTGCTCATCACCTCTCAGGGCTACGAGCAGATCTGCAAGTAAGTGGGGGACACGAGGGAAGGATGAAGTAGGACTCAATGTGGGGAAATACAGGTGAGAATCTGCAAACGTATTAATGAGCTGTTGTTGGCATCTGTAGGCTCTTTAACGACATTTCAAATGATGTAGATTAAAAGCTAGGAATTGTGATCAGAGGAAAATCATATCTTCAATGTATTGTCCTTGTTTTCCTTCAGTTTACTGAACTGGAAATAATGTCGACAGACTCTTGCATGGATATTAAAGTCAGGCAGCAAAAAACTATGATGTTTCTTGTTTGTTTTCCTTAGTCCCTCATTCTGGCTTGACATGTTTTGCACCCTCAGGTCCATTCAGCTGCAGCTGAACATCGGGGTGGAGCAGATCAGGGTGGTGCACAGAGATGGTCGTGTCGTCACGCTGTCACACCAGGAACAGGAACTGCAGGACTTTCTCCTCTCACAGGTATCACAGATACTGCACTTGTGCTTGTGATAAATAGTACTTAAGTAGAAGTTCAAGGTACTTGTACTGTACTTTTTCATTTTAAGCTACTTATTACTTGTAAACTTTGTTTAGAAAATCCTCCTACTTCTTCAGCTGAATACTGAAAAGCCTCTTAGATCAGCTGGCAAAAGCATCATGGCAAAGCTGAAAACAGGCTTTGTTTATTCTTTTTAGCAATATGTGATTTTCACAGGACAGAGACACTATACACATGAGATGATCTTATAGAATATGATATATTGACGTAAATTTAACTAGCCAAAAGGTTATAAAGGGGTTAAAAACATCTAGAGCTGTAAAATGCAACAGACATTGATGCTGAAGTAATATTGATCCCGAAATATCATACGTATAATAGTAAAACACTGACCGGAAACACTTTATTGTTACACCTTTATATATTTTACTTTTTATTCTTCAAATTATATTTAGCTGACAGTAATTGCATAATTTTATTTGAGAACTGCTTTGAATGCAATATTTTCACACTGGTATGTCTTTGATTCACAGATGTCGCAGCATCAGGTACACGCAGTCCAGCAGCTGGCCAAAGTGATGGGCTGGCATGTTCTGAGCTTCAGTAACCATGTGGGCCTGGGCCCGGTGGAGAGCATCGGGAATGCCTCCGCCGTCACCGTCGCCTCTCCCAATGGAGAGTATGCCATCTCCGGTGAGACCAGTGTCACCAAAAATCCAAATAGGAAATCCTGCATTGCATCAAGATCTGTTGCATTTTTGAGTTAACTGTTCCACACCTTTTTTCCCCAAAACAAGGGTAGAAACCGTTGCATTGCAACACCCAGTCTCAACTACAAAATTGAAAAGATATCTATGTTATTGATCAGACAAACCGCTTGATACAAGTTGAGGGATCATTAAGAAGGCAAACACACTTCCCACATAAACAACTCCTGCAATGCATTACATCAATATTTGGAATGAATGTTATCTGGCATGGAGATATGTTGGCACACAGACTGTCCTTATGAACTCATGGACCCCAAAAGTGTGAATGTGTTAACAGGAGCCGATCACTGATTTATCGTCTGTGTGTATCTGTTTGGTTGTTGCAGTGCGTAACGGCCCAGAGAGTGGGTGCAAAGTCCTTGTCCAGTTTCCCCGCAGCCAGACCAAGGAGCTGCCTAAGAGCGACGTCATCCAGGACGCCAAGTGGAGCCACCTCAGGGGCCCAAGCAAAGAGGTCCACTGGAGCAAGATGGAGGGACGAAACTTTGTCTACAAGATGGAGCTCCTCATGGCTGCGCTGACTCCCTGTCCGTAGACCCGGTCAGTCCACGGACTCCTTACCCAACAAAGCCGTGGTTTGTATCCAGCGGAGTAGCCGGAAACTGGACAACTAAACACATAGCATAACTTTTTTTTGTAGAGAATAATTTTGTACAGGACTTCCCATGACAACGGCTTTGTTGTTGAAACTTATGTTTCCATCCTTCACACTTTTCTGAATGCTTCTATAGCCCCCTTTCCACCTCCAATAGTGTGTCTATTGCCTGTTATTGACAAAATAAAACATAACGTCTGTATGTATTTGTGCTGATTTGTCATAGCATCATTACAATAGGGATTTGGATTTCTAAGGGCTCCCAGGTTGATTGGTATTTTTTGTGAGGGATATGTTTATGTAGTCCTCAAATATTTTTTTATTTCTAGTCTGACTAGAACGTTTTTGATAAACTGACATCCTTAATCTCAAAGAACCATTGGACTGAAGCTCAACTTTCTTAATGATTAACACTCTGAAGAATCCATATGCTAAGAAATCAGGAAATTCGTTTTACAAAGACAGTAAATACATTATTTATTTTCCCCAGTGTCATGAGTGATATATTCACATTCCATCCAGTGTCACCAGCAGTTTGCTGTAAAAGCATGTGTATTCAATACAAATGTAAACGTCTTGGCAAACCATCTCACTGTATTTTAAGAACTTTGTAAGCTAAAAAAGGAAGAAATTCATGTAGCCGTCCATTCCACGTGCTGACGCGTCTTCCTGTCAGACGTCCATCAGAGAGGCTGCAGCTCTGTTGCATCGGTCTCTGCATGAAAGAAAGGATTACACTTAACACAATGCGCTGATGTAGAGAAGCAAAAATAGAACTGCAGACCTTTGTTCTCAGACACACCCATTCTTCGCCTCTCTTCACAACCTTGACCCACATTCACGCCCGTCAAGCCACATTTTACGCAACATGTAGTATAGTTGTATGTGTCATCGCATATTTTACTTGTGAGAGTTTGTTAATGGGGAAAGTCTACCAGAGATGCGTCTATTCATGGGGAGATACTAAAAATGTATAGGGTAACATGTTTATCTTCTAGATATCACCATCTACAATTTATTACTTACATTAAAAAAATAATTTATACAAGTTTTTTTTTTTTCAACCTTGTCTTACCTGGCATCTGTTTTCTGCGTCTCCATGCGACTATCTTCCTGTAGGCCCTGTCCAGCAGCCACATGGCCAGCATGAGAAGGCCGGCCAAACAGGCCAGTGCTAAGGCAGAGACTGCCAGGTACTGGAGGTCCTCGTACAGGACCTCTGGAGGACAAGGACACACATTTATTTTCACAAAAAAGAAAAACAGCTTTGGGCACAGCACTAGTGCTATGGGTTAGAGAAGGTATGCTGGGAAGCACAAGGTTGGTGGTTCGATTCCAGGCTGCCCCATGTTCCATGTCGAAGTGTCCCTGAGCAAGACACCTAACCCCTAATTGCTCCCTGGGCAAAAAATGTGAAAAAGCCACCATGGGTTTAAAGTGTAATGTAAGTCGCTCTGGATAAAAGCGTCTGCTAAATGACCTGTAATGTAATGTAATGTAATGTAACAATGTCCTGATCCTTATCGTTTAGTGACCAAAACAGAATTTTATAGTTCATACACATTGCTATTTTCACGTGTCATCCGTTTATAACAAAACACAAAAATCCTGTTGAGGTTGTTCATTAACTATGATAAACGCAGCTTGATCTGAGGATTTCCAAGGCACTTCGACTACAGATGCCGGAGTATCATCACGAATGTGTCCGAGTGCAGCCAGGGCCTGACCTGCTGCCACGGGAGCAGCTGGGGTTGAGGGCCTTGCTTAACGGCCACATCAGAGCTGGAAATGAAATTCGCTTGTCATATCCGCAGATAAGTGAGGGAAACCTGGGCCGGGACACTTGCCATTCCGACCAGTGTTACCACAAGGCTGTTGAGCAAGGCCTGATTAAAGTCAGACAGCCGTATGTAGCAGGTGTAAGAGTGAAATCAAGCTTTACCGACTTTCATTAAGTGACATTGCGTAGGACTCTGGGGCATCAGGCGGTGTGGTTGCAGATTGCAAATGACTGAATTCCCCTCTGCTCACTCCTCCCCGTTGCGGTTTGAGAGCAAAGGTAACGATGTGCGGTTACATTAGGTTTTTACTAAAAGTGTACCTCGTTTATTTGCAGAGGCCCAGGCCCACTCACCGTTCACTTTGAGGACGAAGCCAGCGTCCTGGCTGCTTCCTCCGCGTTCTGCGACAGTAACCACGTAGTATCCGGCATCCTGCAGCCGCAAGTCCGACAGGCCCATCGAGCCATTGTCGAAGGACTGGACTCTGCTCAAGTAATCCACTGTTATGTTGGTGTACACCCCCGGCTGCCAAGTCCCGATGGTGCGGCTCACCGCTCCGGACATAAAGGTCCATTGTATGGTGTGTACCCCATTGCAAGTAACGTCAACTGAAAAGAACACATCGTCCTGCACCGACCTGGTCAGGCTCCTCTGTGGAGACTGGATGGAGATGGCGCCAGCTTCCAAAGTGTGAAGAAGAAAAACAAATGAATACATATGAAGATATGATGGCCAGGTAGATAAATGATTGTTCTGGGTCAAACCTTTACCTTTTCTGGCCAATGGTGGCTCATTCACATTGAACCCCTCGTACAGCAATAAAATGATTGCTATGAACATTCTTTTAAATATAAAATTAAACGCCTGTTGCTGCAGGAATGAAATCAGCTGAACAAGCCGAGGCACACATAATCTGCCTTTCAATTGGGCTTCTGTCTATTCTGGCCCCTCATCAAATATTTCCACATGAGTTTCTGTGGGGGTGGATTCTTCTAGTGGTGCATTTGCTTACGGTAAAGAATTCCACCTGAGGGTATTCAGACACAAAAATCCGTGAGTGCTGTGTCACATCTATTTGTCCAATTGTATATAGCCCACATTGTCATTTACATATTTGAACCCCCAAACAAAAGGAAACCTGTCCCAGGATGTACAGAAATCCAATAGATGAAAGTGTACAGAAAGTACAGAAACTATTCAGCCTTAAGCAACTATCAGATTGGGAAATAGGCATAGTATCTACCACACAAATGAAATACACGAGCTTCCTGAAGAAGTCCAAATTAAATTATGTTGAAATGCTTACCTAGGTAACACATATATAATGTGATGCTGACAAGCACAGCAACATCTTGTACATCCCAGAACCTGAAATTCCACATTGGAATCCAAGACCCATTGATCGAACTGCAGTAGAATGTCCTCTGGGTTATTTTACATTCTCAAATGCTTTGCTCTCTCTCGTTGTCCTTCCAAAACAGCCTTTTACGCGTCCACGCGAGTGTCCTCTTCCACTGTCTTTCGTATAGCTGTTTTTCTGCGTGCCTTTCCCGGGTTAAAATTGTGAGAAATCAAGAGTTCCCGTCACAGAAGCGCTGGAGTTCCTCTTCCTCTCTCAAAACTGCGGTGGATTGTTTCTCGTTGCTGCACAAGTCAAAGCCGGCCAGCACGCGCCTAAGAGACGGGTTCATCCAGAGATTACCGAGCAAACAGGTGAACTCACGGACATCCACGCACTTATAGTCTAGTAAGTAAATTAAAATAAGTATGTGCGTCTGCCGCCAACCACCACCGTCCAGAGAAAATGCACTCACCTGTATACGCAGACGTACTAGCCTGTTAAAGTGAACCAGGAGACGTTGATACTCGTGCTGTGACACACCTGGTGAAACTTGTCAGACAGGAAGTGCGTGTTCACACGTATGCAGCGAGGAACATGAACGCACAGTGGACCAACTTCTGTTTACGACTCATGAGTGTGCTTGAATATCTGTGCGTTACAACATGTTCATTTCAGATTACTTTTTAAAATATGTCTCATCATATTTGATTGAATCATCGAGCGACATTTTTACAATAATTTTAATCGTATTTCCCATAGAGAAACTGAACAAAACTTCAAACCACCTGTTAATCGAAATGAAAGGAGACATCCTACCATTTATCTTAATGTTAGACTTGAAAAAAATACGCCCATCTCTATCAAGAGCTCCTTTCACGTCGTGCCATCAGGTCGCAATTATCTTAGTATGTGTTCTATAGATATTTCAATAGGTCTGCTAGCTATAAAGTGTTTGTATCAACGTTCTACTTCGCATTGGACTAACGCGCACCACGTGTCCGGAAGTAAACAAGGAGACTCATTTGCAAACACACGTTTAACGTGAATGTCGCAAACAAAATTGTACCGGTGGTACATTGTCGCTATTTTACACTGTTGTTGTTTTATTTGGGGTTAATAAAGTTGTAGTTCAGTCCGCAAACCATCCGTGAGAGTGTCTGTGAGGGGAATGACTTCCTCATCTCCGACATGATGTCGCTATCGCTTCTCGGCCTTTTGGCTAAGATCAAGTGTAGTATCTGTTCTTATCAGTTTAATATCTGATACGTCCCCTACCCGGGGACCATATATTAAATTGATTTTTGGAATAGGGAGATGGAATAGGGGCTTGCTCCGTCCACTCCACGCATCGACCTGGTATTGCAGTACCTCCAGGAACGGTGCACCCCCAAACCTGTACAATATAAAATACCATGGCAGAAGTGTGCACAGTGTGCTTGAGCATAGTTATCGGTTTCTCCTAAAGCATCGAAATGCACTTAGTCAATAAGGTTAATTTAGGTAAGAGCTTGAGTAATACTTAAGTGAGGACAGATGTCATTCAAATGATCTATTTGTATCGCACTCACGTTAGGCTGCTAGCTCTTACTGGTCTTTGCTCCTTCAAAGTGTTCAAACCACAAACTGTTTGTCATACACTACACCCACTTGGATGATCTTAATATAGTTGAAATTGTATTTGGTAGACGTTAGGCTGCCAATTCTCTTTTTTGTTCTTCATTTATTGTATTTAATGTAGGACAGATTCAAAGTCTGTATTTCTAATTTGTAAATTCCATCAACCATTCAATATTGTACAGTGTTCCCCGCCGTGCTTTTCACGTCCTCAAACACTACTGACTCACACACAATCTTTTAGGTCTCACTTTTGTAAATATCAAACAGAGGTTTTAAAGCTCCAGTAGTCAATCAGTGAGTCAGTCCAATCATTAAAATAAGAAACCAAATCCTTTTCTCCGTGTTTCTTTCTGCTCTCAAATCAGAATCAAACCTGAAGAACTTCTGCACTTTCTGATACAGCAACATTCAAAAAAGGTAATAAATAAATACACTGTAGAAGCAAGATCAACCAAATCAAACGTCAAAAATAAATAAAAGTTAAACAATATCAAGATAATGATACCTGATGACATTAGAAGAACAGATCAAACGTGTAAAAAAAAATGAATGAAAACATTTCAAAAGCTAAACGGCAGTCACAAGTCCTATTAGTTCAATTATTTAAACATTGCTAAAGATATAGAACGCTCTCCTTTAAATGGTAATTCGCTAATACCAACTCATTTTAGTTCTTATAGAGATGGCATATTGATGCGAGATTGGCTTATACACTAGTTGTAATGCCACAAAATTAAATGCATTTGAGAAGCTACTTACAAGATCAGAAATTATCCATCCAGCCACCGTGCAGGTATGTTTTCTATTATTATTATTATCGTGATATTTAGACGAGAAACTTAGAAGCCCAAGTACAAAGAATGCACTTTTATTTAAAAACAAAAGTTTTAACAATTGATTATGTCCCATTGTTATCTATGGTCATGGAATGGAGGTTTGTTGTACACAGCAGGACTGTCTGCTAGTGAAGAGGTCAGAATCAATGGATACAGTTAATTGGATTTAGAAGCACATGTTAAACAAAATAAAAGTAACTCAAAAGAAATTATATGCAAATTGTTTGACGCCAACGTGTCGAACTGAACTCATTGAGCTTCATCAGAAACTCTTTCAGCTCAAACTCCAGCAAATCATCTCTCAGCGAGCAGCCGGCCACCAGAAAATGACCTCAGAGAGAAGCAGCAACACCAAAGAGAAGCAGAAACAGTGACCCCAAAGAGAAAAAATGTCTATGTAATATGAACAAATCAAGCAAGAAATTATACCAAATTTTACCGAAAAGATAAATCATATTGAATCCCCAAAAATGCAAAGTATTTACAAAGCAAACTAAAACCCAATACTGAGGTTCAAAATGACAAACAGATATATATGTGAAGGTTAGTTGTTTCTTTTTAGATAAAGACGTATACTTATTGACAGGTGGAAGCAGTGAATCAGAGAAATAATCATTGTTTTGCTTCATGCAAGGGTCAAAGAGCGGCTCATTTAGAGAGAGATGGAATCAAACACAGTCTTATGCTTTGAGCTCCAACTTGTGGTTCTCAAAAAATACCCTGAGCTCTCTTGTCTAATATTTTTTTGTCTGTTCTGAATCTTGTGTGCATTCATTTATTTTTCAAAACCACTTCTATGTGAGTCAAATAATATGTAGGATTCCCTAACAGGAACACGTTGTATATGTCAATGTGCACTTTGCTAAAATAAAGGTGTGTGTAGATAGTTGGGCTAAAGCTAGCTGCTAACAGCTAAAGCTCGTTGTGCACACGGTCAAGCGCACCGAACACACCGCTGCTGTCTCCCACTGGAACACGTCGCCCACCAGCGTTCACCAAGACTACTTTCAGTAAGTTCCCTTTGACTCAAGAAAGAGACCATTCTTGTAGGAATAATAACGTGTACACTATTAAGTTAACAATTATAATGAAGCCAACTTCGTCTATTTAAGGGTATATTTCACTGCAGCACCTGTTTGATTAAGCTAGCTAACTGTTAGCTAAACTAATGCTAGCTGCTAATTAGCATATCAAACTAAACTGTCTTTTGTTTTTAACTCTGCGTAATGGAAACTGGGTCGTGGCAACACTCGTATTCATCAATGGCTCGTTGGTCTAAAATGACTTGAAGCTGAAATAACTGCAGGTTGAAGGTGCTTCACCTCCATGACCACATGGCGATAAGCGGCTAACACATCTGACTGTTAACGACACGTCAGGACTCGGCTCCACGTTAGTTACCGTCACACTGTACTAGTTAATTATTAGTTAAACTAACAGGCCAATGCAGTGCTTACATGGGAATGTAATGAAGGTTAATAATGTCACTTTACTCAAACCTAATTGGGCACATGTGTGATGGTATCGTGGACACCGCTAACGTTGTTCGCCTTTGTTACAGCGCTTTTTCCCGTCGAGGTAGCGGGACTCATAGTAATTACTGCGCACTTATCCTGCTTTTACAGCGGCTTATAACTTGTGTGGACTGCACGTGTAATGTGTAAACCACACGTCTCCTCTCCGTTGTGGCCTCAATTTCTTTAATTGTGTCTGCTAGTTGACGTGATATTTATCGGCGTTGTAACGTTACTTCTCATTGGACTGACGCTTACCACGTGTCCGGAAGTAAACAAGGAGACGCATTTGCAAACACACGTTTAACAAGTTTAACGTGAAAGTCGCAAACAAAATCGTACCAGTGGTACATTGTCGCTATTTTACACTCTTGTTGTTTTATTTGGGGTTAATAAAGTTGTAGTTCAGTCCGCGAACCATCCGTGAGAGTGTCTGTGAGGGGAATGACATCCTCATCTCCGACGTGATGTCGCTATCGCTTCTCGGCCTTTTGGCTAAGATCAAGTGTAGTATCTGTTCTTATCAGTTTAATATCTGATACGTCCCCTACCCGGGGACCATATATTAAATTGATTTTTGGAATAGGGAGATGGAATAGGGGCTTGCTCCGTCCACTCCACGCATCGACCTGGTATTGCAGTACCTCCAGGAACGGTGCACCCCCCAAACGTGTCTAAAACAACTTCCCCAGTAACAGTGTGCATTGGTGTATCTGATAGTTGATGTATGATCTCTCTAAGGCATCAAGACAACTTCAGAGGTTTTATTAAGAAAGCGCTAAATTATCAGTTGTCATTTCTTCAATTTGTCTGATCTGTATCTAATGTAACACACAACAATCAGTCATCATAAAGATAATTGTTACAGGTACCAGGATTGGTACCAAGTAGATGATGTGATTCTGTAGACCGGACACACAAATGACACACAGCTCTTACACATCTGTCATTGCGCCTCGCTCAGCAGAATGAGGAAACGTCACTTGTGACGTTGTGGTCGCAAATTCTTTCACTGCCGTAAAGCCAGTCTAAAGCAAAACAGAGCGCCACTCTTCCCCCTGCTGGCTACAGGGTGGAATGTACATTCCATGCAACAAGGGATTTCAGTTCCCTGGTTATAACATTTCTATACAATATACTGTTCACTTCAGACATTGACAAACGTGTGTAAACACATTGGTGGGTGTCACACAATCATGTCCAGTTCTTAATTGAATTGTATCTATGAGAAACATGTATTGTGATTACTACTCCAGACCAATAGGTGTCAATGTGTGTCAGTGGAGCACAAGCAGTAAACAAAGAAACAGGAAGTGGTTGAAATGAAAGAACGCATTTGTAATTTTATTCTTTCCTTTGAATTCCAGGTGAGGATCAAATCACTTTTGATTGCAGTTTTGCTTTGTCTCATGTGAACCTTCTGTTGAATTATCACTCATTTGTTGGAGATAAATAGATGCAGCTGGCGATTTTATATTTTCTTTTGAAAATACAGCATTGCATCATGGGAAATGAGGGCATCGTTTCTCAAGTAAAATGTATATTATCTTTGTCCTCCCTGGTGAATACGACTTTACTCTACATGAACTTCCTGCAGGTTATTGGAGCTCTTCTAGTGTGTGTTGTGTTTGTTGTTGTTGTGATGGTCGGCACCATCGGTCAGCTTGGTGTGTGTGTGAAAGACTGCCCTGACTCTGATGTGTACAACTCATACTTACCTGGCAAGGGAGATACCATGATCAAGAAGGTGGTTCACCCAGGGCGAGGCTTAGCCATTGCACTCCGGTTGAGCTGACCTCTGCGAATTCCCCAAATGTGGGAATCTCGATTGCATAATTTCTGGTAGTGGGGGACTGCGTTCGCGCTCTCCCCTGATAACATGTCAAAGGAAAAACCTATCATAGTGATTTAATCCGGGATGGGAGAAGCAGTTTTTGTGCTCCTCTGCATCAAGTCACTGGAAGACTCAAAGCAATATATCATGTCCTTATGAGTCTGCTGTAGTAATGGTGAGTTGAAACTTGACGCATGGAAGCTTTCCATCCAATTGTGTCACACAGTTTCATGGTGCTTTATTTTCTCTACTTCGCCATCAAGTGTACAATAAATGAAAAGACACCATGGCTTTGGTGCGAGAAGCATTGAATTGAATAAATGAATGATGATTATGATGCGTGATACATAACTTATGAACGTATTAATATGGTGTTTGTCTTCATGTACCAGCGGTTTTCTTGTGTGGAGTCATCCACATTTATTATTTGTGATCCTATTGTACATTGTCAGTATCTCGGAAACGTTTTGGTTCAGGGTGAACCAAGACATCTGGTTTATAGTGGGCGTATCGTCTAGAGTTGTCAAAATTGCTCAAAAATGACCTTTGAATACTCCCTTTAAAAAAACACATATATTGGAATTCATGGTTGCGCATTAGGCTATGTCAATAACAAGACAAATTAATACAATGAGACATAACTACCTGTATAGGTAATTTATTTAACATATTACCTACACAAAAAGAAGTGTCATGTACAGAGAGGGAGTTTGTGCACCCGCGACACCTCGACTCCAACTGCAGAGGGATGTTCCATACTCTTTCGCTTGTACTGCGTGGATCTTGCCCAGGATGGTGAACTTAAATCACAAGCAGTAGGCATTGTGGACAGAGATGGCAGTGATGCAGGAGGATTTGCAGGCAATATTGGCCGAGTGGAGGGGCCAGCGCACTCCGTGTCGGCTGCGGAGCTGGACATGGAGGGTACAGGTCTGGAGATGGTGGAGGTGGCAGGATTTTTTTTTTACAGCCGCCAGCGGTTGCAGGAGTTGCAGTGGTGGTAGAGGCCGGAAGAGAGCCATCATCATGTCCGTCCTTCCCTTCAACACCGTAGTCCCTGCTGTGCTGGGGATGGCCCCGTACTCCATCAGAGGGTAGAGTGGTGGAGGACTGACGGCTGGTGTAGTGCTCGAGGGAGGTCAGCAGATGAAATGGAGGTGATCTTCGTTACAGTAGAGGACTGTTTTGTGGGATTCATGTTCAGGAGGCGCTCCTGACGCCGGGTGAAGTCCTGCACAGTTTTGACGTTGATCTTTGGCAGAGGAATGCCGGCCTTGCAGAGGATCGGATCCTTCTGTACAGCTGGTTGAACTGCTGCGGCTGCTTGTCGTGCTCCTCCACAGCATTCCGGGATTCAAGGACCTCGTTCCTCTGCTCAGTGGAAAGCGTCAGCTTGTCCTCTGTCGGGCTGATTGCCACCAGAACAGAACTTTTATAGCTTTTCAAAGCCAGGAAGCGGGTTTGGACTGCAGCCATCCACCTGTTGACAAGTTGCCATATAAAAGTTCCAATGAGCAAGTTGTTCAGTGTAACGTCCCCAGAGTTCTGGGTTCGTATAATGATTCCGTGTGTGTGTGTGTGTGTGTGTGTGTGTGTGTGTGTGTGTGTGTGTGTGTGTGTGTGTGTGTGTGTGTGTGTGTGTGTGTGTGTGTGTGTGTGTGTTTTCCAGGTAGGATTGCGACCCGGCGCTCTACCCCCTCGTCAGTGGTCGCAGCTGGCTGGGCTCTTTAAAAAGCCCGGTTTTGGACCAGTTCGCTCTCGCTGCATATGCTGTGACTTGGTCTTTGGTTTGTACCCTGTGTGGGGAGATTTTGATAGTTTGTGTTAAATAACTTAACTTGTGTTCCTTTTGGAACGTGTAGCAGCAGGAAGGAGCAATTGTTTGTTTGTGTCCTTTCAACTAATTATTTGTTTCCTCCTTTGTTCACAGTTTGGTTAGGGCGCCTTGACCGTGTGCCAGGTAAAGATTGTATTTTCTATTTGGGGTTAGTACAGGTTAGGGTTGGGGACCTTTTGTTTATATCTTTGTTTTGGTCCGTCCAGCCCTCCCCTTTTCCCAGAAAGTTATCGTTTATTTATGTATATTTATTTTTGTGTTTAGATAAAAGCGTTATATGGTATTTGGTGTTTGTCTTTTTCTCGGACCGCGACTCCATACCCCTTTCGCTGGCATCGGTCGGCCCGAGCAGTCGGTTGCCATGTTCCCCTCCCTTGTGGGAGCTGGAACGTAACGTCCAGTAATCAATGCATCGCATTTAAATTTGACCACATAGCCATTTACTCACAGAGGCTGGAGGGTGAAGAGTTGCAGTTTCGTCGCTGGTGAGATTAATGTGGGGCAGGATGGCATCCAACACGTTGCCACCAGCCTCCCCGTCGCTCTGGTACGCCTCGTCAGCCTCTGGATCGGGCTGCCCGTGCTGAACCACCTCCTCCTCTGGACCAGGTCCATCATTGATGATGTCCACCAGGGAAAAGGGTTCGGATACACCCGTGCGTTGGCTGAATAAATATTCCAACCCAAGCAACTCGTTGGAAGCAACATTGGCGGGGGCCCGGAAATTCTCCTCCAGTCTCGCCAAACAGCTGCTGACAGCGGGTGTTGAGGCGGTGAATGAGCGGCGCAGAGTATTTCCTGTGATTCTGTCCTTTGCCACCAAACACGGCGTCCAAACTCCTGTCCGAATTCCACCGAGCAATGCCACTCATCAGGTAAACCTGATAGGGCCGTGCTGCACAATGGGGCCCTGAGTAGAACAAAGTTAAACAAAGCGTTAATGTCAATTTGTCCTGATAACTCCACACAAGTACACATGACAGTAAAACCTTCATCTTGAGCTGGAATGTAACTAAGCACATTTATTTAACTAATTAACTTAAGTCCACGATATTTTATCATTTTCCATTTGAAGCTACTTCACACTTACAAGCCAATACATCTCTTTGGTAAATATCATGTACTTTTTACAGATTTTTTCTCTTCTCATCACCGTCCTGTCCAGTGAAACATTCCCTGATGTGTTGCCGTCGTAGAGTGAAGTGTTTTATGTTTAATTAATTAATAGTTCAGCCTGTGCTTTCTCTCTAGAATATTGTCAAAGTCACCTGATTAGTTTGTTATAACACGAGAAATCACCTGGAATCATGTGTGGCAGCGATTTGTGGAATCCTTCCAGGCTGTTGCTTCCACGCAGACATTTGTAATGGGGCACGTCCACATTATTGATAGTTGTGCTACGCGCCACCCTATACATGTTCATGCCTGGTGGATCCTGGATGCACTCCAGCTGGCCTGCCCACATCTCATCGATAGCCTCTGTAAATACACATGCATGCAGTGTGTTATGTTCACTTTGTATGCTACTCTATATTAATGTTGTAATAACCTATTTTATGGGGCGCTTAATATCAGGTGTTTTGAAGAGGCTAACTCCGCTCTCGTCCAGCCCAACGGGACCTTTCATCTCCTCGATGGCTGGATGAGCCGAAAGGTCTCCTGAGCACCGAGTGTAACCCTCCTCACATGGTGCTTGAGCTGATCCCTGGAGATGTGGCAGCGGACAATGTCCTCGTCCGAGACTCTCCGGGTTCTTGGCTCTGATGGCTTTCATGAGCAGCTCCAGGTCCGGGCGGTTGTGGGCCAAAACTGCCCCAGCTAGAGCAGACTTGAACACTGCATACTTACAGTGGGACTCCGCGTCAAATCTGTGGATCCAGTGGAAGATGTCCAGCCGCACTCCTGTTGTGCCCTGAGACCGGCAACACCCACGGTCCACGTAGAGGAGCTTCTGGACAGGCTGACTGGCCAGCCGGAACCTCTCCATGACTCCACTGCACATGGGCGTGAGCCGCGGAGTGGACTCCTCACAAGTCAGCACAAAGGTCACTATCTGTGAGTGCTCGTTCCCAATGCTGGTGAACCGCGACCTTCCCCACACAGCTTCTTGACCACCTGGGAAAAAAAGTCAGATTTGCATTATATGATAACGTCTAATGGATTCTATTTCTTAGTGGAGTCCATTTTCAGCGCCGTGCCAAAAGTGGAGAGGATCTGGCTGCGGTAATCTTGGACATTCTCTGCCTCTGCCAGCAGGAAGGCAAGACGCAAGAGCCGCGCAGAGGGAAGTTCTCTCGGAGCAGGTGGAGCTTGGAATTCGTGGCCTAATGCAGAGACGATCCCACCTGGTTCAGCTACGGTCATGAGGAGTGTGGTGTACAGGTCCTTATGTTGAAAATACTCCTCAACATGACTCTCCTGTACCTGCCTCCACACCTTGACCATAGTGTTGCCTTCTGTCCTGTCCCTCAGAAGGCGGACCACGTTCTCATCCACCCCACACCGGCGAACACATTCAGCATTCATAAACAGCGTGGTGAGATTTATTGCGCTAAAGTTAGACTGTTAAATGCACTCAATACGTTTAATATCCTCACTTGCTGGTGCGGACGGCAGGGAACCGAGCTTGATGAGCCTCACTAAGTTGAGATCGAATAGCACGGTCCCATGCGAGCCATCGGCCCACTGTGCCACCTCCTCCGCTCCTGGTGGCCTTTGTGCAGGGTCCACAGCACAGGACCTCAGTGACCGATGTGTACCAGCCGGACACATCAAATGTGACGTACCTGTAGTAGATATTATATTATTAGCAGATATTTTGCATACATATGTTTACATACGTAGTAAGAACACAGTGATTCATACCCGGTGGTGAAAGCCAGACTTGTAGAGGTGCACATCCCTCCCGTGCCCGACGTAGTCATCCCCTCGAGGGCACTTCAGGGAGTATCGCCAAACTCCAACCGGACGCCACACAAATACACGGCTCCGGAAAAAAAGGTGTGTTGGCGCAGCTCCCTTCACATAGCGAGGCGGTTCAGGTGGATAAAACCACATCCGGTCGGATTTGATCACCCGTCGCCTCTTTAACTGACCAGATTTGTGTTTAAATATCTGAACAGCGGTGAACAGGCCTCGTTCTGTGTCCTCTTTTAGCCAGGATATGTCCGCTGATGGGACACCATGGGGGTTTTCCCACGAACGCACCCAGCCCTCCAGCTCCACCTGCAACGCAGAAACAAAACATTTGGTTATTATTGTCAAAAGATTGCTAAAACCTTAAACCAATTATGAAACATTTAAAAGAAATGTCATTTACTTTACATACAGTGTGAATATCACTTACAGAGGAGTCACTCGGAGATGATTCCACCGCGGAATCAGGACCCCTGGATGTGGACGGGGTATACGGGTTTTTTTGAGAAAATGAAAGGCTTTTAAGAGCGCCTTTGTAGTGCGGAAAATACGGTACTGTTCTTTTTCTGATTGTGCTCCGTGTTAATGCACTTTACAGCTTTTTACGATTGACTATTGCAAAACACTAAACACAGTTGTATATATTACACACGGAGGTATATCAAGATGTCACTTCCTTGCAATTGCAAAGCACTGATTGTCAAATTACCTAACTAATTGACACATGGGTTTGACAGACCGATCAGGTGTGCAAACACAGAATTGCTGAATTGCAGACAGACTGCACAGGATACAATGTTATGTTTGTCTGATGCATATAAACTGGGAGTTGTTTGTTGTTTTGAATCGCCATGTTGACACATTTGAGTGGGCAAAAATAAACTATATAATCCTCAGTCTGCTGCATTGGTCTTGTGTGGTGTCATGTGGTGTGTAATGTACCCACATGTCTTTTAGTGTTTTGCCAAATCACTGTATTGTTTTGCAAAAAGGGTGAGCAGACATTGTGCTTATCGTACTGCAAATGTGGCCGATGTTTTGCACTTTCTCTGTGTACTTCACTTACACTGCTCTAATCGCTGAGAAGTACAATTGCTAAAAGTGAGTGTGGTACAAACTGAATAAAGTCGTATGCAACGTGTGTGTCGTATGGTAACAAAATATGATTTTGATTAAGTTGTGCATAGTTTAACAAGAGTGTTTTAATTTTGCAAAGAATCCAAAGTTGAGAAATATCACTATGTCAATAATGTGACAGAATAAATAAACAGAACTTTCTTTGCTTGTTTTGTGTAATCGTGAACTCAATTTAAATGTAGTCTTGTTTTATGGAGCAGGAGGAAGCGCCTTCAAGCTGAAGGAGGACGACATTCAGCTTCTGTAGCTTGGACATATCCTGTAATATCTTAATGTTCCTTTAAATAGCTTGTATCCCATGCAAGAAAAAAAATTAATATTGACAGTTGGTGGTTTTTATTGACAGAATTGATAGATTTCTTCCTTGAGATTGCAATACTATGTAACTGATTTGAATTTAAATAACCAGAACATGTTTTTCCCTCAGCCTGAAATAGACTGCAGTGACCGCAGGGCAGAGACAGTTTAGGAGACGCAAAGTAAACGTCGTCACATCTCTACCAAACCATTGATTTAATTATATTTAACTGTGTTTAAGTTGTTAATCTGCTATTACAGATGTATTTAATGCTGTTTATTTCATTTGATGTTTATGGTTAATTTGCAACCATTGATGTACACATATTTATTTCATTTAAGAACCATACATACCTCCAATGAAGTGGGATTATTTGTTGATCACAATGCAATACATAATGACAATTCAAAAAATACAGACTTCGAGGTAGAGGTAATAATTAACCTAATGATTATTTGTCCCACTTCAATCCTGAATTGAATGGTCAAACTGAAGAGGTCAAAGGACGAGAGGATCTAATGTTGGCAAGAATCTGTGTTTCAAAGAAAACTTACTCAGTTTTATTGCCTTCAGATGTGTTACTATTTTAAAAATAGTAAGCCTTAAATCCTTAAAATTCACTGATTGCGTCCAATTTAGTTCCTCCCCAGAGCCTTATTTTAGGGCAGCTTCTCGATTGCACCATTGTTAAACATTCAACTCTTATTTTAAGGAAGAGTATCCCCAGTTACTAGGCCAGCGAAGCCGGATGCATCAGTAGCTGCAGAGTGAAGAGGTGGACTCACTAAAACAAGTGTCACACCAACAAAGCGCTCAGGACCAGTGAGCTGCAGAGATGGGATGTGCTTTACCCAGATGTTTGTGTACAGCTGGACAGTGCTCTCAATAAATTGCCACAATTGTTCAAGATGGACTCAATTTCCTGATTGGTGTTAACACTTGTTATATTTATCTCTTTCTTCTACTTGTAAATAGGTCAAATATAGACTTGATAATTAGCCTGACTCCATATTTGAAATGCAATAAAAACAGATTGATCAAAGGTTCCAGAGCAAGACCAATGCACGTGTGTTAAGGACCTCTCTGACTACTACTATGCTAAATTTGAAACATTTTTACTGTACAGTTTTGGAGATTTCTTCAAAGTAAAAGCCCTATAATTGGACGTTGAAAAAGACAGTTTCTCCATGTTTGGACTGCCATAAAAACTGATTTATCAATAGTTCCAAGCCAAGACCAATGTACCTGTGTTAAGGACCTCTCAGGCTACTACCATGCTGAATATAAAGTATTTTTACTGTACATATTTGGAGATTTCTTCAAAGTAAAAGCCTTATTTTTGCAAGTTCAAAAACACCATTTCTCAAAGTTTGAAATGCAATAAAAACAGATTGATCAATAGTTCCAGGCGAACACCAATGTACCTGTGTTAAGGAGCTCTCTGGCCAAATTCCTTTTTATGGCAGTTCAAACTTTGAGAAGTGGTGTTTTTGAACTTGCAAAAATAGGGCTTTTACTTTGCAGAAATCTCCAAAACTGTACAGTAAAAATACTTGATATTCATTATGGTAGTAGTCTGAGAGGTCCTGGAACTATTGGGAAATCTGTTTTTATTACAGCTCAAATATGGAGAAATGGTGTTCTTGAAATGTCACTTAGGGCACATAGGGCTTTTACTTTGGAGAAATCTCAAAATTTTTACTGTACAAATATTTCTTTTATTGTACACCAGTAGTCCTGTACACACACAGTTCTATCATTTTCTATTTAAATAGCCTTTTTTTGGGTTACTTGTTCAATACCGTAAATGTCAGCATATACGTGCACTAAAATTCAAGCGTCGGCTGAGTTGACCGCAGTCTTTTCTCCGTGTTTCTTTCTGCACTCAAATCAGAATCAAACCTTAAGAACTTTCTGATACAGCAACATTAAAAAAAAGTAATTAAATACACTGTGGAAGCAAGATCAACCAAATCAAACGTCAAAAAGAAATAGACGTTAAACAATATCAAGATAATTGATACCTGATGACATTGTAAGAACAGATCAAACGTAAAAAAAAATTGAAAACATTTCAAAAGCTGAACGGCAGTCACAAGTCCTATTAGTTCAATTATTTAAACATTGCTAAAGATATAGAACGCTCTCCTTTAAATGGTAATTCGCTAATACCAACTCATTTGAGTTCTTATAGAGATGGCATATTGATGCGAGATTGGCTTATACACTAGTTGTAATGCCACAAAATGAAATGCATTTGAGAAGCTACTTACAAGATCAGAAATTATGCATCCAGCCACCGTGCAGGTATGTTTTCTATTATTATTATTATTGTGATATTTAGACGAGAAACTTAGAAGCCCAAGTACAAAGAATGCACTTTTATTTAAAAACAAATGTTTTAACAATTGATTATGTCCCACTGTTATCTATGGTCATGTTAGTCTGAAACAATGTTTGTGTGGTGGAATGGAGGTTTGTTGTGCACAGCAGGACTGTCTGCTAGTGAAGAGGTCAGAATCAATGGATACAGCTAATTGGATTTAGAAGCACATGTTTAACAAAATAAAAGTAACTCAAAAGAAATTATATGCAAATTGTTTGACGCCAACGTGTCGAACTGAAATCATTGACCTTCATCAGAAACTCTTTCAGCTCAAACTCCAGCAAATCATCTCTCAGCGAGCAGCCGGCCACCAGAAAATGACCTCAGAGAGAAGCAGCAACACCAAAGAGAAGCAGAAACAATGACCCCAAAGAGAAAAGATGTCTATGTAATATGAACAAAACAAGCAAGAAATTATACCAAATTTCACCGAAAAGATAAATCATATTGAACCCCCAAAAATGCAAAGTATTTACAAAGCAAACTAAAACCCAATACAGAGGTTCAAAATGACAAACAGATATATATGTGAAGGTTAGTTGTTTCTTTTTAGATAAAGACGTATACTTATTGACTGGTGGAAGCAGTGAATCAGAGAAATAATCATTGTTTTGCTTCATGCAAGGGTCAAAGAGCGGCTCATTTAGAGAGAGATGGAATCAAGCACATTTTTATGTTTTGAGCTCCAACTTGTGGTTCTCAAAAAATACCCTGAGCTCTCTTGTCTAATATTTTTTGTCTGTTCTGAATCTTGTGTGTGCATTGATTTATTTTTCATAACCACTTCTATGTGAGTCAAATAATATGTAGGATTCCCTAACAGGAAAACGTTGTATATGTCAATGTCCACTTGGCTAAAACAAAGGTGTCTGTAGATAGTTGGGCTAAAGCTAGCTGCTAACAGCTAAAGCTCGTTGTGCACACGGTCAAGCGCACCGAACACACCGCTGCTGTCTCCCACTGGAACACGTCGCCCACCAGCGTTCACCAAGACTACTTTCAGTAAGTTCCCTTTGACTCAAGAAAGAGACCATTCTTGTAGGAATAATAACGTGTACACTATTAAGTTAACAAGTCTAACGAAGCCGACTTGTTTTCGTCTATTTAAGGGTATATTTCACTGCAGCGCCTGTTCTTTTAATTAAGCTAGCTGTTAGCTAAACTAATGCTAGCTGCTAATTAGCATATCAAACTAAACTGTCTTGTTTTTAACTCTGCGTAATGGAAACTGGGTCGTGGCAACACTCGTATTCATCAATGGCTCGTTGGTCTAAAGTGACTTGAAGCTGAAATAACTGCAGGTTGAAGGTGCTTCACCTCCATGACCACATGGCGATAAGCGGCTAACTGACTGTTAACGACACGTCAGGACTCGGCTCCACGTTAGTTACCGTCACACTGTACTAGTTAATTATTAGTTAAACTAACAGGCCAATGCAGTGCTTACATGGGAATGTAATGAAGGTTAATAATGTCACTTTACTCAAACCTAATTGGGCACATGTGTGCTGGTATCGTGGACACCGCTAACCTTGTTCGCCTTTGTTACAGCGCTTTTTCCCGTCGAGGTAGCGGGACTCATAGTTATTACTGCGCACTTATCCTGCTTTTACAGCGGCTTATAACTTGTGTGGACTGCACGTGTAATGTAAACCACACGTCTCCTCTCCGTTGTGGCCTCAATTTCTTTAATTGTGTCTGCTAGTTGACGTGATATTTATCGGCGTTGTAACGTTACTTCGCATTGGACTGACGCGTACCACGTGTCCGGAAGTAAACAAGGAGACGCATTTGCAAACACACGTTTAACGTGAATGTCGCAAACAAAATCGTACCGGTGGTACATTGTCGCTATTTTACACTCTTGTTGTTTTATTTGGGGTTAATAAAGTTGTAGTTCAGTCCGCGAACCATCCGTGAGAGTGTCTGTGAGGGGAATGACCTCCTCATCTCCGACGTGATGTCGCTATCGCTTCTCGGCCTTTTGGCTAAGATCAAGTGTAGTATCTGTTCTTATCAGTTTAATATCTGATACGTCCCCTACCCGGGGACCATATATTAAATTGATTTTTGGAATAGGGAGATGGAATAGGGGCTTGCTCCGTCCACTCCACGCATCGACCTGGTATTGCAGTACCTCCAGGAACGGTGCACCCCCCAAAACTGTACAATGTAAAATACCATGGCAGAAGAGTGCATAGTGTGCTTGATCATAGTTTTCGGTATCTCATAAAGCATCGAGAGATAAATCTCGCACCTCTGGAATTTTGTAAATAGCGTTTACGCACCTCAAAGTTCCCTGCGCCTTGTATTCTTCCGTTGGAATAATCCGAAATAAACTTGGTGTAATTTTAAAACTGTTAAAACTATGTTTCCTATTGTTGAACATATAAACGCCGTAGTCTGAATAATTTTCATCCGCGCTGTATTATGGTCTGACCATCCAATCAGTGCCTTGCGGCTGCAGCAGCGAGACAATCAGGATCCAGGAGGTATTTAAACACATACACGTTGTGGATTAGCCTGCCTGCCTGTTCGGAATGTGTAATATTCGTGTGCGTGCACTGACATTTAATTGTCTAAGTACGACACGTACCAGTGAGTTTCTTTTAGTCGGCGCTGTATGCGTCCATCTTTATTAGTGCATATTTACTTCTGCGCATAAACGCGCACCTTGATGACCTCATCACAACATGACAGACATTTGAACCGGAAGTATCCAAGATACTACAGAATGGATTACCGCCGGTAATTAGCAATGGATATCAGGCGATATTTGAAGAGACCATCGAGTGCTCCCACTCCCACAGATGCCCGCAAAAGGCCTCAAGTACAAAGTAAGACTTAAGAAGATCAATTCACGTTTTTAAACGTTGTTTTGGTTCGCACAACATCGCATTAAGACGGGGACAAACGCTATTAATAACATGCTTTCAAATACGATGATGCAGCCAGCCTTCCCGGTCCCATCTAAATAGGCCTAATAAAATGAGTAATTATCCTCATGCATATTGCTGCAGATTAGGCTAATTCATTGAAAAATTGTCAACAGATTATGTGCAAGCCAGTTAGACATAGCTAAGAGAAATGCTAAGTGAAATGTTTTAGTTTAGCTATAGAATCTTCAAATTTCGCGGTCAAAGTCAAATATATTAGTTTTTTACTTTCCTGATGACATCCTGTCCTGCTCTCGCATAGAAAACGTGAGCGGGGAGCAAAGCTGTTGCTTCACTGAATAGGCCTATATGCTTAATCAATTATTTGAAGTCATGAAAGGTGTAGAGTAGCCTGTAAGCGAAATACATTGTAAACATAGATTATTTGAAAACAAGTCAGTTCTCAATGTGAAAAAAAACATGCTGTATAGGCTATTTATGATGACGTACATGAGTGTTCCTTTAACTTATGTTGTCAGTGTAATTGACAGGCTGCTTAACTGGTGTTCTCAGCCCCACAACTCTTAAATTTAACATATTTTTTCAGGCAATGATGCAGAGAGCACAGGGAGAGGCGAAACACCAGATCGAATAGAGAGAGGATAATGGCTGATGAGAGAACAAAATCATGACAGTGGAGAACCAAAGAGTGGAGAAGAGGAAAGGGGAGGAAATGAAAGAAGACCAACAGAGAATGAAGAAACAGAGAAAGGGGAGACGGAGAAAGATGAAATAGAGGGAGTAAGAGAAGAAACGGGCTGGAGAGTGGAGAATCTGAATTAGAATCTGAAGTAGAGGGAGATACAGAGGAAGAAGAATCTGAGACTGAAGACCGAGTGAGAGGAGAAATAGAGAGCAGATGCCACCCACATATCTGGACAGATAACATAATGCAATATAGCCAGGACAGCCTTACAGAGTCTCAACGCTTTGTGTTGCGTTGCTTCGCATCGCGTTGCATCGCGTCGAGGTCTGTATGATCACAAAATTCAGAGTTTACCCACCTCTAATTTTACCACTACAGCACTGGCGAAAAGTGGTCGGTGGTAGGTTCTTCCGGTGGTCGGTGGACGGTTCCTTTGTCCGGACAGCAGGTTCCGGTGGTCGGTGGCAGGTTGCACCCTGGACAAACCGACCACTAGAAATGGGTTATTTAGCATGCGCGGTCGATACATATGTCCCTTTATTTTTTTAGCATTGGCATGCGTCGCCAGCGCCCTACGCTGTGAACGGCAGCTCGCCACAACCTCGCCAGCGTCCTATGATGTGAACGGCAGGTCACATGAACCGTCGCCACCTTCCTTCATGATGAAATTGCACTTTTATGTTCATGATGAATTGAAGAGTAAGGCAAATAGCATTAAATAGTAAATATTAGAGCATGGTTACTGAATGACAAACAAAATTTGTTATATTTTACAACTGTGCGGAGTCTGTGAGTTTGGGGACCTATGACTATATCCTCTGGAGTCGGGAGTGGGTCAGATATGGCAATGTCCAGGTTTTTCTAAAATGTTATATACACATTACAATTTTAATCAATGTAACTTCTAAATTTAAATAACTGCTGTCTCCCACTGTACTAGACTGCGGAAAGGATTTTTATGCCAAGGCTGGTCGGTCACCAGAATCCTGAGACGGGAAACCACTTCATCCTTTGAGTGACGAAACTTCACAGCACGTCAACAGATACAGGCCAGGGTTAACAAACAACAATAACCTAATGATAACGCATAACTAACAAATGTGAAGACTAAAGTAACATTACCAGGAGCAATCGTTTATCAGTTTCTGTGGTAATTTTTAGCAACATGCAACAAAGTATAAATATCTTCAATTTGTAAAAAAAAAATTGTGTTTATAAATTAAAAGAAAAGCAATATTCACTTCAGTGGAGTAACTTGAATTGTTAGACAGGCGTGTTTAAAATCAATTTAAAATGTATTTGCATAAGGTCATCACTGGATGACATTTCTGTAACAAAAATACTTTGGCTAATACAGTTATCATTGTGCATGCGGAATACATTCATTATTATATGGCAGATTATGGTATTCTTCATTCATCATTTCATCACTGGTCCAATAGGTACTTGACTTCAAAAAGGAGGAGATATGAGTGTATGACTCTCTGAGGATCAGCACCACCATACCGGATGAGGCCATGAATATTCTGAGGTGAAAAAGTGTAATACACAATTGAGACATGCTATTATAAACACCTGAAATGAATTTTCACAGTGATATCGTTTTTCTTAAAAGAAATTTTTCAGGGAACAGGGAGGTCTTGCGGAATGGAATGTGTGTTTCACAAAACAATGGAGGCAGAGAGACAACAATAACTGCGCTATTTTTGTGTGCTCAGTAAGTCAGCATGCAAAGTTGTAAAATTAGCTTTCAACAATATTTTTAAAAACACACAATGTTAAAAAATATTGTGTGATTTTTGTATTATATTATTTCAAAAAGGCAGCTGAGAATGAGGTGAAAAACCGAGATGTCATCCTCAACCAGTGCCAAACTCTCTCCAAGATGATAGCAGGGCTTAGCATTGAGGTATACAAGGTATACAAGGAGACTGGACCACGAAAGACTTCCTTTGTGGGTGTCATCGAGACCCTGGTACATATCTGTAAGTATACACTTGCATAGTGTATAATTACTTTATAACACTGGCTTTAGTAATGGATGGTTTTAATTTTTAAAGGGCAAAAGAGATACTAGAGTCCACTCAGGTGGACAGTATTTTAACGGATCAAGAGATTGAGGTAATGACTTTACCTTTGTTCATTTTGTTTTCTGGTCTAAAACAGAATTTATTTATTGATTAACTGCGGCATGTTCGTTTAAGTAAGTTGTCTATGACTGACATACATGTTTGACAATGATGACACTATAATTTATTCAGAGTCTGGAGCAAGATCTGATGAAAAGAAACATTCTGTCAAACAGAATGTATCTTTATAAAAATAAAGGGTGCGATCGCAATTTGGAGGCATTCTATGCTGACCACCTGTCAGTTTTCGATGATCTTAAGGTTAGATTTACATTAGCATTTTATTTTAATATGTGTACACTGTGATGAAAATTGGTGGATAATGTCCAATCCTATTTTATTTTAAAGCAATGGTGTTTCATAGTATCCATAAAATGCAAATTCAAAGTCAACCTTGATATGAATAAGTCTTTAATAAAATTTCAGACTGCACAACTAGCAGGAATACTGAAATACATTGTGGGTAAAAAAGAGCCTGCAGTGGATAGCGATACCTATATCAATCATGTCATCCTGCCAGAGGTAAGTTGAAACAAAACAAGTAATAATTCAATATATTTTACCCATGGATTTAATTACATTATGACAGAATACAGCATGACCTTAAAAATGAACGGCAAATTTATTTCAGGTAAACATTGAGTGGCTGAGGCAGAAATTCTGCATATCCAGATACGAAGCTGGATGTATTCTACTCAGCGTAACCAAGACTTATGTATAAGCAAAATTTACCGCATTAGTAACTGAGAAATTAAGATTGCAGTGACAATTTAATCATTCCAAAGTCGTTCTTCTGTGATGTTTTGGCAATTAGCCGTATGAAGAGGAATTGTCAAACCTTCATAAAAGATGTTTCAGCCTTATGACATTTCACATTAATACATTTATACATCTTTATATTTAAAAATACATTTTTAATTAGAACACCTGCATATACATGAAAAGGCAAGACCAAAATGATAGTGTCCAACAAATATTGATTGAATTATTCTAACAAATGTTATAGAAATGATTCCATAACATGAGATGGTCACTTTGAGGTTTCACAAAACAATTTACAGCAGTATAAGTTAGAACGCAAGATACATAGCAGAAATTTAAACAAAGTCAAGAACTAAAATTAAAATAAGCTGTAATAGGATATAGCCCAAAATAATACACAATAACTAAATTATTAATGTGGCCTATAAACAGACATATATTGTTTAAACTGTTATTGCAAAGTGTATTTATACTGAAAAGATTTAGAAGTTCTACAATATGCACGTTTTCAACATTATACTTAAATTTATTATTAATGCTGCTAAAGCTTTAATTAAAAAGGAAAAAAAATTGAATGCATTTTCAATGAATGACCGGGTTCACCATGACTCGTCTGAACCCCTGTGTGGGCAGCAGCCAATGGAGCAGACCGTGAAAACAACACACATGGAAGCGGTAAATTGTTTTTCAATGTTAATATATTTACAATAATTGCTGTTTATATTGACATCCACAGACATCATGTTGCTACCAGATGACTATATTGTAGAAGTAAAGAAATAAAATAAGAAACTTATTACGGAATGATTTCAAACCAATACTGTTTTTTTCAAAATATTTTTCATAATGTTACTATACAGCTCAGTGTGGAACTGTTGGAGGCCATTTTTGTCGAGGCAGTTCTGCTTGATGGGGACAAAATGATCGGGTCATTGGCACTAGTGTCCAAAAGATGGAAGGCTATTGTCTCTACTGAAGAGTTTCGGAGGAAAGCCTACTATCGATGGCTGAAAAGTAAGTAACCATGTAGAGTATCTTGGCTTATCTACTTTTGTGTTCATTTTTACTTTTACTTTACTTATGTGTGTGTGGAGATGGGGGGGGGGGATCTTAAAAATATTTGATAGTTGAGACAAGAGTCGTTTCCTTGTTTTACCCACAGACATATTAGTTAATGTTGACAATCAAATATTAAATTATGAATTGAAATGTATACACGACCCCTCCTGGCAGGAAAGGGACACTGTGACTGAAGACCCCATCAATGAGGTAAAATGTGGTGGTATTAGTCTAATTTAGAACCCGCATTTTCATGAGGTCAAAGGGGGAATACACTGATATGGATCCTTTATAAGTTGGTGGAAAATTGTTAAGGATTGAATAAGACTGACCTAACGTTCATAGATGTAGATGTAATCACAGAGATTGACAGGCCGTGCATATGACCAGAACAGACTGACAGGTCGTTCATTACATTAGCTGACACTTTTATCCAAAGCGACTAAGACTAAGTGCATTTCAAACATAAGGATACAAACTCAACATAAACATAAAAGTGCGATTTCAGGTGGCGGCGGTTCATGTGACCGGCTGTTCGCAGCGTAGGACGCTGGCGATAATCAAAGAGGCAGGGCGACGCTAAAACAATAAAGGGACATATGTATCGACCGCGCATGCTAAATAACCCCTTTTTCTAGTGGTCGAGTGAACAGTTTGTCCGGGGTGCGGGGGGGGGTGCGGGGCGGGGCGGCTGCTGTCAGTCCGCTGGTGCTCTCTCTCCGCTGGCTGCTGTCGGTTATCAAAACGTTGCCCAAATGACCCTTTTCAGACTTCATGACCAAATACAGAATCCCTTTGTGTTCATTTCTAAAGCATCGCATTAAGACACACATCACTTTATTTAAGACGCTGTGCTACTTGCAGGTCGCTGTGTTGTGCCTGATTCTCAATAAAGTTAGAAACAATGATTTACGGCGAACGCGTGGCCGTGAAGATACTTCTTAACATGTCATTTGCATGAGGAGGAGGGGGCGGGTCCATGTCTCCACTGAAAAAGAAGCCTTCCACTGACCACCGACCAATGCAACCTGCCGTCCGGACAAAGGAAGCTACCACTGACTACTTTTCGCACTCAGCCCTACTGCTCATTTCCTAAAAGTAAAATTCTTGACTGCACAGTAGGGCTCGACGGTATCCCCAAAAATTCACATCATTGTATTTTGTAAGGTTGCTTAAATATAGATATTTGATTTGCTACAATAGAGCAGTGAGAACAGCGTTATATTTTAATATTATGAATTCTATCTATTGAAGAATGTTCATGCTATTTTCAAATAAAATATATTCAAATCATTAAGGCTGTTTTCGTGCGTAATGTAAAACCGGACATAATGTTTTATAGTATATGCTTTTCTTCAAAAAAGAATATTGTAAAGTAAAATAGCAGGCCCAAATGGAGGAAGACACACTGAAGGGACAATTTAATTTACATGTTATTAAATGTATTCATAAATATATATTAAGACCGTTCTAGCATTTCCCTTTAATTCATAGGCCTATAAAGACTAATGAATTAATGATTTTATATTAATTAAAAAAAAACATGTGACCATCTTTCGAAGACAGCAATTGGCTTAGACGTTCTGTCGATCTTTAGGTTAAGGCTACTTACTGCAGATTTAATTTTTCCAGCGGCCCGCATGGCACCGAATCAATAGCGAAAGAATACCATTTTATATGTTCTACCCATACCGACATACTCAATCGAAATGACAATGAAAAAAAATCCTGTCATCAAGTCACTGACTGACTAATCCCAAAGATAGGTAAGCATCTATTTGGCTATAAATTGTTCATTTTTAGACTTGAAAGGAAATAAATAGTACAACGCGTTTATATTATTCTTTCCTTAAGTTTAGTCTTCTATGGCCACAAAATATCTATTACTTTTGGTTGGCCTGTTTCTGTAGTAAAATGATGAGGATAATAGTTTTGTTTTGGACACCCGACCTACAGGATCACCGTGGACATTGGAAGGAGAGAAGCGAGGGTGCTTCAACAAACATCCTACAAAGAGCAAACGATGCTTCGACATTACACCAAATTTATAGTTACATTGTATTCAAATGCTTTTTATTAATTTGAATTAGGTGAGGTTTTATTACATATAGTGTTACTTTGTGCCAATGATGTAAAGTGTATTGTGTGAGAGAAAACGACAGAACAAGAGCGAGAGATCCATCAAGGCCTACAGTCAATGAGTTTCTGGTTTTGTTAATCCTAGAATGTAATGTACGCATATCTGTGCACTAAACTAATTCATTTGTTTTCACCCATTGGTAAAGTAAAGCAGATAAACAGCTCAAACTTCTTATAATCTCGCGAGTGACTCAGTAGCGTGAGCCTCCGCGGACGACGCACAAGCTTCTAGCGAGACCGCAGGCGTTGCGCTGCGCGTAGCATTATTGTTCAAAACTCCAAAGGGGGTTTTAAACTCATTTTTTTCTATATAATTTCCCGTTTAGGATTTAAGATTAACATACTTTTAGATCATTGTTATCTGTTTAAATTGTAATTTTTAAGTTGCAGTATGCTAGAGCTGCAGATGGACCACAGCAGAAACGCACCCATTTTTTGTTTTTATGATTTAATGAAAATATTTATTTTTCAATTTTAGAATCTCCACTTTGCCACATTTGGAAAGTGTTACAATTAACTCGTAAATCATACTACCACTTTTAGAGATGCATAATGTATTGTTGAAATACTGATATCAACTATTACATTTTAAACGGAAGTGCAACTTTTAAGAGCCTGAAAGAAACTAATAGAAGCATTAGAAAATGTTGCCAGTATACATGATGTATGCAAAACAGCTGACTTGCCTGGAAATGTATGCAAATATTTCAAAGTGCCAAATACATTGGTGAATCGGTTAAAAATTCAGCTTAAGGAATAAGTACTTTTTTGGGAGAGGTTCTTCTTTGGTATTATTTGGTAAGTATTTTTAGTTTTAACAATTTTATTAATACAATAAAAATGTTGAGATAAGTTGTAGTCTGTATAGCAGATGTTATATTGTGTATCAATTTGATTTGTGAAGTATGATGATGAACATACATTGACTATAATAATGGAGTTTTATGATGTTTATTCTACATGTATTAATGTTTTTTGTTATTGTGTTTTATTGGATTATGTAGAAACCAGTTCCACTTTTCAATGAACTTTTTCTGTGTACTTTTTTATGGTCTATGTCCATTTTAACCTTTTTCTTTCATTTAGGATTATAATTCTGTTGAAGACCATTTGTCTGCCTACCGGAAAGATGATGCCGGAAGTCTTTCGTCTTTCGACAAGGTGAATATATTTTATTTAATCAGAATGCAATTTAATGTATGAACTGTACTGTAATAAAATGTTATTTATACAATTTAAACACAAACCATTTCATTATTTTTTCAGGAATTTTTTTTCAGGCGAATGCAGCTGCCAGTGACACTGGCCTTTTGTCGTGAAATAGCAGGTTAGAAAATAAATACTTGAGATTAATTTTTGTTTGATCATTTTGTAATGGTTTTATTGTCAAGCTAATATATTATCCATTAGTCACCATTTTAACATTGGCAGTAGATTATAGATTTGCTCTGACCATGCAGACTGCAATAGTCACACACATGAAGTTGTACTTTGACTGTCAATGCTCACATGCATTAAAAGGCACGATTAACTCCCCGTATTTATACAAAGTGCAGAGGGACTCCTTAAGTGGAGAAATGGCCCCATCTTTTGATAAAACGTTTGCAGCAGTGATCCAGCTTTTACTGATGTTTTTATCAGTTTGTGTACATGTATAAATTCCGGCCTTTCTGTTTTTAACATTGTCAAATATAGCCCTTTGTCATTTCCGACATGGCTGGAATGCTGGACAGTTTTGACACCAGTATCTTTCCTAATCAGTCTGGAACCCCCAACCTCATACATACTGTATTTATTTCTCAGACTGTAGGCAATTGTCCAAGCATGATCATGAAAAGCCATCTCAAACGTGACCAACAGCAGATTCAAACTCTGGAAACAACACACATTAAGCACCACTTTCTTCAGACTTTACATTAATAAAGGGCCCCTTAATGCACAGACATGGGACCCAAATATTGCGATGTAAAATCCCCCACAGCAGCACTGGGTGAACCTCAGTCATGTTCTGACCACATGTTCAAATGTTCCCTTGGTGCATTGCGTATTCACAGGCAGTGGAAGAAGTTGTAAACACAGACGATCACATGTGAGGAGCTTTTAATCCCTGAGATTTACAAACAAGCACGGCGACTTTACGTCCAGGTTGAGAACATAACCCCATGACGAAATGATTCAACATCACATTGCCTATGATGTGTTGTGACATGTTTGACATTGAGAAATAAAGTCAAGTACATTATTTGTTGGGAACAGAACAATACATCTCACATTCAAAATTATAATAAAAGCATCCAGCATTTGTACCACATGTGTGTGTAAACGCCTCATATTACAATCGCTTCTCTAAAACTAAACAGCCACAACCCAAATGTGACATAATCATATATTAAATCAATAAAAGTACATTTCCCCCATATTGACAAATGTAAAAAAATAAAAATACACAACACGTCTGCAAATTTGACCATTTCAACTTCACATTTAAAGTGGAAATTGGCCCTTTTAGGACACGTAAATCCTCAACAACTTGTTGACAAGAGAACATATCCGGTGTGTGATGACCTCGAATCGTGATCCCAGAGATCAGGAAAAGTCTAAAGGAAAATTATATCCCTGATAAATGTCTATCACATCCTGCCAAATACGCTTCAAGATGATGACATCATACATCCCATTATTGCTCGGGCGGGTCGACCAGTTGTTTTAAGCACAATGCACAGAGCTGCGGTCACATTACACTAGCAGTGGAATGTTAGTTTGTAGGTGAACATAGAAAATTATTGTTAAAATCTGTAGCAGCACTAGTGTCAGCTTCTCACACAGCCTCTCTTACCACCAAAAAAAAGAACATACATGATTCAAAGTAACAACGTTGACGACGTTCTTCATCCCATTTGTCATCCCTCCATGAGGACGGAAAGGCTGGGAGTTGTGAATGCTGTGATGACCCCTGACCCCCCCCCCCCACCCCCAGGTCTCCATCGCCGTCACACTGCTCGCAGACGAAGAGCCTCTCCCTCACTGATCAACGGAGAGAGCTCTGAAATACACCACATTTTGTGCGTTAATTCCAATTTGAAATCGACGGTATCAGCCTTGACCCCAATAATCAAACCTACAAATAAACCAACAAAACAATATAGATACAAGAATACTGCCTATTTCAAATCATCTTTTATCCCAACTGGAAGGTGTTTTGTGATGGGCTGTCAATCATTAGCTCCTATTCTGGGTAAACTAATCCATTCACGTCTCTATCCTCGGTCCAAATAATACACTTACGGTTGTTATCAAACTGAATTTCTAACCATCACTAATTAATCACCACACAGAACTATTCTCTACTACGAGTTCATCCGATAAGAGTAGAAATCCTTCACACGACCCCGCCTGAGCTCACCTTTCATCTCAGTCCCCGTCCTGCAGTCTTTGTCTCCTGCAGACGAGTTGGGACGGCCGTGGCTGTTCTTTGAATCCGCCGCCTTTGTCTTCACTTGATCCTGTTTTCCGGCAGCGTCGGCGGGTTTCCTCCCATCCACGCTGTCCATCTTCACCAGGCAGAGAGTCTGCAGCAGCTCCACGGCATCAAAGTCCTCTCCGCAGGAGTCGCCTCGTCTCTTCAACAACTCCAACACCTGCAGTCAGAAAGAACAGCCGGGACATTGGAACGCAACTCTTGAGGTGTGTGTTTCACAGGTAGCTGTTGATTGCACCTGCATGTTGATGTCACTGTAGAGGGGCGTGCGTTTCTTGGAAGCTGTTTTAAAGTGCCCTAGATGGTAAACAAGGATGATTTGGGACTTTGGCGCTCAAACACACGCTAGCCGCACCTTGATGTATTTGTAGGACTTGAGTTCGCTGATGTTCTCCTCGAGGAAGAGCAGATACAGAGAGAGATCGTCCCATTGGTTTGTGGGGTTGGGCAGGACGCTAGCGGTGGGCAGCGATTGGTAGATTTCTAGGAAGCGGGCATGTCCGGTGCGGAAGAGGGGCCGGACGGCAGCATAGATCACCGCGGGAACCAGCGCAATGAACAGGACCAGGTTGACGAGGCTGGAGAGGAGGTACGACAGGAAGTTTAACATGAAAATACTTTAAAGAAATAACCTGAAATCCAGTGGGGACCAAACGGCCAATCACCTCAGCAGAGAGAAGACTCCCACGGCGATGAGCTTGCACTGCACCTCCTTTGGGACGCTCGGGTCGGAGACCAGCAGGCCCACACGCAGCAGGCAGCTGAACTCGTCGGTGGCGGAGGCCAGGCGGAGGTAGTAGCCCAGGTAGATGCAGGCGCACAGCAGGGTGACCAGAGTCAGGCCGCGACACAGCAGGTAGTACAGCAGCATCGAGCGGGTGCAACGCTTGGTCATCAAAAACTTCTCTACCAGCGGGTACTTGAAGCAGCCGTCGGTGGGGTCGCTGGGGAGGGGGGAGGGGGGGAGGGAGAGTGAGCAGGCTGGAGGGTGATGAAGGGCTTTCATAGATGAACCTTGTTGATTCCTGGTACCTGTCAGTGTTGGCCATGCGTTTGGCCAGAGTGACAGCGCGGTTGTAGCTCCGGTCCAGCTCCTCCATGATGAAGCCCAGGTCAGACTGCAGGAGGGGCGCCGCGGAAAATCTCCAGAACAGCGCTGGCGTGTACATCAGCACCGCCACCAGCAGCAGAATGTAGGGGAAGAACTGGAGAGTAGAGGAGGATGGTAAGTAGCTAATCATATTAAAGAAGGGATGCGATCAGCTGCCCGAGTCTTCACCAAAGTTGCAATAATATAATTTAAATACTTTATTTGAACTTTACTACTTTACTCAAGTGGAGATTTGGGGTGTCTATACTTTACTGGAGTATTTCTTTTTCAGACAACTTTTTACTTCTACTCCTTACATTTCCAAACAAATATCTGTATTTTTTACTCGTTACATTTTAAAAATGGCCTCGTTCCGTTACTCCGGTTTGATCTTGGCTTGTTTTCATTCCGGCTTGTCGTCGTTCAAAAACACAAACACAAAAAACCCTATCCAGATAAATCGTGCCATCCGGATGGAGTGAATTAGGTTGTGGTTGGATGAGAAGTATAAACATACACCATCCAGACAGCCTACTGGTTTTCTCCGCGATGCACCTGCAGATCAGAGCGACGGCGGCTGCGTAAAGTTGTTGGTGAATCTGACAATCTGGCACGACACAGCGACTTGCCTTAATGTGAGGCTTTAGAAATGAATGCAAAGGGATTCTGTATTTGCCCATAAAGTGTGAACGCGTCATGAAGAAGTCTTTTTAAACCCTAGTATCTATACTTCTACTTGAGTTATGAATGTGAATACTTTTGACACCTCTGAATTTAACCCCAGCCGTCCAGAGCTGGACCCGAAATCAGGCTGTTAGTGATCTTCCACTTTACCGTGTGTGTGTGTGTGTGTGTGTGTGTGTGTGTGTGTGTGTGTGTGTGTGTGTGTGTGTGTGTGTGTATACACTTGTCTCTCTAGTAAGGAGTGTAAAGAGACACACACCAAACAAAGCCTTAAGGCAATATCCTCAACAAAAGGAAGCCCGGCCATTAAAATGTTGGCTACTGTATTACTTGTACTTGTACTACTTCTGGATTACTGTGGATAGAATGCGCCGTGCCAGGAAACACCCCAACATACAGAGAACTACTCACATTTGACCAGGTTAAACAGGTTATGGTTACCTCATCATACTTATAAACACACACAGTTTCAGCGTGTGTGTGTGTGTGTGTTCACCTTATGCAGCCACAGCGGCAGAGTGTGTGTGTGTACGGTTGCCCAACAGTACGAGTCCACATAACCGGCCTGCTTCCACGAGAAGTTGGACGGAGAGAAACAGCTGATCTGAGCACCTGAAACAACAGAGGAAGAAATATAGTAAAGGAGGTTTCACTTTTCATTCTCTCCGGGCAACAAATAAAAATACATGATTCGATAATGAACATTCAACAATGAATTTAAAAGTAGTGTCTGGCGAACAAATAAGGTGCTTTTAAACAGCAGAATTTGCTTTACACAGTAAATCTCAACTTACATTAAAATGTGTTTCTTAATTAAGATGTAATCAAATAAAATATAAAACCCAAATCCATGTGCAACCGCCAGGTCAATAACGTTTAATCTAGATTGTTATTAAAAAACAAGTTACATTTCACAATCACAACATTATAATAGGCAAGATAACTTATTAATGCATTTTCTTTCTGAACAGGTACAAGCATAAACATGTTTCTTTTATCAGGGAGGAGCATAACTAGTCTAACTAGCTATCAGTTATCTAACCAGCTATCACTAAGCACTAAGGACACAGGTGGGTTTTATTCTCCAGGGACCTTTTAAGCCAATGTTTGTACTGGATTCTTAGTCGAGAAAAGTAAGAATGTAGCAGTCCGCCCCCCAAAACGTGTGATGACGCCCCCCCCACCCCCCATGTCAAAACGTATTAATATGCCCCCCCCCCCTTTTGTGACCTATAGTTTGTCTGTGTAGTCAGAGTCCGTAAGCAAAGGACTTTCAAAATAATAATAATTAAACAAAACTGCTTAAACACGCAACAAAATGATAGTTGGGTTAATTAATTAATTAGTTAACGCAATGACACGTTATCTTGCCCCGGCCCTACTTATTTTATATTATTATTATGACATTTGAATCTGTCGACCTCTGTAGGCTATTTGTAATCACTGCAAATCGGAAGTATCTCATCACTGGAGTACTACAAGCCCAAAGTACAACAAGCTCGTAGTACTACGAGCCCTAAGTACCACTTAAGCAGCGTTGATACAGCCCACTGGCGCATGTTGGATGCGGCGTGCGGGAGAACTGTCGACAAAGCATCGCTCTCTTGCTGGTCATATCGTTCAGAAGAAGAGAGGTTGTTATCATCCGAAAACGTAAATGACCTTGTGCGCCCTGGCAACTGGCTCGGTGCAGAGGAGTAAGAAAACGTGAATCAGAGTAATGGATAAAAAAGAAAAAGTAGACTTAAAAGTTAACTTTGTCTTGTAACTGCTCAACTGATTTTTTTCTTTGATATGGAATTTTGCGCATAATGTGATCAATCGCCGGTAATTACAGAACAATCATGCGATTAATCAAGTTAAATGTTTTCACCTATGCATGATATGATATGTATCCTTTAATATTATAGAATATCTGCAGCGTTCCCGACTAATATCACCACCGCCACGACTATCCTTACCCGAATCTACAGTTATCCCTCCCAAAACGGACTTGGTAGGTTTGTACTCCGCCCCGCCCCCCCCCCCCCCACCACACACTCACCAACTGACACCTCTTGAGCGAAGGCCAGCGAGATGAGGAGGAGGGGCAGGCCCACCGCCACGCAGGTCACCATCTTGTCCAGGGCCAGCTCGGTGCGGACGCTGCGGTAGAGCGCGTGGTTCGGGTCCTTCAGCAGGAAGTCGCTGAACACGTACTCGGTGGCCACATGGGCGATGGCCATCTCACCACTCTGCTGGGAACCGCCGGCGCATCAATGACACCTGCGGACGCGTACAGGGGGAAGATTTTCACTCTGCGTAGAATATCGAAATGACCCCTTTCAGTTTTTTTTTAATTATTTCATTTTCACAATGTAAAAGATCAAACGCTTTCCCGGGATGATTGATATCAGTGCAGGAAGAGGCAGAAAACATTTCATTAATCTTCCTATTTAAAAAATAACAGAACACAAGATAAATACGCACAACATAGGAAAGTAAGAGAATAACAACAAATGTTCTGTAAGGCATCTTTGAAGCTGGTTTATAAATTACATAGAGCAGTGGTTGCTAAACGTTTTCTGTCAGGGACCCTGTGAGAATATAGGACATAGTAGGGCCTCCCCAACCGCACAGAACCGCTTCTTTCCCCCACAAAAAGAAAACAAATAGGCTTTTTTGTCTTTGAATTAAACTATTAAATATTTTTATTTAGGAGGATCTATTTTTTGGTCAGGTGGGAAAAGACAGCATAATATTGCACCCCTATTGTTTTTCAAAATCGACCTCTACAGCCAAGAAATGCAGCTTTGACGCGTTGAATAACTATGAACCTGAGTTTTTGCTTTAAAGTGACAATGACTCCAGCTCCCTCTGCCTCCTGGCCGTCAGGCAAATGTAAATTGCTGAATACAAATCACGGCCTTGTGAGGCCTGTGGTGATATACGAAAGAGGCAGGTGTAGTACATGCTCCAACTTCTTTATGGGGACCGCTTTAATAACTGTCTATACTTACATCTTAATGTTTTTATATTCGTAACATGTTATGAATTCCATTGCAAATCGTATCCATTTTCGTTACCATTCCTCATTTACAATGTATCTGGTGCACTAGCATTAAATAGTCGCGTTAGCACTTATAGACTTATATGTACATCCTACACATTCCATTCTATTCTATCATCTAGTCCACGTTGCATTTGGTGGTTTATTAAAATCACATCCATATATGATTTTCCGAGTTATTGAATGAAATTGACATGTTTTGACAGTGACTGGTGCGCGCGGCGGCTTCACATGAATCTTTGCCCGATGGCGTCGAAGATAAGACGTATAAACCCCGCGGCCGTGTTTAACCGCCACTGCGCTGGGACCGAACTCTGGCAGCTGTGTGAATTTATCGAGGATAAAAAGTGGAGAAACGTTTGCGCTAATTAGTCCCAAAAAAACACCGAGGGTGAAAAACAACTCCCGGCGGTCCGCAACAGCAACGGACACCGGAGTTTCGCTGGAGCTTTCTGGAACTTAAAAACGCATCGTTTTAAAGCTCGATTAAGGGAGTGCGTTATTTCACGTTAGCTGTGCGCGTGGGAATGAAGACCAGTAAAGTTGACTTCAGTAGAAGCTTCTCAATGAAGAATCACAGATCGATCTGCGATCAGCACAAAGCGCTCACGTATTACGCTCACATGTATTCATCGTAAAATCGGATAGTGAACTTACGGAACCACGGACCTGCTCCCGCCAACTTTAGTGTGTCTATCAACACAACGTCATGGCTGAAACCACACGCTGCTTCTGAAGGAGCAAAGTTCACCAGGAGACGTTTTAAATAGTGGCAGACGAAGTTCAGAAAACAAGTCACTCCGCGATGCTGGAACTGAGCCTCTAACTGTAAGACCGACTACTACTTCCGCCCTCCTTACAAAACAGATGCCTTCAAGTGCACATCGACGGCAGCGATTTTACAGTCTCAGCGCCGCCTTCAGAGGCAGCGCGTGAGTTTGAGACACACTGATGTCTGTGCGGTTTCGTTTATGGTTCAGTACACGTGAACGTTGGCGAAATAAGTATTCATCTTATACTTATGTAAAACTATTAATATTACAGTGAAACATATTCGCTGTTACGATTGAACGTTTCCGTATTTACTAAATAGGCACTAAAGGTACAAAAGTATGGGTATTAAAATATAATTAAAGTGACAAAAGTGGTCACTATGCAGTATGGCCCATTTAAGAATAATATGAATATATTATATTTCTTCATGCGATCATCTCATTAATGATGCAGCTGGTAGAGTTGGAGCTGATTTGAACAAGCAGATGCTATAAAATAAATTGAGTAATGATGGAAAAAACCCTAAAAAGGACTAAAAACTAAATGATTAAATGAATTACAAGTAGCTCGAGTAAGTGTCCTGGCAGTAAAGGTCGTCCGACTGGCATATTCCACCACTGCCCATGAGAGATACTTACTTTCATTTCAGAGTCATTGCCAAGCACATACTTTTTTCGTCAGAGTTGTTGCTACCAGTATTTCAAATTCAACATCGCAATTCCAGTTCGATGCAAAACATTACGGACATATTTGTAAACATTAGTATAAATTCACGATGATACACTCCCAAAATATATTTGGTTATTTCTCGGAGTTATTGCTTCCACTGGATTTTATCTTGTAACCACCAAACAAGTCGGCAAAGAAACGTGTGAGTACAACAAAAAAAAGTATTGACTCCAGGGACTTAAGTGTAAAATACATGACAAATCAACATGTTGTGTCTATATATTTCTGATATCGCGCTACATAATTCTACTTTGATAAATACAACGTTTGTATCCGATTTACTGTGCAGTTGAAATCATGATGGGAGATTTGTGAAAACGGGTCAACCGTAGTTTGAATTGCTTAATCGAGAGTGAAAAGCTGGTCTATAAAGTGGAGGATATTCCCAACACCCCGTAAAGGCACCATCTTGCTGGGCAGCGTGACCGTCTACGCAGCATGCAGCGGTACTGAGGCGGTCCGATCTCTCGTTGCTTTTACAAAGAACAACAAGCTGGACAAATCAAACAAGTCACCAAGAATTACATCGCAGCGACAGTTTGCTGTTCAGACATATGTTGGGTCTCTAATGTGTGTGGGGGATTGATGAAGAGTTTATATGCGTGGGTAGCGTTACCAGGATCGTTAGAGAAATATAAAACAAAACCATTTTGAAATGCTTTTGCTCGTTCGCGTTGAATTCTGGGCATTTCTCACTCTGCCCTCCCTGGTCCTCCTAACTTATTTCGGCTGCAGCAAGGAGCTGTAGAACATGCCGGCTGATACCGGAAACTGGTTAATGTATTTCTAAAATGAAGGCATATCATGTGCATCTAGCGGGAACAAAACGAGAAAAGTAACCGAAACCGTTTGACGTAATAAAGTCGATTAAAACGTTATCTATGGAGCCTCAACTGCCTTTAGCCTCCCCTCTCGTTTCATTATTTTACAAACACACTGGTCCGTGGTGGTTTTATTTTGAAAACGCTACACGGAGACCGCGCGCTCTCGTACCGTCCAGCTTGACACCAGTAGACGCTTCACTCCCTCCATTCATTTCATTCGCGCACAGTCGCATCCTAGCAGCGAGCCCTCCCCTCCTGTTTCTCTCCGCCTGGAAAGATGGCTGCTCCGGTGGTGGCGAGGAGCTCCGGCCCGGCGCTCTGCCCGAGCTTCGCGGAGGTCTGTTCTTTCCTAGAGCGATTCGGAGCGGTTCTGGACCTGCCCGAAATGACTTTCCCGCAGATGGAGCGGTATCTGCGGGACAAGACGACAGGTGAGACCTCGGTAGTTAGCTGTGGTGGTGGCGGTGAGGCGAAGAAGTGGTTGAAGAGCTGCGACACTCGACAGCCGAAGGAGAAGGGGCTCCACCACCATCACCATCGTGATGATGGTGATGAGGAATGCGAAAACAAAACCGTTGAGTGCGCGTCCAGGTAACCGCAGCAGGGGAGCCGGGAGACCAGCGGGCTGCTGCGCATTCTGGCCCCGGCTCACCGTCACTTTCCCCTCCAAGTGAAAACGCGTTTTTTTGGTCCCAAGTTTCTGAAGAATTATTCGGACACGGAGAAAAATGTAGACCGCTAACTCAATACTAGTCCCCTGAAGTTGGGGAAGGGGGGGGGGGTACATATGGGAGTAAAAATGTGTCTCGCTAACGTTACACAGTCGGAGTTAAGTTGGGCTCAGTGACAGATCGTCGATAGTGTTGTCAATGCCGGTATCGATCCGATCACGCTAAACTTGGTGGGGGAGCCATGATGCAGCACTGCCTAGTGACCACACACAGCCAACCAGCTAGCTCCGGAGCCTTGTCAGGTGTAATTTTTCACCGGCCTTGCCTCGCAGCCAAGTCGGGGTCTGGAAGGAGATCGGTGCCCCCCGTGTTTGTGTCGACCGCGTGCTCACAGCGGCGATCGTTGTCTCCCTTCGATCCGCGTTATAGACGGCTGTCCAAGCGGATCGACTGATGTTAGCTAAAAACAAGGGATGTTATTTTTTTTCAGCCGTTGGTAGAGGGTACTGTCAAATTCGCGCATGCGCAGTAGCGACTCCGGCTCCCGGCTAGCTGGTTAGCATGGACTATACAACTTTTAGTTAAAGTACAGCACAGACCACGGCAGCTGTTTCATCACGTTATGGGGGGTCAGAAAGAGATTATTTACAAATGTCGTGTGTGTCGCTTTGCGAACCGTGGCTCCAGTCTTTGTCGACAGCCCGCTTGTTTTGTGATCCCGTTAGGTATGCTGCTTCTGTTAGCCTCTCTACCTTCGCGTTGTGTAGGATGAAGCTAATGTCTCTGCTGCTGATGGATGTAATACGATAGTTCTCTGACATTTCAGATTTAAGCGTCATTAACTGCGTTGTATTGGTCCGTGTTGCTGTAAAAATAAATAAGTAAACGTAGAAGAAAGTATGGAGTGCCATGCAGCAAAGAACAGGATTTCCCCAGAACCCGTTAAGGTCTCACGTCAGACTCGTTAGAACAAGTTTACCTTTTATTTGAGTTCGGTTATGTTCCACGGTTCATTTTTATTTATTAGTGTGGTCACCGATGCAAATAGGATTGCATTTTTAAGGCAGAGCAATAGTATCATGACAGTTATTATTAATCCTGACACAACTATTAACGTTCTGTTACATCTAGATTAAAATGAAGGAACACACACAAACACAACGCTTCCTCAGGGTGGAAAAGCACCGTGTGAAGGAATGAAAAGACGAGTGTTTGATGCAGAATGTGATTGCAGAATGAATCATGCATTCTGCAATCACACCAAGCTGGAAAATATCTCATGCATTTTATATTTTCTCTGAAACATGTCTGTCTGATACCTTCAAAATCTGACATCTCATCTTATTAATAATAAATCATTTTTCAAGATTGATATTATTATCTTTGAAATTTGAAGTTGTAGAATAACGTTTTATCGAACATTCCCCTACGACACAGATTTCTACTTGTAGAGGCATTCAACTGTCATTCTGAAATGGCACACAAATACATATGAGTGGTGAACGATCACTTAAACAACTTTGGCATTCATTTTAGCTGTTCTTCATAATTGACAATTGAGAGAATAAGCAATCACACGTGGCTGGTGTTTGATGTTTACAGACTGTAATGAGTCCCATGAAGACGAGCCGCAATTTTATTTTGAGTAGCTTTTCGTCCACGGCTGGTTTGCTTTTACAGACAAGGGAGACAACTGCTTAGGTGTTTTTTTAATGAACCAGTAAACTTTTGTTTTCCAAGCACCTGAGTGAACACTATGGATCACTTGGAAGCTGGTACAACCCCGGTGCTTTTTTACTAATCTTCCACTACAGATACGGTTTTAAAAAATGACTCCGGAAATACATTGCACACTGCTAAACAGTTGTCTGTTTTAATTGTTTATCTCGTTATCTCTCGCTATCTCTCTTGCCAGTGTTCAACATCTGCCTAGAAAAAAATGTGAAATAAAATACTACTGTTTGAATTGAAAAGGCGTACCGGTCAAGTCATGATTTGTTAGACAATAGTTTCTTATAGCGGCATAAATATTAGTTGTGGCACTTTATGAAGAGTTAATGTGTTTAATCATCCATGTTGCAGTTCCCAAACCGCTGGTGGAGCTCCATGTGAAGCTGCTCAGAAAACTGGGGAGGTCTGTGACTACTGACCGCTGGGAAAAATACCTGGCTAAGGTGAGGTGTGTGTGTGTGTGTGTGTGTGTGTGTGTGTGTGTGTGTGTGTGTGTGTGTGTGTGTGTGTGTGTGTGTGTGTGTCGCGTGTTGTTTGTGTTTGTAATGTGTTTAGCTTCAGATTCCGCTTTGACTGCACTTGACATGATTAAACGAGGCTGACCAAAGAGGTTGAGCCATTAGTAGGTCCAGCTGTCCCAGGGTGGAGTTCAGAGACACTTCTCCCTGTCAGCGCTCAAGTGAACTGTGTTCTTTAGTGTGGATGCAGTTACAAGTTCACCAGAACCTCCATCAGCTCCGCCGCTTACAGACCCACATCCGGCTTCGCTGCAGCCTTTTTTTCTGTAAGGTTCATTGTTTGCAAACACTGCTGGCAAAATGAACAAAACATAATAAGTACATTTAAGTAGAATGATATTCCCACAACAAGTGTCGGGCTCTACTTCTGTTCAGCTCAACAGATGGAGGAGACGGATGAAATAATAATAATAAACCGATCATCAGCTTTGAGGCGGAAAACCTGTGCAAACAACCCAGTATGCAGTGTCAACATGCAATCTCTGTTTCCGGTAGGTTTGCCAGGAGCTGAACGGCACCTGGGCATGGGAGCTGGAACAGGAGGGCTACATGGGGATGTCCATGGAGTGCAAGTCCTGCATCCTCAAAGTACGACGCGCTCTGCTTTTACTCCACGTCCTAAGTGCACCTGAAAGACTGCATCAACCCCATTAACCATCCCCTCTTCCTCTGCCCACATTTCAACCGTTCCTGTTCCAGTATCTCTGTGAGTGTCAGTTCGATGACAACCTTAAGTTCAAGACGGCGATCAACGAGGAGGAGCCGGAGAAGATGCGTCTGCAGCCCGTCGGTCGGGACCAGCAGGGCCTGATGTACTGGCTCCAGCTGGACCACGAGCAGAACATCCGGCTGTACACCGAGGAGCAGGACGATCTGGACGGATCAACTTGGAACTGCATCGTCAGGTACGAGTGTTCGGTTGGAGACGCGCCTCTTGAAGTGTGGCAAAAGGTGTAGTTCTTGTCAAATGTCAATCTTATTTTTCTTTGAAACTTAAAAAAAAAAGTAATTTAGTTTGGTTCTGTGCACGTTGCAAATTTACTGGCCAACCTTGTCTTCGGGGGATCATTTAGATTGGTTGAAGTGGAGGTTGCATGAGGTCTCCGTAGGCCGTGTATTACATAATAATAGATTGAGTTTGGAGAATCAGACGGCACAGGAGCAAAGACAGGAACAGGACAAGCAGATCAATGTGTTTTAGAAACCCCAAAAAATCTTTTAGTTGATTTTGTTTGCGACATTTAGAATATTTTCACAAGACATTGCAATCCTACAGGTAATGGAAGCCGTCATCTTCGCTCTCTTTTAAAGTCACAACACTCCTTTTGACTTTTTTATGTTGTCCAAAATACACACGTGCTGGTAGAAGCACATCATACAGCCTCAGTACAAAAAGTACTCTGGTCACATCACTTCTTTGGAATGATGAATTGTCTGTTCTTACTGGATGGGTTTTGAGTCACTTATGGGTCACTTATCCAAACTTGTCTTCCCAGGACTCGTAATGACCTGGCCGAGGCTCTGGAGCTGTTGAAGTCTCAGGTTGAAGGAAAACAGAATCCGGATGCGGATCCGAACCAGAACCTGTGTGGTTCCAGAAGCAGCAGCCCTACACAGAAAGATGAAGGTATGCCGGGTCCTAGGAGCTGTACAATGGAACTGATTAATTTAAGGCCAAGCTAAATTAGAAACGGTAATAAAGTAATCAAACAATCTGAAATCGAAAAACTGAAATGTCTCTAATGTCACTTATCACATTGTGCCACTGTCACCCTGCAGTAGTAATAAAGTGTATGGACAGTAAAAAAAATTAAAAAAAACAGGACTAGATCAATTATGTTAAAGAGAGGAACTTAAAGCATACTCAAAAAAACAAATTCACAACAACACTGTTTTGTGTCCGTGTGCGTTTTGCCGACTAGTGGATGAAGCCATTGGAGTCACCGAACCCAGCAGGACCGCTGAGCAACGCACCGACAGACAGACAGTCCATCCTGTTAAGGAGGAGGAGCCACTGACACAAGGTACAAGGAGGAAGGAGATAAGGAAATGACTGGTTTTCCTGCTTGTGCACTCGTGTGTCATAAGGAAAGTTCCCTTAATTAAATCCGTAATACCGTCACAGTGGTATTTATTCATAGTATTTTTCTTATAAGACATGGAATTCATAGTAATTTTAAGTGGGGGAAAAAACAAAAGCGGCAAATGTATAAAATATATTGAAGAATGACGTCTCCTATAGCTTTTGGTCAGGTACTCAATAGTTTTGGAGCAATTAGAAAGCTTAGTTTTGTGTATAGCTGTTTTTAAATCCCAGAAGCAGTAGAGGTTCTGAGAGCTTGTGAAGGGTTATAAAACGGCAGAGCCTCTGATATGAAAGAACCTTCTTGGCCCAACAATTAAGAGCTTTAAAACCAACTTAAAGATACTGGAAGCTAATAAAATGTCACTAAAATTGGTGTGAAATGTTCTTTCTCTCTCTTTTTCTGCCAGTAAAGTTTAAAATAAGTTGAATTTAAGTTGACTGTTTAGGAAGACTGATAAACCAAAGCATGAATATATTCTTCATCATTTTTAAAGTATCCAGAGCCTAAACACAACAGCAAACAACTATTCACAATGTAAATATATAACAGACTAATGTCACCCCCCCTCCGTGTGTCCTTGGTGTCCAAGCCTCTCTGAGCATCGCCATCAGCGCTGTTAGCACTTTAGCGCTGTTAGCTTCTAATAGAAAAGGCTTTTCAGGTTTCCTTTCATATGTGTGTAATAAGATTTAAAGCAAAAAGTACGGTGGCCCTAAAGTGCAAAACACAACGGCAAATAAGAACGCACAACAGCAAATAGGAAAACACAACGACATACGGAAAGGGTAGGGCCTTATAGCAGGAAGCAGAGGACAGACCCTTCTGATTGGACAGACGGACTGTCTGTCTTTTTAACAGGAAATGACCCCCTCTCCTACCTCCCAGCATTCACGGCGTCCACCGGCCGTAGCGTCCGCGCCCCCCCACCCACCCCCACCTTCTATTTACTTTTATTTACAACACCTAAATATAATTGAACAACAAAACACTGGTAAAACAATGCTGAAACACTAGTAGGACACTTTTAAGAAACATCGCCATCTCTCCGTAACTTTCTGCTGCAGCTCTCCTGCTGCGTCACTTCCCCCCTCATCACAGCCTCTCAGTCCCGCCACTGATTTATTGATTTACAGAATATCTAGAAAGCGGCATTTCTCAGACTTCAAAATCCGATTGTGCAAATAGTTAAAGGAGTCACGGTAATTTGAATCCTCTATGTCACTTTCCGTCGCCGGTGAAAGGCTTCGGATCAAGAGGGTTAAAAGACAGAACAATCAGAAGGGTCCATCTTCTGCTATCTGCTATAAGGCCCAACCCTTTCCGTAAGAAGTTAATGTCGTTGTGTTTTCCTATTTGCCGTTCAGGGCCACCGTAGAAAAGCGCAAACAATTGTTACTTTACTAGATGACAGAATCTGACGGATGGTTCTGATCCTCCATGTGAAGACACGCGTTGAACACTTTTGGTCCTTTTCATCTGGCAGAGGTGAAGCTGGAGGAGACGCTGCCCACCAAGCAGGCAAACACTGAGGTCGAGGTTAAAGAGGAGAAGGTCGACAGCAAATCTCCGCCCGTCTTCGACAACCGCGTGAGCACCATCACCACCATCGTCAAGCTGGAATCCAAGGACCCCGACGCCCCCAAAAACGCTGTGTCGGTTGTCATGGCGCCGGGCGCGACCGCCACGAAGCCGGGGGCAATCAAAGAAGGGGAGGCGGAGCGGGCGGTTGTCAGGAGCAGCCAGCAGGCCAAGATACCACTGAAGAAGAGGGAGCTTAAGATCGCGGAGAGCTACCACGGCAACCACCTCAACAACAGTAACAACAACAACAGCAGTATTATTGTTTGCAACCCATCAGTGATCCAGACCAAGGACGCGAGCAAAGAGGGCAAGTTGCCCGGCCCGTTGGCGCCCCCTGGTGGTCTGACCACCTCACAGCCGCCTCCTCAGCAGCCGTTGGTCACCGCGTCGAGGCAGGAACTGAGCAACGGGGGAGCGTTTCTCCCCTTGCTGCACAAGGAGGGACAAAATGGCGTGATAGGGGTCATAGGTCAAGTTGGCGTCGTTAGTCACGTGGGGGTCATCCGCAGCCCATCTGAGCGCCACAGAGCCCCCGGCGCCGAGCAGCAAGAACAAAACGGGCCCGGTTTAGACCAGCGGGAGCCCGCCGCCGAGCAGGACGAGAGGGAAGTCAGCCGGCAGTCGGTGCTGGTGAGGAAGGGAGCTGTGGAGGGGGGGGCGGCCGGAGCAGCCAGCGACGCTCAAATGGCTGAAAAACTACCGCCACCGCCACCCTTAAAATCTGATCCGCTCCCCGACGCTGTAGGGGGAAAAGTAGTTTCCATTAGCCTGTCCTCACTGTCTATGTGCCAAGAGGACCCCAAACAACAGGCGGCAGGAGACCCGGGGGAGGAGACGACAGCGGAGCCGTCAGACCGGGGGACTGACACTCGAGAACAGAAGGAGGACGACGGGGACAAGAGGACAAGTGCGGTTTGTGGACACCCTTTAGCAGGGGAAGGAGCTACAGATGACCATAAAAAGAATAATAGCACTTTAGGAAAGTCAGAGGCGGAATCTGAGAGCACTGCTCTGCTTCTGCAAGCCGACCAGCTGGATACAAAGGACCACCGTGGAGACGGGGTAAACGGGGGGCTGGCTGCCCCGGCGAAGGTGAAGGAGGCTGGGCTCGGATCGGCGGAGAGGCAGGGTCCCCTAGAGGAAGCCTCCTCTGAGCTCCAGAAAGAAGGAATCCGGTTAAAGATCAAGATCCCCCCTCACCGGAGAAACAAGTTAAAGGGGAAGGGGGGGAAGGAAGAGCAGAAGGAGCGGGAGCAGGAGGTGAACGACGACGGGAGGCTGCTGAGGAGATCTGCGAGGATTTGCCGGTAAGTGTGTGGGAAGAGTCCAAATGAAGTGTGTACATGTCCGCCTGTTGTATTCTGACTATATATTCAGACCCGTCTCTGCCTCCTTTCTTGAAGATCTGCTTTGCCAACCTGCAGGCCGAGCTCCAAGGCGGCTGACAGCGGGGGAAAGAAGCCGCAAAAAAAACAGACGCTGCTCGGCAGAGCGAGGGGGGAGGAGGAGGAGGAGGAAGAAGATGATGAAGAGGAGGAGGATGAAGAGGAACAGAGTTCAACTGCCAAGAATGATGGAAAAACAGAAGCTGTCGGCCAAATAAGAAAACAGAAGGTAGTTTTTCTCGTCTCTCCCAGTGAGAATAAATGCAACTGTCCTCTTTTCATTTATTTTTTTATTGTCCGGTCATCTCTCTCTCTTCCTCTCTTGCAATCTTTCCGTCTGTCTCTGTGTCTCTCTCTCGCTCCCTGTTTGTCGCTCTCTCTCACTCTCAGGGTAAACGGAGGCATCGGCGCCCCCGATGGTCCAACATCCGCACAAAGAGACGCAAACTGACCGAGGGGGAGGAGGCAGAAGGCTGGGGGAGGAAAGGGGGCGAGGGGGAGAGCGAGGGAGAGAGAGACTCAGAGGAATCGTTCAAATCGGGCGAGATTCCCAGCGAGGACGCCTGCAGTCACTGTGGCCTGCCCAACCACCCCGAACTGGTAAAACCATCCACCTATACAAACAAAGTATTTGGGTTCTTTTGCTCCGGGGCTCTTTCTTATTTTGGCCTTGTGCTTTAAATGAGGGGGAAATCTTAACACCTCGGCATGCAGTGATGCTGAAGCCTAAAGTGTATTTGTGTCTCCATGTTCAACGTTCACACCACAATGTAAATGTGCCACTAAAAGCTCCTACAATTAAGTGACCCATCAATCCAGTGATCCTCTGTTCGGAAGTTCCAGCCGGCATGAAGGCTCAGTTGTCTCCATCTCACCGTGTCTGATCTGCGCCCGTCTCCTCAGATCCTGCTGTGTGACTCTTGTGACAGCGGATACCACACTGCCTGTCTGCGGCCGCCAGTCATGTTGATTCCAGATGGAGAGTGGTTCTGTCCCCCCTGCCAGCATGTAAGCTTTGTGTTTCAGTGCTGCGAGCTGAATGTTGAGAGTTGTTTTCCAACATGTGTGTTTTTGCTTTTGTGGGTTCAGAAGCTGCTGTGTGAGAAACTGGAGGAGCAGCTGCAGAACCTGGACAGTGCTCTGAAGAAAAGAGAGCGAGCAGAGAGGAGGTGCACGCACACGCACACGCACACACACACACACACAGACACACAGTGATCCAGTCATAACAATGTGGATTGACCCTCCTCTCTCCCCGTCTCTGCAGGAGGGAGCGGCTGGTGTACGTGGGAATCAGTGTGGAGAACATCATCCCTGTGAGTAAAAGAGTTTGATGTGTGTGTGTATATTACAAATGGGCACATTTTTATAAAAAATGCTTCCTACTCCATCAAGTTATTGTTCATCAGCTCTTAGACAGTCTCAACTTAACATCTGGGCTATCAAATGAATGTTGGCTCATATTTAGTCTGAAATGTTTTTTTAGGAGGGAGATCAGCCAGAAGAGGAGAAGTCAACGAAGAAGAAAGATCCCAAAAAGAGCAAGAATCTCGGGAGGAGATCAACCAGAACCAGGAAGAACATCAGCTACAGGTCGGTGTGGCCTAGAAGGGGCTAAAGGTCTCGCAATAAAAACCATCAAATCCTTGACGGAAGCAATAAATGTATCTGTGCGTCTGTGCGTCTGTGTTGCAGGTTTGATGACTTTGACGATGCCATTGATGAGGCGATCGAGGAGGACATCAGAGACATCTGTGGAGGTGAGATGTCACTCTGTCTAATAACTTAGTCTTAATTAGGACTGCAATTAACGATTCTTTTAATAATTGATTAATCTGTTAATTAATTTCTCGATTAATCAATGAATTGGATTCAAACAAAAAAAACATTAGTTTCCAAACCGTTATAAAAAAAACAGTATATCAGAAAGTGAACAGGTTACTCCTTGAACATTCCTGAGCTTTTAAAATAATAATTAAAAACAAATGGACTAACACAAAAAGATATATATTTTATATTTTTGTTTTAAGGGACCTAATCATTTATAAAAATTACTGCCGGGTGCACAGAGATCCATCAATAAGTGTAAACGTAACGTAAAAACAGTTTTTCTTTTAATAATTGTTTTATTGATTCCTTGTTGCAACCTCAATCTTAATTTTATTTTTTTATTTCATCATAATTTTATTCTGCCTCGAGATCGCAGCTCAGTAAGTTAATGAACACATCCATGTTTGAAAGAGTTGAACCACTCTGTGTCTATATTCTGAACATTCTTCCATAGACGACCTGGTTTTAGTTTGAATTAGTTATTCCAGTGAGCTGGCTTAACACCAGTGGGAGTCATGTGGTAAAATGCCAAAGGCAAGCTTTGTCATTTAGTCATTTTCCAGCATCCTCTGTCTAGCTACATTTAAATCAATGGCAGGCCAGCTGCCTGTAGGGCATGTCAGAGAACGTTTGTACGGAGCAGTTGTAGTCCAACAATCCAACAATATTGTAATAATTTCAACTTTGATAACAGAAAGTCTAAAGATTGGTCCAGTATTTGGTCATGATCTGCGATGCCGTGGCTGTTGGAGGCATGTTCAGGGCGTCTCTGTTAACTTGCCTAAGTGTCCCTGAAACGCTCCAATGCAGGAGCAGGACAAGGCCGAGACATCGCCGCCATCCTTTCGGAGGAAGGAGCAAAGGGGAGCCAGCGGCCAATCAGAAGCCAGGCGGACTCTGCCAGGAACAGGAAGAGACGGAGACTGAACGACCTGGAGAGTGACAGCACGGCGGCAGAGAGCGAAGACGAGTTCATGCTCAGCAACAGGTAACACACACACACACTCTCACTGTCATTTTAGGAAAAGCTTTTGCTTCCTTCGGGCTCAACGCTCCTCTCCCGCCCCTTAAAGCTCAGAGGATGAAGATTTTGCCGCGTCAGGTCCTGATGATGACGAGGTGGAAGACGAAGAGGCGGGCAGTGTAGAAAGTGGGTCCCGCTCCGCGCGAGCGGTGAGAGGATTGCCCAAGCAGCGACCCGGCATCAAGAAACGCAGGGACAGGAAGCGGCCGAGGCGGCGGCGGAGACGCTCCTCTGAGGAGGAGGAGGAGGAGGAGGAGAGCGACGAAGAAATAGGTAAGTGGCGAGATGAAATCCTGAGCATCGCAGTTGATGGAGATGAAGCTCCATCAACAACTTATACAGTTATACAATACCTTGACCGAACAAGATATCACACCTCTCGCCAAGTAAACTGCGTCTTTATGATCCATTTAGGTTAAACAAGACCCAACGAGTAAATCGGAGTGATCAAATAATGTGTAAACGGTCCCTTGTCCTCCGCAGGCTCAGATCAGTACAGCGACATGAGCGACAGCGACGCCGATAAGAAGAGGCGGGGATTGAGGCGCGGCCAGCGCCAGCAGGTCAACTACCGCGAGACGTCCGAATCGTCGGACAACTCCCGGGCCTCCACCAAGAATTTCAAGGTCAAAGGCCGCGGCAGACCTCGCAAGGACCACCTCTCCAGCGACTACAGCGATGGTCGGTCGTCTCCGAGCCACACCGACCCCGTTCGCTTGAACTGGTTCCTGTTCCTGTGTGATGAATCGACTCCCGCTGCTCATTTAAACCCTTCCCCTTTCTTTTCTTTTTTCTCTTAGCGTCGCCTTCTACCCGGGAGACGGAGGAAGACGATGATTATGAAGATGAGGAGGAAGATGGCCAGAGGAGAAGAGGGAAAAAGAGGAGAAGAGAGGAGGAAGACCTCCGGCGAAACCGAGTGAGACAAAAGCGAAGGAGACACGGCGAGGAGGAGCGCGAGCAAGGGAGTCGGCTCAAAAAGACACGCCTGGAGGGGAGGGACAAAGACAAGGCGAGGAGGTTAAGGAGGCCGCAGAGGGAGGAGGAGGACGCGGAGAACATGGGCAGGGGGAAGAGGAGAGAGATCTTGTCGCTGCAGCGCCGTAAGCGCCTCGCCCAGATGCTGAAGAAGAGGCGGCCTTCAACGGACGACGAGTCGGAGTCGTCTTCCGACGACTCCGACTCGACAACGTCGTCGTCAGAAGAGGATCGCCCCGTCCGCAAAAGACTGAACCGCATCGACTCCGATGACGATGAGGAGGAAGATGAGGAGGAGGAGGAGGAGGGCGGGAGGCCGGAGAAGGCACCGATGTGTTCAGCGGTGGAGAAGAGGTCCGACAGCGACACCCAGGAGAAGGGGAGGGGCCGCAGCCTGTCTCCGTCGAACAGACATCGGACCTCCAGGGGCCCGGCAAAGCCCGGGGACGGGAGTCCCGCTGAGCCCGGGGACGGTGCGGGATCAGACGGGGGTGGGAGGCACAATGGCCCCTCAAATCCAGAGGAGAAGGACGAGGTGGAGGAGGAGGGCCACACAGACTCGTTAAACTCTGCCCAGAACAGTCCGCGGTCGTGATGGCTGCGTTAGTGGGAATAACGCTCGCTTCTTGTCTTTTTCTTTTCTCTTTTGTAACTTTCGGGCCTTTTCACCAAACCACCTTTTTGAAAAACGGGCTCCCCCCAGCTCCCGCTCCTTCTCCGTCTTGCTTTTCCTCCTTGTTGTTGTTTTGTGTTGAGAGCGCTCTCCACGGTCACACACTGTGACCTCATAGCCACAAAACTCACGAGCTACACATCCACACTGAACAAAACCAGCCGGCAGGACCAAAAAAATCCATTAGAAAAAGGCCCCCGGCTTCAGGACGTCAGTGTTTCAGTGGACGCCCCCGCAAGGATGGCGCTGGATTCGTCCCATGTGGTTTCGGAGCTGACTTGGTCACAGGAATCTGGAGCACTTGGTCACTCTAATAGCACTTAACAACCCAAAGCCGAGGAGGGTGTCAGTGTCCAACCGAACACCTACGATCATCTGACCTGATGGTGGGCGACGCCAAAGCCCATCGCTACGACGACAAAAAAAGCTAAAGCTTTCCCTCGTAGAATCTTTGCATCCTGATAGATTTGTATTAATCCTGGTACCCGATACTGTGGTATGGTAGCGTGTTTTTGGTGCGGACAATGTTGTTTCCAACGTTGTGTGGCTCTACTGGAAGAAGTACCCAGTGTCCTTAGGGTCTGATCACACAAAGACGCGTCACTAATTTGTATGCACCGCGAGGGAAACTCTGGGGCCCGACTCCTAGACTGCAGTTAAAAAGTGCTTGTTTAAAGTCGCTGATTCCATGCATGTTGTTTTTGCAACACTTGAACATAACGGTGGCGTAGATACGCAATATACGTCACTGGTAGCTGCAGCGATCCGTCAGTGACTGTAGCCCCGCCCTAAAGCCGCCCCTGAATGGTGTATTTTGCGCTACATGGTTTACTGCTTATCAGTCTGTATTGAAGAAGAGTTCAAACTAGAGAGAAGTTCATGTTCAGTGACTTCTAAGTAGCCACAGGAGTCGCCCCCTATTGGTCAGTAGAGCGAATGCACGTTTTAAGACCGCCAAGCTTTAAAATGAGAGAACAATGTTGTTTTTGTGGGCCGTGCTTTTCTGGCGACACGTCTCTGTGTGATCTGGGTGAATCGCTCCTCACAGCGAAATGCTAATTCTATGTAATCCTGGACATCCAATCATGACCCATGTGAACTGATGGTGTAAAGTGGCCCCGGGGCTCCAGAGTCAGGCTCCTCCCAAACAGCTGACAAAAAGCTTAATAACTACGATATCCTCAAAAGGATGGACACTGTTTGAACAAAATATGAGAAGTATTACAGTATTTAGGAGTGTTTGTCTCCCAAAGAGGCCCCAGTTTTGCAGACAATTAATCCATTAAATCAACAGGTAATCAATAAGGGTAACAAACATTGGATGCAGCCATTTTAAATATACTGTTTACGCCCCGTTTGCTGCTCCAGATTCAGCCCGTGTGGAATGTTTGGTCTTGTAAATGCAGACTTCAGAGGATCCAGACTTAGTTGGTGTCAAATTTCAAATGAATCACCGATGACATCATCAGAACGTTCATTTAACATTAAAGAGATAGTGGGAATGTGTGAGTTTTTCCCATTATACAGTGTATTACTACAGTAGATGGAGTTAAGAGAAGCAGCACAGGAGCAAAGAACGCTGTGGATGGGGCCAAATGTATTTTAGACACCACAAGAACAAGTTGGCGCCATACTGAGGATATATTCCCAGTGGTGAGATGGTCCTTTACGAAAGGGGACTGAAGCTGTTATTGATTATCTCTTCAAATTCACAAGACTGTTGACAAAAACATGAATTTGACCTCACGGGAAACCGGAGACGCAGGTCGACCTCCACTGGTTGGTTAGTCTGTGTGACTCAACACCATCCAACCCACTGACGGAGTCTCTGTGTACTCGAGGTTAAATCCGTCCTTAGCGGTTCACCCTCACTGTTTCTCCAGACTCCACCTACTGTACGTGAAACCCTGAGTACGGGTTATCATGCCAGCCCACTACCAAGCGCGTGACCGCTCCCTTCAAAGAGCTCGGCCCACATTTTGGGTCCAGGTGTTCGGTTTCAGACATTTCCCTCATTCGGCCCAGGTGTGGAGACCCTGTCTGCTGTACATACTTTGCCTGTGCGCCGTTTCCCTGTAAGATACTAGATGTTCTGTTCTCTCTGTCTTCTTGTAAAATATAGTGTTCTATTTTCTATATGAAGGAGGGAGGAGAGATGCTGCTGTGAGTGATGTGTGGACCGGTGAGGTTTCTTTTTTGACTGATTTGTTTTGTTTTCACATTCCTGCGGCCGTTGATTCTTTTCATTTTTCTTTGTGTGGAGTCAGACCAGCGTGGAGTTTGTTCCCCAGGAGAATGACCAGGACTGCTCACGGGTAGAGCTTCTTTCACCCTGGAAGCAAAGGAATTTGTAGGTTACATTTACTGGTCGCAGATCCATCACCCGGTCACTTTGAATAGCTAATGATTCCCCCTTTTAGACGCAGGCTCCAAAGTTACTGATAAATCCTTGCAGATCTTTTATTTCTTTGTCAGTAAATAAAAAAAAGTTCTTTATTTTGTTTAAGTGTTTAAACTGTTGATTCTGGATTTGTCAAACTTTCTAGGTGGAAGCTTGAGTGCTCCAAAGCGAGCAATAAACCACATTCACCCAGCGACTCACTTGTCCTTACAGCAACATGAAGGGATCCATCAGTGGCCTCTGCGTTACATCTGCACTGTGCTTTTGTCTTCTTTCTTTTTTTTAAATCCTCACATTCAGCTTGATTCTGTGTAGTTCAGCATTTTTAAATTACATTTATCAAAATGATGTGATATCCTTAATGTCCCTGCTAGCAATAAATTGAATATATTTCTAGTTTTATCAATGTATAGATGGGGAAGTCATCAACAAAAATAACTAAACTGAAGCAGAAAAGACAAAATGAAAAGTGAGATTATTCATATTATTTACACGATTCTAAATTAAACTAAATATTTATCAAGAGGCCTTTTTATTTTCTCAGATTTTTTTTTTCTTCAAGGCTAGAAGTTGAATTCCTTTTTAATCTGAATTCCAATGTGACGGATCAGTTTGATGAATCCAGATCAGTCTGCAGCTCTGAGGGAATCTCATCCAGCCCTTGAAAATATTTTTTCTTTTTTCTTCATCTTAAGATGTGAAAAGAATTCTGACACAAACTCAATGTGAAAAACATTTACTTTTATACAGTGAAGATCATTTTAGTGTGACTCCCTTTTTAGAAATAGTTTTATGGTTCACGTGTCAGATGGACATCCGACTAATTTGGGAAATATGTCAAAGTATATTTTGTAACATAACATCTTGTCGGTGAAATATAAAACAATTTTTAAAGGTTGACGTGAAACTTGTGATGCACATAAAGAGAAACAGTCAGATTCTAGGAATACATTTTTTGTACTTCTTGTTCCATGGCGTTTTTTAGTGAGTCGGCAGTTTATTACCGTTGCCTTCGTGTAGCGATCATATAATCTGTAAAAAGACTGACAGCTCATAGAGGTGTTCGTCGGTGATCTGGTTTATTAGATTATGCTCTGAAACTTAAAGTCGACAAATGTATCCTTTGCGATAACCTTAATGAACACCATAACGGTTAAAAGGAAAAATAATCTAGTCTTGACCTCACATTATATTATTGGTTTACATTTAGCCTTGAGGACGTTGTGGAGAAAAAACTATTCAGAGATTTATCGGTTGATTTTTTTTTGTTGCATAAAAGTCAGCATTAGAAACTAGTTTTGGGTCACAAGAACAGAACTTCTCAGTTTGCCAAAGCGTCAAATAAGATGTAACTAGCTGGAATAACTGGTCCATAGTCCCCCCCCCCAGGCTACAATAAATGTAGGCGACTAAATGTTCTTTTGGGTGCTTTCCTGAAGTTGTGCAGCTGTGTTGGTCATCTGATTCACCATGAAAGGCTTTTTAGAGGTTAGGATCTCATGTAACGCTTGTGTCTAGATTTTGAACAAGCTTTTCTGGATATTGTTCTTAATGCAGTATCTTGATCATCACAAGGGTTTAATATCATGTATGAGATGGACTCCCCTTTGGAGGCAACACACGTCTTTTCTCATTGGGATCTGACTGCATTTGTATATCAATGATAGTAAAAAAAAAAAAAGCCTCTAGAAATGTTTTGAAACAAGATGAATCTCCCGGCTGCTGTTGGCAGTAAGGGGATATCAGGTTGATGCCCCTCCCCAAAAAACAAAGCGTTCCGCTGACCCCGGCGTGCATCTGCGTTCGGCACTTGTGGCAGAATCTGTTGATTTTAAAATGTTAATCTGCATTCAAACTACTGGAGGTGAATGTGGCTCCTTCCATTTCTCTGTTGTACCGTTACTGTAGTATTGCTGTAACATGAATGTTTTCTAAGTTATTAAAACCAACATCCCAGGCATCTCCTCAAAAACACTCTGTCTTTGTCTTATTTTTATTCATGAAATTATGAATTGATAGAAAATGAACTTTACATTAAATATCTTATTTTTACTATAACCATATATATATATATATATATAATCCTTGTTCATTGTCTTATTTGTAGTCATGTTTATTTTCATGTATGTTATTAATTAATGACGTAATTCAAGCTGTCGATATTAATTAGAAGTAAATATTTGTAACTTGTATGTAATTTGTATTTTTATTTAATGGAATTAACTTCTAAACAAAAAGAAGTCGTTGTCACGGCGGGCTTTTTTAAATGTGTGTGCGTTTTATTTTGAATGGCTTCCCCGGAAGTCTGATGGATTGATGAAGTCTGTCGTCATCGCTTGGTGAGAACAGTTTGCGGTACCGAGGCGCAGAGAACCGTATCATCCACGTAGACAACCTCTGCTGGTTACGACATGTAACCACAGCGAGACTGGGGAGGGATCTTCTGAACAAATGAGATATGGGAGGGTGCTCGGAAATGGCTCATACGTTTCTTTGTCAACATAGGATTGTTTAATAGAATAGTTTTTGTCTTTTTAAATATTTCCTATCAACCAGATCCTGCTCTCCGTACTCCATCCCGGTAGGGGGCAGTGTACCTAACCTAACCTAAGCTGCAGTCCGTCAATAAACAGCCACGCTTTTTAAGTAGTGGTCACGTGACTGCTCTCTCGTTTTGGCTCGTTGCGTGTCGCCGTGATACTTGTGACGCTGTGAAAGGTCGACACTTCGCGAGCTTCAAAAACAGTTTGCCAGCGTGTTTGTTTCAAGACGTCCGCCCCCCCTCGTGTCGGTCCGCCGAGCGGCTCGTACTAGTCGTGTTATCGATCCCGGAGCAGAAAGAAGCGCGCGGTGCGGCTCTCGGTTCCTCTTCCTGCAGGTTTCGCGGGTGAAATTGGCGAACTTTGGTGGCACGAAGTAGATCGCGCGTTGTGTTGTTGGCAGCGGAGTGATTCGTGTCCTCTCCCGCCGCCTCCCCCAGCGGCCCCGCGGACGTTAACGGTCGCACAGACGATGGTTTTACTGAAAAATCTCCGGCCGCCCACCGAGGGAGTGCGGCATGAGCAAGCCGAGACCTCCGTGGTGATGGACGGCCACCAGGTGGGCTGCGGCACGCTGTACATCGCAGAAACGTACGTAACGCACGTTGCGCTGAGTATTATCCTCATTCCGTCGCTTCCATTTTTAGATAAGCATTTAATGATTTACGTTATCTGTGTTTTGAGGAGAAATTCTGTTTAGTTTTACTCTTCTATGGGATTAGAGCGTGTAGTAATAACGGTAGCCGTAACACCGCCACTGCTCGGACTAACCACTTCCGGGTTAGCCCCTTTCAAAATAAGATCTTATTTTCTTTCCATTTACAATTAAATACAGTTCCAATAATCCCTTCATTGAAATTGTTCAAATGTAACTTCTCCTTTAGTCAATGGGAAGAAATAATATTCATCTTTTTTTTCTTCCAGTATTGTTTAAAGAGTAAAACTAAAACTTTTATTTCTTCAGGAAATTAATTATTAGTTGTTGCTCCAACAATCAGTGAATTTGGAGAACCCTTTAAAGCTTTCTTAAGTCTTAAACTATTCCAAACATGTTTTCCTGGAAAGCTATTTTAAAAATGTGATATTCAACTTTTAAATGCTACTGTAAAATGCCTTTAAACTTGCATAATGTGCACATAACTGTTGTACGTTTTATTCCCGGGCAGACGTCTGTCGTGGTTCGATGGCTCTGGGATGGGTTTCTCTCTGGAGTACCCCACCATCGGCCTGCACGCCATCTCCAGGGACGTCAGCGCTTACCCAGAGGAGCACCTGTACGTAATGGTCAACGGCAAACTCGCAGGTGACTGTTTACATTTAGTGTTGTGGGGCAAATTCATGGCCTTTTAAAAATCTGTTCCTTCCATCGTGTAAAACACATTTAATTGTTGTGCGTGGAAAACATTTGTGTGAACCCGTGTGCTGAAAACTGTTCTGGTTCTGAGGGTGTGTGTGCGACGGACTGTGTACTCGCCACACAGAGAGAATAAATGACAAGCAACAGTTTTATGAGCTAGTCACCAGCCTCTTCTAAAGTAGTTTCAGTACTATATCAACGTGAATCTTTCCAATTTTACTGTCCACGCACTGGGCGATCAAGTAGAGGTGTTTTTAGGCCGCTATCCATGTTTTATACGGCTGTTATTTTATTACAGGTGATTCACAAAATTCAAAGGCTTTTTTGGAGGTGGGGTGTTATATTGATTTTTTTCTTTACTGGTGTCATATAAACTGATTCACACATTAGAACCATCGCATGGGTTCTCCTTCATCCTGACAGAAAAAATGTCCAGATAGACAAAGTAGTTCCAGAGTTATTACACTTTTTATCATGCATGTGCCAGGAGGTAAAAAACTGCCTCCGCATGCTCAGGTGTTAATGGAGTGGAAGCTTCTAACTGCGCCTCTCTGTTCTGAATCTAATCAGATGAGAACGGGACTGAAATGGCAGAAAGACCGGCCAATCGTGAAGAAGACGACCGTAGCAGCAGTGGTGGGGAGGATGATGATGATGAAGATGGAGCCATCACAGAGGTCCGGTTTGTGCCCAGCGACAAAGTGGCATGTGAGTGATGCTCCGTGTTAAGAGTCTAGCTGATTCTCATTCTGTAACGAGGCAGGATGCGTTATTGGAAACGTCTTCATGGCCACATTGCAGCTCTACCAGTAAACAGCGATCAGACAGATTTGTGGGCACCATCGTTTTCAAGTAGCGCTGCTGCCTGGAGTGACGCCGTGATTGAAAAGGTGTAACGCAGGAGTTTCCACTCTTTTGCCTTGCAAGCTACTTTTCAATCGAACAATCAAAGTTTTCCGTTTCCGGTCGACCATTTTTTTTTTGTGTATATGATATTCAACACCAGTACAAAATAACTAGGGCTGGATTTTGAGTAAGTTTGTTGATGGTAATGTTATTTTGTTTGTGCGTGCGTGTTTGTCGTGCAGTGGAGTCCATGTTCTCAGCGATGTGCGAGTGCCAGGCGCTGCATCCTGACCCAGAGGACGACGATTCCGATAATGACTTCGAAGGCGAAGAGTACGACGTGGAGGAAGCCGGTGAGGAAACCCACGCACACACATTCTGATATCTGCATGTGAGTGACGGGCCAAAAGTGTCTTGTGACATTACATCTTCTACATTAATCTTAACTTCCCAGCGTGCATGCATGTTTTTTCTTTGTCTTCTCGTTTTCCTTTTGCAGATTATGTTAATTGACGTTGGCCTGGGTCTAATAATAAAACTCTTCTTCTGTCTATTTGTCTCCCTGGTTGTTGGACTGTGTGGTTGCAGAAGCAGGTAAGGCATCCAGCTTTCATCACTTCACCATTAAACAACCTCTGTTTGAACCTTTGCAGAACAAAATGAAGGATGAAAAACACTTCACATTATTAAGGACTCCAGTTTTCAGGTTGAAAAAATGGGCCGGTACAACGACATTGTGGAAAGGTTGAAGATTTAAATGTATTTTCTGAAGGATCTGTTTACTAGTGGTTTCTGCAAAAAACCGTAGTTCATATTTTTGGATATGTTTATCCTTCCTAGTTGTTTTTGAAGATTAGCGACCACTTTGTAAAAGCATGCAGGGATCCAAGTAAAGAATATTTCCCTGTAAGCATGTATAGAAAGTGGTTTGGTTTGCTCACAACAGTTGGCAAACCTCAACTTTGGCTTTTTGTCAGTTGCCATTTTTGACTCATCCACGCTGTGTTCGGCTCTGGTATCCATAGTATAAGCATACTGGTAGCGCAAACTCTGATGGGTCTGTTCAATGCTTATAAGCAGTATGGGAACATAAACTGCTTTAATTGTAAGACATCATAATGGAGCAAAATGTAGTTTTGTAATTTTAAAGTTTTTTTTTGCGAGAGATTTTAATTAAATTAAGATGTCTTCAAAGGGGATGTTTTAATCGTTGACAAACAACCATACATAATTTAAAACCCCTTAAATATACACACTCTATGTATTTCTCTCCTCCACCTCAGAGCACGGACACGCCGACATCCCGACCTTCTACACCAGTGACGAGGGTCTGTCGGCGCTCACACAGGAGGGCCACGCCACGCTGGAGAGGCTGGAGGGCATGTTGGCCCAGTCGGTCGCTCAGCAGTACCACATGGCCGGGGTCCGAACCGAAGAACCCAGCGTTGAATTTGAAGGTTTGGACACACACACACACACAAAGATCCATGAGAGTGCATCATATTGATGAGGGAATCTTAAGTTGAGCAGCCAACTAGAGCAAAGCGCACAGGACTGACAGACTTCTGAGATTGGAACAGTGACTGATGACGGTTTCACCATGCCTGCAAACTTTTTGGTCGTTTTGAAATCAAAATAGGTCATACATGTGAATCAAGGCTTTATTTTGTTTTTATTTCGCAATAAAACCTCATTGATGTGATGTGACGAGCATCGGCCAATCAGCGTTGAAATCTTCACCGCAACGTCACTTCCCCTCCAACTACTCGTCCTTCAACTCCAAATCAGTGATGCCAACTTTGTCGCTTTCTCACTGATCCGGCCGTCTTCCCAAACCCTCTTTGCGGGTTTTCATTTTGTCAGGAGGTTCCAAGGACACCTTCTGGGTGTTTCTGGTGTCTAACGTGAAAGCACGTATTGTTTTGCAGTCACTGTCCTTGGGGATTCGGTCGCACAGCAGTCGGCGCAGAGAGGAGACTCTCCCACGAGCTGCTGATCCTGCAGCGTTCATTACCTTTATGCAAATTAAGTGATGGCGCGTATATGAAAAACTGAACTGTTTGTATTACAGTCTACAAAGTCCAACTTGACTGAATGCAAACGTGTCTGGACTGCTGTACTATTGCAGGTGTTTTGAACAATGCAAAGTAGGTGATAGATTGTTATTTCTTTGCCCGCTCAGAACTGTACGGTAGCTTTTGTGTCCAGTGTTTGCATTTTGTATGTGTTTTTCGGTGGAGCCATTCTAGCGTTTGTTTGGCCGTCGTTGGTTAGCGTGATCTCTGGATGGTGGCGTGAGATGTGATCTTTCATGCTCCTAGTATTCCCAGAGTATTTTATTTTTTGTACGGCTCTGCTTGCAAATCGCTTTTCATATCGATGTTTCATCACTTCTTTTCTTTTTTTTTTAATCCCAAATGCAGATATTTGATCTAAACGTGGACGGCGCACTCCTAATTTCTTTCTCTGATGTCTCCATTTTTGTTTTGACCAAATTCCTACCAATTACAGTGCTGACTTCACCATTAAACGACACAGCACCATCTAGTGGACTGAAAAGGCAATTTCATTATTAGGACCAAAAATGCTGTATATATAATAAAATCAAAAGCGGTTGCCTTAGAGGTTAAAAATGGCAGAGGCACCCTATCCTGCATTCAATCTTTTGTTTTTATTCTGTGCTGAACTTTTAAAAAAACAATTTAATTTAAAGTAACTTCTCAATTGTTTATGGCTTTTAGTCCCAGAGAGAGAAGATGGAGATCTGAATGCTGTGCTTTTGGGCTTCTCCACATTTCTGCTGTAAAAAACACATTTGGCTAGATTTAGTTTTTGGGATGAGGTTAAAATAGTGTGCTTGATTACAGACGGCATGGAGGTGGAGGCAGCAGAGATGGAGGCCGGTCAGTTTGAGGACGCGGACGTCGAGCACTGGTAAAAAAAAAAAAGCTTATTGTGAAATAATCCCAAAACATTACCTCTTTGTGAACAAGGTGATTAGACTTCATTCACTCTTTATATCAAACTTTCTGTAGATGGAAGGGGGCCAATTACAGCACTGATGCAGTGTTGCATCATGGGATTGGAGGAGAGTACAACAGCACTTCACTCAAGCCCTCAGCTCTTAACTAATGTTTTCCCCTTTGTACTTGAACGATCTCACTAGTCTTTTCTTGTAGCTTCCTACATTTTCCTCTCGTTGTATTTTGTCTTTATTTTTCTGCTCCCGTTCATATCTACTAATTTGTCCAAAACTTATGAATAGAATATGCATTGAAAGCTTAAATCAGTGTCTGTAGACATTAAGATGCTCCCCCAAAAGGGCACATCCTGTTAAATGTAAAAACAAAACATTCAATTTGTTTTGTACCTAATGACCAATTTGATTTTCCTGCAGAAAAAAACCCTGAACGTCTTTGTATTAAACCGTCAATAAATGCATAGCTTTTGTATCTGTTTTGTTTTTATTCTCATTAAATCAACAGTTAAAAGCTTTAAAGATGTTTTGCAACACAATATGACCCCCATATGGGGGGAGGGCGTGAGGTTGTGCATTGGCGAGAATCTGGCGACCCGATATGAACTGCAACACAAAGATTACCATTGGAATTATCTTAGTTTCCGTACTGATGTTCTAGTATACAGAACGCCACCAATTGCATTACATTGATTTAATGCCATCCGAGCGCAGTGGCTTTTTGCTTTTGTCCTCGTATCAACCATCATGGCCCTGAAATCTGAGCTGCCGTCTGCTCCCGTCTTTCCCTGTAAAATACAGCAAATCTACATTTTTGAAAAACCCAACTGGGAAAAGTCAATCTGTGGCTTTTAGTTCTGCTTTTGTCCCATACAGGCTGCCATAGGTCTCTGACACACTCTACACTCTGAAAGGGCGTGGCAGGATTCATTTGTGCAATTTGAAAACTCACTAATTGTTATTTGAAAATGCCTCCAACAGGTCTGTTTGTTGCGTCTTACAGGCACCACTTTTATCTGCACATGGACGGTGTTCTGTAGACTCCTCATAAAACAAACCTTTTCTGTTTATTAACTTATTATCCTACTCTCAACTTTTCACAATAAATGTTTCGGTTTATTGATCAGTGAGCTCAAGTAAATTGTTGAAATACACCAAAAAATATGGCAATTTATTGCAAAACAATATTAGTCTGCGTGACCTAATCCAAAAGTTGTACAGGGCAAATTTTCACTTTTCCCGTGCGTTACTCAACTATTGCGGCGTTAAAGCAGGCTCTGCTGAGAGGGTCCCAAAACAAGTGTCGGTGCGTCTAAAGGGCGTTTTAATCCGATGAGCCAAAACTAAATGATTTTTAGTGTTCTAGTTAAAATTGGTCAAATCAATTCTAGCACGCATCAATGAGAGCTACCTTACAAACGCATCTAAACCCAGAAGCTAAGTTAGTTTCATGTTCAACTTGTAAGACGATCTCTTGAGGTCTTGAAGACCAAATATAAGAAATGCTTCTCCGTGATGGTTTCCTAACTTGTGAGTGGAATCAGCCATAAGTGTGCAGTCCCTCAGTAAACATGTCCTCTGGGTCTGAAACGTCACTCGTCCTCTTCTCTGTCTCCAGAGGGACACGGAGAGACGGGGACAGCAGCACTGACCCCATCATACCTGGAAGAACGGCCGAGAGGAACACTGCAGATCTTTAGAGCGGTTTCCGTTTGCTTTGTTCTGTAATTGAAAGGTTTTAAAGAAGCCTGCAGCCTCAAATGTAGAACCAGGCAGAACTACAGCAGAGGTTTCCACTGCAGGAGAAGTGTGTGGAGATTGGTTGAACACTCCTCCTGTCACACCGCCACACACGCATTGTTTAATTAAAGACCAAAACTGGAGCATCTGTTTTCAAACAAATTAGATGTGCCGTTAAACTCTTAGTATTGGTTAATATGTCCGTATGGTAAAAGGCTCCATGCTAATTATGTACAGGTTGTTGGGTATTAGTTCACGCTGATAAAGGCTCCAGGAACAGAGGAACTTACATTAATTCACAGTGTAGTGGCTGCAAAAACGGTGGTGTTGTGTATTGTATGTGGGAAAGATCTGTGTGTAGGGGGCTTCTCAAAGAGGATTTGTGTTGGGCCTTCGTTGTTGGTCCGGTTTAGCCACGGTGAGTGAAATCATTTTTTGCCCTAAACACACCTTTTTATGTTGAATTATAAAACCACATGCTAATTTGAATCTACCAGGAATCTTCACTAACATTAATCATGACATTGTAATTGTATGACAGCATAATAAGCCCATAGTTGTAAAGGAGATAATGTGGCATGTAAATGAAAGGGCTCTTATATGCAATGAAAATAAAAATGCATTTACGCATTTATTAAGTGGCCCACTCCTGCTTTAATGTTATGATGTCAAAAATATACTAACCTAAACTTTACCTGTCAGCTTTCAGTCTCATTCGTGGTTTGTTTTAAGGGTAAATGGGTAACGGTGAGGCCAGTATCATGTCATTGGTTATTTAACATTGTGCTTATAATAAATATAGTCTTAAATAAATAATGTATTGAGCTAGATAAGGATTTGAAAAAACACCGTTCTGCTGCACCCCACACAGTGGGAGATGTGTGCAGCCATAAGGCGCCCGGGGAGCAGCTAGGGGTGGATGCCTTGCTCAGGGGCACTTCGACATGGTACATGGAGCAGCCGGCGTTCAATCTGCCAACCTCTCCATGCGCCGCCGTTGCTGCATGTAAATAGAGACCTGCTAAAGACTCTCATACTCCACCATCAACCAAGATGAATACCGGAACACACTAAAGCAGCATAAACAACTGCGACAATGATCGTAGCTGCGTGGGCGCGTTATTTCTCCTCCAGCGGTGGCGTGTGCGTTAATGCGGTCTGAACCGGGAGACTTGCTGGTGGTCCATCACCGAACAGGTGTGCGACATAAGGGCTCTGGGTCGGAAACACAATGAGCTGCTGTGTTTGTCACCATTTGGGATCTTCTTTTAACGTAGTCCATCACTGAGGTTTCATCCCCCCCCGACACTGCTGACCACTCAAAGTCATTTTACCTCTTCAGGTGCTGCAGTGTTCTCACAATGCAAAGTTTGATATCACAACACAAGATGCATGTGTGTACTTTTGATCATATTTCCACCAGTGACTGTGTTTTAGAGCGGACATATCAAGCTCACTTTCATGTTCGCGTTTAGAACATGTTTCTGCTTAATTGCTCAGAAAACACAACATTTCTCATTGCAACCTATTATTTTTTATTATTTTCTAATTCTGCTTTTTTCACAAATTCTACACGATTATTACCCTATTCAAGTTGTGTAGTGCTAAAGGGAACACCTCATGAGTGAATACTTAATGTTTATTGAATGCCATCCATAAATATTTGAGTTGACAGATATATTTAGTACAGTAATTCAACTTAAATCTTTGACATGTTTTATCTAATACAGGGTAGTTTATTTGAAACATCATTTAAAACGGGTAGCAGTGTGGGCGTAATTTGCATGCCATCAGAATCAGAAGCCATTTATTGCCACACATGTTACACACATAGAGGAATTTGACTTGGTGAATTGGTGCAATATGAGAGTAGAATAAAATAAGATAATGCATGAAAGAAAGCTATTATTTGAGTGCACATTTGAGTTGAGTTACATGTTATTACATGTAGCAATGTGTTCAACGGATGATGTGAAACACTGGTGTAACTTGGACCATTGTCATTGTATTAGTGAACCTGAGACACCCCAAACTTTAAGGTATTCACATGGTGATGCAATTGAAGCTGAGGGAACTTTCTATCCTTTTGGAAGCAGATCTGACCTGTCTGCTCGTCTATCGCCCGAAGTTGGCTGGAATGGACTCCAGCCCCCCCCGCGACCCTGTGTGCAGGGTAAGCGGTTTGCAGATGGATGGATGGATGACATTAAACAGACAACAAAGCAAAAATGATTTACCTAACAAGAGGTTTCATGTTTACCTTTTTTTGTATCCACTGCTGACTGTTTATTATTCACCAGACAGGCATGAGAGCAGGAGAAGCGAACACCATTCCTTTCTGTTACCGATCGTCTTGATATTTAAATATACAAGCTAAAGAACACACGAGTGACCGGGTGGCTGAGTTACACCTGAACGTCACCTCCTCAGCCAGAGTTAGAGGTAAGCTGCAATATTGACTTTCCTCGGTCGGCAGTGAACGCCTCACCGCTCGCTCTCTAGCAATCAGAGCGGACCCGCCCCAGACGCTGAGCGCACCAGCCAATCAGCTGCCGGCAGCCACACTAGTAACCAATGGCGTGTCCGGGATGCCTCTCCGGGGGGCGGGTGTTTCTGTGCAGCAGGCTTCTCCGTGCCTGGCTAACAATAGCCTGGAATCGGCAACTTTACTCTTGAAAAAAAGATCCAGCCAGGAGGGCGACAGAGCGGAGCTGATCCGGGAGGAGAACAGAGTTTGGCCGATACATGAGACGCTTGTGTCCCGGTATCAGAAAATTATCACGGCGGATTTTCTCCTTTTTGAAACGAGTCAAGTGGTGAGTGAGCCTTTTCGACTTTATCCTTAAACCCCCCGAACGAAGCCGTTCATCTGCGCTCTCCGCCGGGCATGGTGCGCTGGTGAAAGAGGGGCTCATTTGCACGTGAATAGCGAGGGGTTTTACTTTAGACTGGCTACACCTCCACCAGCTCCACCACCTCCACCCTGTTATTCTGTATCTGCATCCATATATTACCGCCCCGTTAGCACGCGGGCCCGCGAGCCCCGCTGCACGTCGAGGTTATTACAGCCCTATGCTGGATGTTACTTCCATTAGATAGATAGATATAATATATATTTATATATTTAATTACCCCGGTGTCCTCCCAGTCTACCGACACACCTCGTGAACACGGCAGGAGTATCCAATAAATGAATGAATGAATGAATGACCGGCCGGATGAGAAAAATCCACTTTATTCATAAGAAATAAAAAAAAATGATTTAGTTTATTTCTAAACTAATATGATGAGTTTCAAGTTGACAAGGAGCCACGGTTCACTCGTATCACCTCGTCTCTGATCTGCTGTAAAACTGCTGTACTGTAATTACACCGTAAGTATTGCTCTGAAGTACAATGTTGATGTACGCGAATTTAACTTAAATAATATTACTGCTGCTTTAATTTACTTCTCCACTACATCTTGAACACGAAACACTTTTATTTTCATTTTTAATACATTTATTGAAAGAGTAAAGTTACTCGTTGCTTATATATATATATATATATATATATATATATATATATATATATATATATAAAATCCAATAATAGAATATAGTTATTATTCTTCATAATTAGTTCTTTTACTTTTGGTACTTTAGTAAATATTTGATTGCAGGACTTCACCGTGTACCTGCACAAGTTGCCAAAATACACAAGTAGTTCTTCTACCATCACTTGCTGTATCATTCAACTTAGTAGTTTTGTCACTAATCTGTCAATAATCAACGTCCTGTTTTCCTGTCAGTACTGATTTAGGCTGACGTTGCCCTTTGGTTACGGTTATAAAAAGTGGGTTTCCTTATCTGGGTGAGCAGTCTCCTGTGTAATGAAAAGCTGTAAGAAGGCTGGTTAAAGACGCGCTGCTGACCAAAGAACACAGATTACCTGAAACACACGTACAGTAAGTGCTGGACTCAACGTCTGCCCGGCGTGGTCGTCTTACTGGGTTTCACACCTCTAGAAGGGATCTGATGTGAGTGAGCCGCCGCTTTAATCCGGTTTAGGTGACTGTCACATTCAGTCGCTTCGTTAACCGGCTCCATCCAACAAACCATGACAGCCTAGTTCAGGTAGAACAGAGTTTAGTCGAGCTGTGAGGTTCGACCGCATGAAGTGGATGTGTAGTAGAATATTCTATTCAGTAACTATGTTAAATATTTGATGGTTCCAACTGTTAAACTTATTAAACAGATTATATCTGTAATATTTGAGCCAAGGATTAGACGGTTGTTTCCATTCACACCAAATAAATAAATAATAAAAACAATTTTATAATGATTTATTTTCATAGTCCTGATCTGAATCATGATAGGCGATTGAATATAGTAATCCATTTAGAAAATTAACCTAATTAATCTATTAAGTATTTTGATAATGATTCATCGTTTTTCCCTTTTCAAAGGAAAAATGGGGCAACTCCCCTAATATCAGCTTCTTAGATGGTACAATTTTCTGCGAATCGATGTCAAATTCCATTATAAACTGATAATCTTTTTATTTTGCATCTTTTTTTCTGCTGCAGCAACACATACTGTGGACTCATAGGAGTTACGACGGACCTTTTTTATAGGCCAAACAATTGATTGATAGTGGAAATAATCATCAACCCAACTTCTAAATATCCTTTAAAGGAGCTTTTTAACTCGGAATAGACAATAATTCAGCTGGCTTTCTATTAACCCGCCTCAGAGCCCCAGACTGAGCCTCAAAAAGATCCACATCTTGAGTGGTCATGTGAAAGGGCATCATGTGACGGACCAGACAGTTGTGACTTTGAACACTGTAAGATTAGCTTTAAAGTCCGGTACTGAGTGCTTGATATATTAGGTGAGGGTTTAAGGACAGTGTGTTTAGTGGTTGTGGTGGAGACCTGCAAGGGGCTGAAGGAGTCTTTTATGACCCCATGTGAAGCATGAGGCCACCCAGTTGTTGCACCTCGACAGCATGAGGGAGGGAGAGGGAGGGAGAGAGGGAGGGAGAGAGGAAGGCCGGAGGGGTTAATGACCCATTTGGCTACTGTGGCTTTGGGCTTGGCTACTTCAGGAGGACTGACAGTGTGTGTGTTTGTGTTTTCCTTTTGGCTCTATCTCACCTGTCATTGGAGTTATTTTGAACCCTGACACGTTTTGACCTGCTGACCTACAACTGAGCTAATCACTGCCACACACACACACACACACACACACAACCTGTTGGGGCCTGGGCAGGTGTCGCACTATTCCTTGAAGTGGTGGCTCAATGCAGTGATTTGATGACGAGGGAGCAGAGTGTGGGATAGAAGGCACACTGGACTACTTTGCTTGGTTTAATTCCTTTAAAGGTCCTGTGTGAAGGATTTGGCGTCATCGCAGGTTCACAGCCAGTTAAACTCCCCCGTGGTGGCTCTGATGGCTGAAATAAAAAGGGGAACGGCCCCTTCCAGAGGTGAGGATTCCCAGTGTAAAGAGGAGGGCAGATATACAGCTCTGGTTGCAACGTGTCCATCACAGTAGCCCCGCCCTAAAGCATGCTCTGCTTTATGGTCGCTTTGACCCTGTATAAGGATCGTAAATGACTGAATTAACATCAAGCTGTATTGAAGAAGACTTGAAAAGAGAGATTGAGACCATAAAGTCATGCTTCCAGTGCTTGCTGAGGGAGTAAATCAGGAGCGAAGTCGAGTCATTCTCTCATAGGCTTCATATTGCCGTCACTTTTCAGATCCGGATGTTCTGGGCTGCTGTAGAAACAGGGCGTCCTGCTCCGTGTGTGGACATAAATAGATCCTTGTGAGGAATTATTATTCAGGTGAATGTACATTGAAGAAAACCCCTGTGTTAATATTCAATTTGTTTCCTGCCAATCAAGCCTCCTAAATACATTGTTGTTGACCTGTTCCACCCGAGAGTCCCTTAAGGGACAAACCGAGCCAGAACCAACTTCCAACCCAAATACTCTGTACTCGTCATAAACAGATATAATAATGCTTCATTTCGTTCAAAACATTAGAGGCGTGGCTACAATGGCTACAATCATTCATCCGTTTGAAAAGGTTTCAAGCACAACTCCAACAAGCCTTAACAGAGTTAGAAAATATCTTATGGAAATTGTCCAGAAATTGTACCCGCGGCGGTGCAAAAGTTGAAGCCATCGAAGCTAAAGGCTAATGTCCAATCGCCGGCACATTCGATGCTGAACCCAGTGATATCTGTAACATTTCTCCTTGCCGAAGTCCGAGTAAAAAAACCACCAAGCACATCAATCATAAATGCTCCTTACTTGCTTGCTTACTTGTTGTTTTCAACAAAAATATGAATTTAATCTGCTGTTTTTAGACTTCAATACGCCCAGCAGCCACCTCGCATCCGTCACACAGCTTCTTGGCGCTTTTGGCTGACGTTAGAGGGGAGATTTCAAAGCTCCCCAGTCAGACGAGTCAGAAGCGGGGTTGAACGTGCGAATCGGCCAACCACAGCTGGAATCCAGATTTTCACTCCTCCCGTTTCTCTGCTGTGAGGCCTCCACTGAAGCCTCTCTGGAGTAGTTCAGCTTCACTCCATCGACGTGAAGCATTCCAGGATTGCTGTCCAAGGACTGGGGTATGACGTGGATGTGTGTTTGTCCTGGTTTCTCCATGTTTTATACGGCTGGATACCCTGTTTTTTCAAGGGTTTCAGGGGTTACGTTTTTTTGTGTATCATACTCATTCATTTCTTAGTGACTGACTTTTACACATCAGAACACTCACAGTGGTTCCCCTTCATCCTGATGCAAAAAAAATATTGTCCAGATAGTCAAAGTAGATCCAGATTAATCATGGCTATGTCATTTTTGAAGCAGAGGCCCAACAAGGCCAAAAAAAGTGAAGGGTTCTCCCCAAATACTTTCTGTTCAATGTCAGCTGCACATATCAGGTGGTGGCTGATTTCTACAATCAATATTCGACAAAATGACTGGTTAGAGCGTTTATTCGCTCACTCACACAGCAACAACAGAAATAGTGCTATTGGCTGTGGAGCGTCCGCTGCCAGCAGCTGCATAATAGATAGTCTGTCTGCCTGGGAGGCCGCTGGAGCTGCTGAGCGCGGCGTCTAGACGCTCCTTTCTTTCCCCTCCACGAAGGCTGCGCTCCATATTGAGCCTTTTAGTCTTTTAAGGGTTTCATCCTCTTCACCGATGTGAAGGCGGCTGAAGGAGGTGCATCTCCAAGCTGTTACCAGCAGGGGAGGGATCCCTGGCGTGTGTTTATGATGAGCCGACCTCAAAGAGAGGATTAAAATATTATGTTCCTCCTCGCTTCAGGGACAACACCAGTGTAATTTGATTAGTTTATTTGCCAGCGGTGATCCGTCTCAGTGTGCATGTTCACTGTCTGCGGTTCATTCAGGTTCCCCCTCAACCTGAAAACAAGTCCCCAAACATCAGGAAGACAAACGTGTGCACGGTTTCCCGTGTGTGCTGTGTCCACATGTCCGTGACCAGGATGCACTGGCGCGCACATGGCTGCAGAGAACACGATGTTGAAGCTGTCCCCTGCATGACACGCCCTCATTCCCTGCAGGGAGCAGACAGTGGAGCGAAGGGTCGCGCTACCCGTGATTATGTTGAAGGGCTGCGATGCCGTTTACTAAATCAGATGGAGCAATGACTTTTACATCAAATGAATATGTGATTTGTAAAAACCGATTTGTACCCAAAACCAAGGTGTTGTCTGCAGTCGGTCCATGATCTATGCAGCTCCACACACACAAATATTGCATCTTGTGTGATTTTAAAAACAAGGTGTGATTTCC